TAGACGCTTCACAGTTGTCTATCGCTGATGGCCTGGGCTACGTCCACGAAGCCGACGCCGAAGATGGTAGTAGCAATGAAGCACTTTCCAAACGGCCCCGGATCGAATACATTCCCACCGATGTACGCTATCCCAGCCTACCACATATTGAGAGTTTCCAAGACGGGCAAGCGGTGGTTGACAATAATGCCAAACGTTTGTTTGGCGAAGTCTGCCCCTCAGCTCTGCGGAGCTCCCACGCACTTGGCAATATGGATGCCTACGACGCCAATAATTTTCACGTTGATTTTCTCTCTTCCGGTGAGTCAATGATGAGCAACGATCCCAACGACTCAATTATTTCACTCCCGGCGGTACCCTTTGGTGGCACTGCACCCAGTTTGATGGGCGCAGAGAAACTTGTTGGGCAACTCAATATGAATTCTTTGAATCCCACTCTGCAATTCAGGGGTGGCCCAGTTACCAGGTCCTCATTGCGGCAGACCACCCCTGGGCACACCAAGAACGCGATCCCAGCCAGTACCCTCAACAGAGATTCTGTTCCCCCGACTTCGAGTCCCAAGGAAGAACCTGTCTCGAGCCCGCAGGAGCCAACTCCCAAAGCCAAATTTACGCGTCGGATTGACCTTGCTCTTGCAATCCCCGACACAGCCAGCGAGGCATCTAGCGATAACAGTGCCCACAACAGCCGCCGCGACACTGCTCCCAGCGACCCCTCTCGCCCCTCTAAATCAGAATACGACCTCGAGTTTGCTACTACCCTTGATGCGCAGACAGGACAAGCTATCTTGGATCAGTTCCGTGCCGAGGAACCAGATTCCTCAGAACCAATTGTCCACCGACCCAACCCACCCCCTCTTCCCTCCACACTCTCTGATTCCGCGTTCGCCAAACCGCCCAAGAGATATGGAAAATTGAAGAGTCTCCCCGGTTCGATCTTCGACTTGACAATCTACCTCGAGGACCGTCTCACCTCGTGGGGTCGAGGGCCATCCGCGACCGTCAAGCATGCTGACCCCATGGATACAAGAATCCCTGCATATGCCCTCGAGGTCACATTCTGGAGTCCAGGAATCGAGGCGAGGATCGCATCAGGTGAAAGTTGGCTCGATATCCCAGGGGTGATGGCTATTCTCTCCACCAAAGCACGTCTTGGCATCTGGGTAAACGACACCTTGCTGTGTCGCGGTTCTATGACCGAGGATGGTCCCGAGGCTTTACAATTCGGGAAGCTATACACCGGCGACATCATCACTGTGTACCAAAACAAAGACCGAACCAAGTTCCTCAAGCTTCAGTGTGACTTTACCCATGGCGAGAGCGCCCAGCTTCGACCCGCACACGAAGCCGGTTTCATGGTGCGACAGGCTCTCATGGCCAAGGCCGACGGGGCTGCGAACCGAATGCCGATTCGGCGTCACAACAAGGACCGGGATTAGATTGAGGTCCGGCGTTATCAGTCTGCTTTGGACATAGACAGGAATGGTCCGATAGGAATTAATATCGTTATTTTTTGTATTCCACGATGGTTTTTTCCGCAAGCAGTAGAGTACGGAGGTAGAGATGTGGAGCCGATCTGAGGCTCCGTAAATTGATCCACGCTGCAAAATAGTTTATTTAAATTAGGCTAAACTAGTATCAACCACCTAATAACTACTTATAGTAGGAAACCTTGTAAACTAAGGATTTATAGTGAGGCAAATATAAGATTAAATCCAATTTCCTCTTCAACCTTGGGAAGGATCTAAGCATCTAAAGTTAAATCGTACCTTCTCCAGGATGGTGGTATCAGCACAGGCGGGCCGCATTCGGCCTCAAGTTCCTGAATCTCAGGTAACATCTACATCCGGTACTTATTGTCCACACGTTTAATGGTGTTTGTACGTCTTAATTACCTCTTTTCCTAACTTCCCGTTCCTTACCTTTGTCACTCTGACCTCACCACGCATCTATCCCCCCTTCGCTCGAGCTCTCCCTCCGGTCAGCATCCTCCAGCTTTCGCAACGATTGCTCTCTCGCAGTCCCCTGTTTAGCGCCAATCACCGCGATGACCTTATCGCGATCACCCTCTCCCCGCCCGGGCGGAGGGTGGTCCAGTCCGGGACTCGTTCCGGCTAGCGGCACCACATCGCCGGACGGTCCATCGCCCGGTTCATTATCCCCAGGTACACCAGGTGGTATTTCGTGGACTGCAGCCAAGGCGAAAAGCGAAGAGGTGCGCGGGTATCCATCATTCTCAACACGCAACAGCGGTTTCTTCTCTCGACAACGACACAAGATCTCGACTCGATTTTCTAGCTTTCGGAAGCTTTCCCCACGCGAATACGTCGATAAGGATGATTATGGACGTGACTGGAAGCGTGCGGGTGGTGGACGTGGTCTGCTAGGTGCATTGCGGATACCAATCCGTCGGGGTCGGTTCCGGCTGCTGTTTGCACTGTTCTTGGTGTGGATTGGGTATCTATTTTTCTGGGCGAGTAAGTGATTGCTGCTACGATTACTATTTCAATGTCACATTCTAACAGCATTCCAGCCATTATCCAAACATACCGAAGATCACCATTAGGCGGCGGGAGCAAGTTCGTCATCATACTCGGGTCGAACGTGGAGGGTGGCGTTATGGAATGGAAGGGTGCACGTGAATGGGCCATCGAACGCAACAGCATATGGAACAAGAAGAGATATGTGAAAAAATGGGGCTACGAGCTTGAGCTGGCTAATTTGCTGGCCAAGAAGCGATATTCACATGAATGGCGCGAGAGCTGGGAGAAGGGTGATGTGATCCGTGAAGCCATGCGCAAGTATCCAGACGCAGAGTGGTTTTGGTGGCTCGACTTGAACACCTGGGTGATGGAATACGACACATCGCTCCAACACCAACTATTCAATGACCTCGAGTCGCATGTCTACCGTGATATCAACGCATATAACCCTCTTAACCTCACCCACCCTCTACCAGAGTTCTGGCTGGATGACCTAGGTCGTGCCCTTGAGGGCGATGGCAAGGCAGATTCTCTGAACATGCTTCTGACACAAGACTGCGCCGGATTCAATCTCGGATCTTTCTTCGTGCGAAGGTCTCTTTGGACCGAACGTCTGCTCGATATCTGGTGGGATCCCGTCATGTACGAGCAGATGCATATGGAATGGGAGCATAAAGAACAAGATGCCCTGGCATACGTCTATCAAAGCCAACCATGGGTTCGCAGTGGTGTTGGCTTTTTGCCACAGCGCAGCGTCAATTCCTTCCCTCCTGGCGCATGCGGTGAGGGAGATAACCCAGTCGTTCACTATCAGCAGAACGCACATGACCTCGTTGTTAACATGGCTGGGTGCCAGTTCGGTCGTGATTGCTGGTCTGAAATCTACTACTACCGCGAGCTGAGCAATTGGCTTGCTCGGTCTGGTTGGGAGCGATTCAGGGACGGTTTAGGTGATGTATACGATCGAATGACGGGGAAGCCGCCTAAAGATGATTGATCCATATTGCTTATGCTGTTCATGTTTATTATGCTTTCCCACAGCAGGCACATATTGCTGTGGTAATTTCTTGCATCATCGAATGTTTCCTGTTGAAATTATTTCGTTTTGTATATTGCTTTAGTAATTTCGCATTATCTTGATCAGCTGTACGGCAGCTGGTGTGAACAACCACGATCATTGAAAATATGATGTTTTGCAAGGAACTTTCTTATCAAAAAATGCATCTGTACATCCTCTATATCGGATAAAAATCCAATCTCCACTTATCCAAACTTCACTCACTGCCCGACTTGCCTTTTTCGGATTGTACAGATACACGTGATCACACCGATCTGCACAGAAGGCGCCCTCCGTCTCCCGCACGAAACCAACCCTGACCGCTCTCATTCCACCCAATCACAAACCAGGTAATCCAACCTTCAAGATCAACGTGCCCGACGACCGCATCAAGCAGCCTCCAAAAGCCGACCTCTCCCACAAACCCTTGCTGCCATTGTCCTCCGCCCGAGCCAGCAACCACCTCACCACACCCTCACCCCACACCAAACCACACAACCCAACCACCCACAATGCCAACCGCTGAGTCCGCCGCCTTCCTGGCCAAAAAGCCCACCGTCGCTCCCACTTACGAGGGCGTCGACTTCGAGGATAACGTCGCAGTCCACAACGCCCGCGATGCTATTATCCGCGAGCAGTGGGTACGCAGCATGATGGCGCGTCTGGTTGGAGAGGAATTGGGCAAGTGCTATGCGCGCGAGGGTGTTAACCACCTTGAGAAGTGTGGTGTTTTCCGAGGTGGGTTGTTTTCCGTACTCTCTACGTTACATCTTCTGGATTTTCAAGTTCAAGATTCTTCGGATTTGCCTGTGGAATAATTGGACATGATTGGATTGGGGATATGTGGATTGCTTGTGATTTGGATGCGTTGTACTGACCTATATATCTACTGCAGAGAAGTACTTCGAGCTCATTAAGGAGCGCAAGGTTAAGGGTTACCTCGGCCAGGAGAAGAACCGTTTCGGTGGCGAGTCGGCATAGACGTTTCCTCTTTTCTTGCATGTTCGTGCGATTGCGTTTCGAGACTCGGGTTTGACGGTCGATATCAATACCGCGGGGACTGGACAATTTTGATGCCGAGATGAAATGCCCGGCTTTGGACGGAAACTCCCGTGGTTTCGATTCCGTTCTATCCAAGCTCGATCTTATAGCCACCCATATCGGGTCTGCGTCGGAGGAGAGACGAAAAGATGGCAACAGAGGGTTTGGAGATAACCCTCTTTATGCTCTTGTCCGTTTGTACTGTACATAATATCACTTTGTTTGATCACTCCTCCTTTTTTTTAACTACGATGTTGAAATGCTGTTCGGAGATGTTGTAGTAAACCAGTGTCCAACACTTGGTCCTCGGATACCAATGTATCCTTACCGGGCCCTTGTGTCTGTTTTTCGGCCGCCAACTAAATGCTAAATTCGGTATACATCATCATAACCCAAGTTCTACTTGGACGTTGAGATTCTTAATAGTAAACGCTCGAGGCGGTCGCACTTCGGTCCGGGAATGCCCCCGGAGGTCCGCGGCCATCAGGCTGTGCTGCATCGTCATCGCTATCGTCGTCACTTTCAAATTGAATATCGTCTCTCTCGTCTGGTGGAGCACGCATCCGCATAAGTTGATCCTCGTCTAAAGAAGGAGGCTGGTATGGTGCTGGTGGAGAGTGAATGTCACGACCAGAAGGTAGATTAGAGAGCAATGGTGCAGATGGTGGAATGAGCTGTGTGTTAATCTGTACAGAGTCAATCCTCCATGCATATCGAGACCCGGTGGGACCGTGGGGTAAGGAAACAATTTGGACTTACTGTGTCATTCATTTTCACCCATTTCGTCTCAAGCATCGCGAGCACTCGTCCCTCTTCGTCACGACCAGCATCGTCCCCCGCATCCAGTGGACCTTTTTCGCTGCGGCTACCGCCAGCATCCTTAGCAACTCGACGCTCTTCACGTCGTTCGGTCCACTCTCGCTTTAAACGGGACAATCCGCCCTTTGAAGAACCTCCCGAGCCAACAGCATCTTCCTGTGAAGATCCTGCTCCACGTAGACCGAGTGGAGTGCGTGCAGCTCGCAACCACGCAATACCCTCACCAACTTTGCCTGATAGCTCGGCATTTACACCAAAGAAACGACAGGCGCGTGCTCGAGCAACGCGAGCCAAAACTCTAGTGTAGCCGACCAAATCCTCATCCACGCGGCCTGCACGGCCAGAAGTAGACCCAACAGCACCTAGGCCTGCAGCCGCTTGTTCGGCGTACTCTGCGGCACGAACACAAAGTCTTGCGAACAGCAGAGCGCGCACTTTTGGGATCTCAGGTGCATGGATCATCCAATCTTTATCATTCGGATTGCGCGACTGGATACATGTCACAACATACGCATCATCCTTCAGAACAGCCAGTAATGTAGCCTCAGCCAGGGCCAGAGACGATAGAGCCGACTGCGTAGCAGACTCCAGCTCTGGAACTGTCGACACAGTGGCTGCCGTGAAAGTCGGCGAGGACGCTAGCAGATTATGCACGGAGCTAGCCTGTAGTAGATACCGCGTCGCGGTCTGCACAGCAGTAGTACGGACCTCCGCAGACGGGGTAGCCGATGCGTACAGCGCAGCGAGAATTCCTGCTCGCGCCATCCTACTCAGTACATAACCCAGAGTTGTAAGGGTAAAGGCCAATTCGAAGTGGATGCCTCGGCCAGACACTCGCCCATTGCGCGTGCGGATACCATTTCCGCCTGCATTATTGCCACCGGACCCGAGATTCAATCCGCCTGAGGATGACAGGGTATATCTCCATGCCGACTCTATCTCCGCACGGATTGTAATGTCGACTACTTCGCCGGCGCGGAGATTCGTTCCGCCTGACGTGTAGGCGTCTTGGGGAGCAGAGAAATATGTATCCGTTGGAACAGAGCGACCTTTCAGTCCATTTGAGATGGCAAATAGGTAAGGGATGTATTCATTCAAGGCGGACAGAACTGTGGGTAGGTGGGCATCCTGGCGGCCGCGGGGTAAGCGCTTGTGGGCCTTTAATGCGAGGCGGAGAGCATGGCGGGTTGTTGAGGCTGATTGGGGGAGGGATGGATGAGTAGTAGAGAAGATAAATGATTGAAATGAGAGAGGCGAGGTGGTTGGGAGGGTGAATGCGTAAACCATGGTGAACTGGGTGGGGAGTTGGAGAAGGGACTCGGGAGAGCTGCCAAGATCCTGGACAACACTTCAGCTTATACGTATAGTACTAATTTACGTATACTATTACAGGTCTGATTTAACAGCACTTGAATAGTATCAAACACAAAATGATCCTAGTTAAACCGAAACATCCAAAATCCCCACATGAAAGAAAATATATATACTCCCAGGCATTCAGCAAAACAAAAACGACCTTATCAGGCCCACCCCGGCAGTACTGGAATGAGTCCCTCAGGTTCTGGGTACTGTTTGTTCATATCAAGCACACTTACCGTGGGCACATTCATTGCCGATGGGTGAATGTCGCCAAACAAGGTCTGACAGTTGCGACCGGGACCAGGACCGGGAGCCGACGCTGAATACATCCTAAATCGTGGCCACGGACCACCCAATCGGTGCCCCGGTTTACCGGGGGGTCCTCGAAAACAACGACTGGGACATGATGCCATACATTTGACAGGAAGGAACCGGTAATCTCACTGTACATGTTAACCTCAACCCGTATACAGTCGAAGAATGCCTCCGATCCATTAGCGAAAGTTAAGCCCACGATACCTAATAATGTTGGATTAGGGGGAAGATTTCCCTGGGCATCGACATTCGTATGCACCATAGTCCTCACATCGCTTCGATTGATCTGCATCAGAGAAGCCCCAGTATCATCTAGGAAATTAAGTCTCACGGCCTTAGTTCGCCGGTCAGGCAAATCGGGAATTTTCAAGCAGATCTCCATCTTCAAATAATTAGAGACAAAAATACAACATTATGGATCTGAACTCACGTGGGCCAAAAATCTTGAAGAAATTCGCCTATTTTCGGTAGTTAACCATAGCAACATTTGGTGCTGCGGCCCTGGACCTTGAATCTATCTATGTTAGGTTCGGTCTAGCTCGAGTGTTTGAGACGTACCCCTTCTACCCAAAAGCTTTTTTGGCCGTGATGTTCAGCACTGATGAAATTATATTCATTCCATTTGAAAGGCCTCGGCTGAGAGAGTTGAACGCCTTTAGACCAGTAGGTAACAAGACCATCGTTCCACTTCAATTTGCCCGATCTGTATGCTTCGATGAGGCTTGTCACATTTGGAGCCTGCTTGTACTCGTCATCTTTGCTGTCAAGCCATTTTGACATGGAATCGAGGGTTTTCAAGCGCTGGACGACAGGCCAACTCAAGCCAGACGCCTCCCGGGCCATCATTTCACTAATGATTAAGTTAAACCCTATTAACATAAAAGTTCCCAGAAATACTCACTTGCGATCTTTCTGCTCTCGCGATAGTTCCTCCAGCTTGAATTTAAACTGATGGACCAAGATATTATCACTGATCCGCTCATGGCATCTTGCAATCTGAGATTCCAAATCTCTAAATAGCACATATCAGTATCTGCATATGCTTATATAGCGGGAAAGACGTACTCAGGATCAAGATCGGGTTCCTCGGCATTCCAACCTTTTGGCAAATCCTCCATGAAATCGATTGGATTCGTTGCGGGCCGTTTCCATCTTTTCTGCCGTGCTGGTCGTTCTGTCTGTACCCGTGGCGGCATTTTCCCTTCATAGGAATTTTTCAAATCTAATCGAAGTGCGACCGTATCCAAAGGCTCAGGTAAAATTTCACGAATAGGTTCAATTCCCTCGGCACCAGCAGCGATGGGAGCAGGGTCTCCCCCAGAGGAGTCGGTGACGATCTCCTCATTCGGTATAGGAGGCATATCTAGGCTCATTTCATCTCCCTCAGCCCGACCTTTCCCTTTGTCTTGTTTCCGAGAGGGACCACCAGGAGCGGTATCAATGCTCATTGCATTTCCCTCAGACTGGTCCTTCTTCCCGCGCGGTTTCCGGGTCGGGCCAGCAGGCCTCGTGGTGTTGTTCTTTCGTATGCCAGAGGTGGGGGCATAGTGACCCAGTGGCTTTTCAGCAGCGGCTCGCCGAGGACGACCCATTTCAAAGAAGGTGATAATAGGAAGAATAAGAGATGCTCCAGGTGCAGAAGCTAAATGTAAGGTCAGATAGTCGAGAGATGTTTGCTTGGAAATTGAGAGATATTTGTATTTAGGACTACACTACATACTGCCATATTCAAACAAAGAACTGAAGAGATGAGAAGCCCCCTAGTTCCAAAGCGAGGGCGTAGTAGTTCGACCTCTAAGAAATAGTCCGAGGACACATTTGAAGTTACATGAAAGAACATGAGCAATCCAAGTGCTCTGATCAGCTCCCTCGGCCGAACTAGCGAGTGTATCCGACTATGCTAACCATAACAAAGAGTTCTACTCGAAACTAAAACTACACTCTCAAAGAAAAAGTAGTACCGAATTTCAATATTTCTTTAAGCCACAGTATATCAAAGAACATGAGCTTCTGGATCTTTTTTTAGTTCCTCGCATTTCTTGAGATCGTCCCGTGGGTCCAGTTGGCGTGCGTTGCATGATTTTGAAAAGAAACGCTGACAGACCGGTTGTGTTATTCGGCAAATGTCATTCTCACTCGAGAGATTTTGAAATATTCGTACAAGTATTAATCAAACTCTCCTCTCTCAGGTGAAAACATAGAAATCCTCGAATGTATATTTGGGCATTGTTCCAAGCCATGGATTGAACGATGATAAAATCCCCATTGCGTAGCTCAGCAAAATCAGAGACAACGAGATTAGTAGTGTAAAATGATATATTGAGCATCTCATATTGCATTTTTGTGGCAGCTATATCGTCGAGAGACTGGGAGTGATTGCCCAATTGGAAGTTTGGTTTATCCACTACTGTTACAGCACAAAGGGCTCATAGGGAGGGTATATGGTGTCTGGTAGAAATGGTAGGTGATATCTGTTTACATTCTTTCGGATAATATATCTTGATGGCAAGCCTTCTACCACGAGAAATAGAGTTATGCCATGTCTCTAGATTTAATATTGAACCTGAACTTTTCTACTCTGAAAATGGAGTATAACTCTGATGCTGTTGATAGTTCTGTGTAAGCCTTCATTGCACTTCCGCACTGTCTTGGCTTTCTTTCACTTGAAACCATATCTCCTGTCTCACTGGTTTCGGAAATGTGGGCACAGACAAAAGCAACAACGACGAAGCTTGGTTCATTGAGGGTTTAAGACCCTGTGCACGTAGAAATTACAAAAGAAATTCCAAAACAATGAACTTCAATCACTTTGACTGTATCTTTCTAGCTAACATCTTTGAGCGCTTAGATACATGTCGGTAGGTAGACAGTGATAAGTATCCTGGTCCCTCATCTTAGGTCTTCTTATTCAATTCTATATTTAGCTTAAATAGGGATCTGTGTCCTGGTGCTCACGCTAACCGAACTGACCATAGATTCGAGGAGAATCGATACATTTGCATTACTAACATTGCATCCAGAGCGATGTCCCCGATCCCCGTGTTTGGACCGGGGCTTGAGGCGGAGTACACTAACATAGTACGGGTTGTGGAAGCGCAGATTGAAACACTGACATACAAAGCATGGCGGCGCTCCGAGGTGATTGAGAAACTGGAAAGTCTTTGTCGCGACCTGGTATTCCAGGCAACCTGCGACGAGCGCAAGCCTCGCAGCCACCTTCTCGGGTATGCCCAATTCCAACGTTTCTCAATGACACTCAGGCTTTGTTTACCGGAGGCAATCCTTGTCCTCACGAGTGACTGGACTAGTTATCAGATAAGTAATCGGACCTTTGACTGGATGGGATTGGATGAGATTGAATACACCGCAGCTTGTATTCTCAAGGAGGCTCTCCTAGCCGCACAATCAACTGACTGGTATCTTTGACGTGGGTTATTTGGAGGACTGATTCCTCTATGATATATATTGACAGAGTTGAATTCACTACTTGGTACTTCTAACACGTTTATCAACATCATATATTTTCCTCGGCTCGTAGATGCTCCCATAAATGATATATTTCGCGTACCTTGTCTCCAAGAAGTACGTAAAATCTACATAGTACGAAATCCAACGATGCTATAACGCTTTTGAAATCCCGATGGGGCTTGAAGTCAGATATTCATAGAGAGACTAGAATAGACTCTGATAACTGCAAACTATTCATGGATATAAGATCCATGTCAAAACACCTGACCAAAAGAGTCCGTAAATTAGGTGCAAACAAAGAGAACCTAAGTCCACATCTGGATAAATCCGACGATCGGTGTCAGAAGGGCAAGATAACCCAAACCAAGGCCAGAGGCGGAGTTGAAACTGGTTGCCGAGGCAATAGCACCAGTGCTCGAATTAGAAGTGGAGTTAGCTGTGGAGGTTGAGTTGGAGCTCAAGACAGTACTTTTGGGCTCGGCGGACGATGTCATGGGGAGGGTGCTAATGGGACTGGAAGAATTGGTGGTAGCACCGGCAAACGTCGAGGATGAGATCGAGGAGCACAAACCCGTAAAAGACGAAGTGGATATGGCAGTGTCAGTGGTGCGTGAAGTACCAGAACGCGTCGAACTTGAAGCCTCGTCTGAAGAGACAGCGCTATGTATCTCAATACTGTCCGAAGAGCCAGATTTGTCGGAATAGACATAGCTCTCTGCTGGGGTGTGGTTGACAATCTCAACCGACTTGACATACATCGTGAATGGTCCGTTGGAATAGTCAGTGTCTCCGCCAGCCCACTCAATCGTGCCTTTGAGTTTGCTCGGATCTGTTTTGCTCGGATCGTCTCCTGCCCAGATACCAATTCGAACGCGCATCGGTGTCTGTGGGAAGCGAGTGCCCCCTTTCGCATCAGCATAATCAACTGTCCGAATAACGGCGCCATCGATCGCCCAGGATATTTTGTCCTTAGCCCAAATCCAAGTGTATTTGTGGAACACTTCTTGCGGGGTCATCAAAGGTTGCCAGGTCCAGCGACTGTAATCCTCACTGTTGTCACCCTTGCCGTAGTAGTTTGTCTGTATTTTGTTGGTAGAACCACCCAGTGCTTCCTATAGAATTATCATTAGATATTTTTCCAGGGCACATAAGGCACATAATGCAACTTAGAACTCACCCAATCAATTTCATCATTGGAATCTGACAGCATGTAAACAGAGCTGATAATCCCAGTACCAGGAGATGCCTTTATCTCAACAGAAACCTCACCATAGAAGATGTAGTAGTCTGTAACAATTGTCGGGGCATCACCTTGCTTGCGGATCGTGAACTCTGCACCATCAGGGCCAGTGACTACTTCTCCACCACTTGTTGTCCAATCATTCAACGCCGAGTTCTGGGCCAAGTCGTAGATGATATGACCCTCGGTGTTACCTTTGTTAGACGGGCAAGTCTTCTGGAAGGCATTGCAGTCTGGGGCCTTCAGAGCGAAAACAAGAGGGATTGTAGCAGCTAAGGCTGCAAAAAGAAGGTGACACTTCATGATTGATATGGATCAGTTGCTGTCGAAAACTGACGCGTCTCGTCGAGAAGAGAGACAAGATCAGAGGTGACAACTTCACGAGCGAAAGGTGAACAAAGCAAGTAGACGAGGACAAGAAGGGAAGGAACAAAACAACAGACAGTCTCACCAAAAAGGTTAAGAACCAGCTGTTTACATCTGTGAAGGCGTTTGTTTTAGGACGACTACCCAAAACAGGAAGTGTTGATGCAATTACTGCGCTCATCCATGTCAAAACAGTCAGGTCTTCCGGTATTTGTGTTTAGAGGGACTAACTATCTAGTTAAATATAGCTATTAGAGCATCAAGAGAGCAGAAAAAAAAACATTGGACTTCTATAAAAGTGGGAATGTTTCTATCCATATACACTGTGCTGAAAGACAGGCCTAACGGGGCCTCAATATAGAGCGAGACCAACTTCTTTGGCAAGGACACCAATTGCCTGCCATTTCCTGGAGCCGATACCTAAGCAAGATAATGCTTGCGATAGACTTGGTTCCAGATGGACCAGGGAAATGAAGTGCTTGTCAAAGTAGTTGATCTCGATCTAAGTTGGTTCCCCGTTAGTACTGAGATAGCCCTATATTGCGGTAATATTGTCAGAAATGTAAAATTATGTGGTAGTGGAATCCATTACCTGTATTTTGATAGAAGACTACACAAATCAGGCCAATATAAGCTTCGTCAAAAGAGAAATCACAAACGAAAGAGGATATGCTGGCTTTTAAATACTCTCCAGAGCTGTCTCATGACTCTAATAATAATCCACTGCGTCTTTTTCGTGTTTTGCTATTTCCATTTTTAATTTCCTCATCTTCTCCTTTTGTCAACAGACATAGCCAATGATCGGATATTGTTCCGGATCTGTTCGTCAAAGCGGATGCTGGTGGACTAAATAAAGTGGCATGGCCAATCAGCATCGTGAGAAGAACCGCTTCATTACGCTGCCAGTGGAGCCCCCAACAGCCGGCTAACGCAATGAGGCCGTTTAATTTGCGCTTAGGAGTTAGCTAGTATATAGTGCCGAGTCAAGCTTCGCAAAAGCTTTCCCTCGGACTCGGAGATAACATCAGTCTCCATACCTTCAATCTCAACTGGATGAGTCTGCGACACTTTTTGGCGCTAGACTCGACTCAGTATGGACACGGTTCTAATTACAGCTCGAATTGTTGATGTCTTTAGCTTGCTATCTCGCTTATTGACCTCCCTAATCTTGCTTTATGAGCAGTCATGGGGAATTTTTCAGCCATTAAACTTACATTCACGGACTTTCTTGTCTCCTTTTGTGGATGAACTTCTAGAAGCCAACCCTTGCGCGTCCATTCCCTCCCGCTATCGTGATACTTCTGCTACAGAATTGTGGTATAACACGGTATTATTGTGCGGGTACTAGGATCGGGTTGAGTATCCCGCGATGAGGCCGAACTCGGACATTATGAAATTCTGGCTTTCCTTCTCTTTTTTGGCCCTGACTACACTTGCCGGGGTCACCAATGCCAATGCCGAATACACCGGAACGGATTGCAACCCCCTCAACAAGACATGCAGTGCGGATCCCGCGCTCGGAACCGAGCATACATGGCTGTTCAACTCAACTCTTGACACCGAGCTCTGGGACATGCGAACCGGAGCACTGGACTACACAACTGAAGGAGCGGACTTCACCATAAAAACCGAAAACGCGTCAACCCTCCTAGTATCCAACTTCTACATTTTCTTCGGCGTGATGGAAGCACACGTCAAGATGGCGAAGGGAGCCGGCATTATCAGCAGTGTTATCCTGCAATCCGACGACCTAGACGAGATCGACTGGGAGTGGGTTGGTTATAACACGAGCGGAGTGCAATCCGATTTCTTCGGCAAGGGAAACACAACGACGAGTGATCGGGGCGGATACCATGCTGTTGCGAATGCAGATACCGAGTTCCACAATTACACCTCGTACTGGGATAAAGACCGTCTTGAATGGTGGATTGATGGTGACTTGGTGCGGACAGTGAACTACTCCGAGCCGTTGACTGTTTATGGCAAAAACTACCCACAGACACCTTGTCAGGTCAAGGTTAGTAATTGGCCGGTTGGAGTCAAGGGACAGTCGCAAGGCAATCTCGATTGGGGTGGTGGTTTGGTTGACTGGTCCGATGTTCCGTTTACTATGACTGTATCAAAGATCCGTGTTCAGGACTTTTCCAGTGGAAAGGAGTACAAGTACACCGGACATACAGGCACCCGTGAGAGTATTGAGGTGGTCAGGTGAGTTTCTATTGAAGTCAGCATTTGAAGACTTTGGGAACTAACTTGAAATTGCAGTGGAAACTCAACCGCCATAACACAAATCAACAAGCAACCGGCCAAGACTCTATCCCAGAAATGGGATGATCTTGGCCAAGGTGCTCACATCGGTGTGTACTGTGGTGCAGGGGTCGCTGCTGCTCTTCTCATCGGCGCATTTTTATTTTATTGCTTGAAGCAACGCCGGAGCGGTCGTCTACAACGCGCCTTACACGATGGTGAATACAGCGCAGAGCTCACAACGTTGGAGGAGTCAAAGTTGAGATGGAGGCAAAGTGAATTGCGTAGCAAAGGCACTTACCAGCCGGTTCCTTGACCAAGACAGTGCATTTGGGTATGTTTCGTTCATGTTTATTAATTTAATGTCTCACCTTCTTGTACATACTTCCCCGGCCAAGGCGGCCAAGTCGGGTGGCTGATCCGGGGACTTTCACCTCCACTACCTCGGGTTCTATAGAGCTAGTTACGGGTGCATATTTTAAGACCTTAGAAACTTGATTGGTTCAATCTCCAAGTATAAATGTGATTTTTTTCGCTAATCAAAGGTCTAGATCGCTACGTGGGTGAATGTTGATCGTCAATACAGATACTAAGAGCTCGCTGTTCGGACTTAAGATTTTGTATTTCTTGAAGTATCTTTGAGCTGCTATTCGACATGACTATGGACGTGTAAATCACATAGGCTTCTCGTGTTTTGCGACTGCTAGGACAGGCGCAGAAATGTCATATCGGAATTCCACATTTGTGAACCTCGCAGGATAGGTTATCCGCTTAAATGTGCGGAAACAAACAAAGTGAAAAAAGGCCAAACAAGTGAGTCAAAAATGGATGTCGATCCCCGATTTAACCAAGTCCTAGCGATTTTCACCTGCTGAACAGACTGAACCTGTTTGCAACTCCACACCAGGCTTCCATACCCATCCCAATAGATACAGTGGATTGTATAGATGAGGTTCTGGTGGTTGAGTTATTGAAAGAGGGTTGTCTCCTTTGAAGAGCGAAGTGGAGGCGATGATCATGCCTCGAGTCAAGGCGGAGCAATGTCGGCGGCGACTGGGCAGACCAGGCTTTGGATATCTCAGCAGATGGTGGGACTGTTTGTGTTTCAAATGGGGATGTAGAGATGAAAGACAATTTGACCGGATGTGGGACCAGAATGGGGACATGTCGGCTCAGGTCTGGGCACATTTGTGAAGTAAAGGTTCAAGCTTGACTTATTCAAAAGCCAAGCATGGCCGTGTGCAGCCATTCACGCCTCCATCACTTGATCCATCACTTGATCCTCAGAGAGATGACTTGGTGCACTGCTCACACCCGAACTGTCACTGTCCGGCGCCTCTGAAACTCGGGCACGAATCTGCGCACCCCAGTCTTGAATACTAGGGGCACCACCCTCAATGATGACAGGGTGTTCCTCGGCATGTTTTCCCAGGACAGTTCCAGCGTAACGGGACTCCTCGCCAGTCTTACTGTGTTTCTTCTTCAATGCGGTCAAGTAATCCTCCTTTTCAACGGCGTCGGGGTCCACCATGTCACCCTCGCTGGGCACAAAGCCAGCAACGCGTCGGATTTCACGGTGGACAGGGCCAGTTATCCAACCGAGGAAAGCATCAATACCCCGCATATCTTCTTCTCCATGCCAATCTTCTTCCCATTCGCGCATTTGTGGTCGTATGGCTCCTGCGTCTAGCAGAGCTTGGTAGATATCTTCAAGGTCCGGAACTGGGTCATGTGGGTGTGCATTTGCGGCATGTTCAGCTGCAGATAAGGCGAGAATGATCAGATATCGTCCAGTTAGATCTTGGATAGATTCTAAGACTGAGGGACGTGTGGAGTGGAAGCCTTGGGCGCGGAGGATTTGGATGATCGGAGGACGGAGGAGGGCGTTATGGAGGTTTGGGCCTGACATTCTGGTAAGGTGATTTGAGATGAGAGCGATTGACGTAGCGAGGTACAGCGTGAACGAAAAGTAAAGAAGTAAAGTAGAAGGAAGAGAGAGATGGTGGAGTCAAAGCGGCAGAATTTCAAAGCGGAAAGGTGAACTGGTCGAAAAGGGCTAAGCTTCGTCCAGTATAAGCCAAACTTGTTTCGCGATGGTTTCCATGTCCTTGGCAGTTAAAATGAAGTCTTTGTCTGACTTCTTTCGTTTAGGCCGATCATTGATATCTTCAAAGGCAAGGTGCATATGCCCTTCTACCTTTTTGCGGGTTGCCACTGGCTTTCGAACGATATCAATCCTTTGCACAGGGGTTGCGCGTCGCCCTTTCATCTCCCATTGTTCAATGAGAATCCGCCCACGGTTATGGACTGTTATTGTGAGGGCCAGCTTAACCTTTCCTCCGCTTTCTGTAAGCCAGAATCTCATATCATTCGCAGCCTTTGCCCGTGGCTCCGACCATATACACTCCACCACTATGCTAGGCCATTTCGTGTCGCGGTTGGAATGCATCGGAGTCCACGAGTAATCTGGACTTTTGGATTTTCCCAAAGGTCCTCTCACTGTACGTGAAGCTGTAGAAATAAGCGGATAATTGTCATCCCCATCTCCATTCCACCTGCGGAATAGTCCGTCGAAAGCAGTAACTGCTACTTCATGTGGTCCGCTAGGCATTCTGATGAGTAGTTGATTGACAGCAGGATCATAACTTTCCCATCCTTCAAGTAGTTGTTCTTCGGAATTCAAAAAATAATTGAGGAAGGAACCTTCATCCATAGTAAAAATGATATACTCATATGGCTCTTGCTCTAAAATCCGGAGACAATCCTGAACTCCCTTGAACTCATATTTTGGCGCCGAAGGAAGATAGTCTTGATAGAACATGATGCCGGTGATAAACAGTAAATTAGCAGTAATTTTGAGTGAAATATACATTTATATACATAAAAAGAATGTGGCAAAAATGATAAAATAATATGATCATTCCTATTGTATTCCTATTGTATTCAATGTTGTTCTGTTCAACGGGGCCGGTTATGTAAATGTTCCCGCAACCTCACTTCCTCCTCACACATCTCTCTTCTTGCACTTACTACCTCACATATCGGCATCATGCCTTTGAAAATCAAGTTCTCAAGGAGGCCAGACCCTCCGGAAGAGCCAGCGCCTGCACCAGCGCCCGTGCCGACACCCGCGCCTGCGCCCGCCGAAACTCCTCAACCTCCGCGCAAGCTCACGCTCAAGATCGCACGAAAATCACAACCCGAGAGCGAAGAGAAACCAAAGAAGAAGAAATCAAAGAAGCGACCGGCGGAAAGCGCCGCGCCGGAGCTCGAGCCTGAGCCTGAACCCGAGACGACCCAAGGCCCCAAGCGGATAAAGCTGATCCCATCCAAAAAGCCTGCGTTACAATCAATCCGCATCAAAAACAAGGGAATCGTTCCCAACCGACCAGTGGGCGTAGGTTATGACTCCGAAGCCTCGGACACCGAAAATGATCCAGCCATCGAAGAACAGTTCATCCTGCGCATGCTCCCGGGCGAGGACTGTGAGCATCTGAGGAAATTAATCAACGAAAGGGCAATCAAAGGAAGTGAATTCGGATTCAAACCCCTCACACGTGAGGGCCGGCGCGCCGTCGTGAAGATTCGGGACCATCAATATGCGGCAGCGCTGGTGGATCTGCCCTGCATCATCGAGGGCATGAAGAGTTGGGACCGACGAGGCTGGTACAAGTCGGCAGATATTTGTCAAATGCTCTTGGTGCTGGGACGCGTCAACAGTGACCAAGAAGCGATGGAATACCCACTTCCCCCGGACGTTGAATGCCCCGATGAAAAGACACTTCAATACCCACACGGACTCGCACCACCCCTCCGCTGGGTTCGCAAGCGACGATTCCGCGACCGCGTCAGCACGCGCACGATTGAACAAGTTGAAAAAGCCGTGGAGGAACTGATGGCGCAGGACGAAACTTCGATTTTCCCTCCCAAGTTCGAGTTGGTGGATAGCACATCTTTGAATCGCGTCGAGGGCTTGGTGCAATCGGGAGCGTACGAAGATGAATACGATGACGAGCAGGATGCATACGGTGAAGCGGAGGAAGATATGATGGATGACTTTGAGGACGCGCTTGCTGCTGAGATGGAAGCCGCATTGGCTGCCGGCGATGACGAGGCACCCGGGGCAGGACCAGAGCAGGTAGACACTCCATCAATGCAGCCTTTCACGCCAGCTGGAGGACACACCGAACGCGGCGACACCTCTGCGGATGAGAGCAATATTTCCGACGAGGACGAGGAAGATGAGTTGGATGACGATCAAATCGAGCAACAACAACAGCTCCAGCAACAGCGCGAGGAAGTTGCCGAGCTGGAAGCTCTCATCCGAACTGAAACGGCACAATGGGAGAAGGTGCAGAACCACATTCTGCGCAACAAGATGGGACGACGTATCCAAGAACTGAAGAAGGACCTACAACTCAAGAAGGTCTCCATGGGCATGCCCGCCGGAGATGATATCTGATCTCCCCTCTTCACATGCACTGTTCAATATTGGAATTTTTCGGCGTTACCATTTATAATCATACCCAATTTGTCTGACCGAGTGCGTGTCCGGTCTCGATGTTGATACAGCACTTAGCTACCTAGCTCGAAATACTTAATGAAAGTTATGTCCAAATCCATCACCGAGACACACTGAAGCCTTTATTACCTATTTACCTATTTACTTACCACCGGATCACCAGTAGCTTGTTTAACCGCCCCCTCCACATCCAATTTCTCCTCCCTCTCCAACACCCGCCGTCTAACAGCCTCTCTCTCAACCCCCTCCCCCTCCGGCTCAACCGGACTCTTCCCAACCCTATCCCCAAGAATCCGATCATGTTCCACCCTCTTCGCACCCAAATTCGCAGCTAAATCATCCGCTTCCCCGAACCCAGGATGTCCAGGTCCCCCGGAACTCCCAACAGGACCAGCATGCGCACCAGCCTGCGCACGCTGAATCCCCATCCCTTTCCGCTGAACATTATCCGCAATATACCCCTCGGCGGGCTGCTGCTCGACGCCGTAATCTAGATCGACGTCGGGTGCATTGTGGAGTTCGCGTTCGTGTTGTTCGTGTTGTGCGCTTAGACGAGCGCGGTTTTCGTCGCTGGAGGGTTGTGATGATGCTGTTCGTTTGATTGTCCCGATTGTGTCGCCGTGGTGTCGGTCTTCAGTTGCTCGTTGCTCTTGTGGCGTGTGTGAAACGGGATTCGAGGATTGGGCGTAGGCTGCTTGTTTTGGGGGTTGGGAGGGTTGGTCTTGGGTTTGGGAGCGGGTTTGCATGGTGATAATCTAGAGTTATATTCTTTATATTTTGATTGTTATGGTGAAGAGTGATCAAGTAGAGTGTATGCAAGTAAACGGCTGAAGAAAGTGACAGCTGTGTATCCACCTATGACGTCAGGGTGGCCAATGAGAGAGTGGAAGTACAATTGCAATAGATATGTGACTTGGAATTCATGTAATGTCAACATCTTAGAGGATTAAGGGATATATCCTATAAGGACTATGCACTTTGTCCAATGTACCTACCAAATATCCACACCCTCTTTCCGCCAAGATCGTACCCAATCTGTCGGGACCAACACGGCAACCACTCTCCCAATGACCCGTCCATCCCGTCTATCCCCGTACAAATGGCCCAACCACACTGATTGTAGACTAACTCGAACTGTAATCCCACTAATCAATTGATAGGCCTCGGGGATCCCAAACCCATTTCAACATGAATTAGGGGGAATCCATTCGACTCCACACTCCCTCCCCACTCTCTTCCTCGCGATATCCCTATTTTTCACACAGAAACCTTTTAAAATCTACATATCTACCAATGGCTAAACAAACATACTATCTCCCTCGCGGCTCCCGGATCCTAGTCACCGGCGCCAACGGCTTCATCGGGAGCAATGTCGTCCACAGCCTACTTGAACTAGGATTCAAGGTGCGTGGGACTGTCCGCTCTGCGAAACCATGGCTCGACGAGATGTTCCGAGAGAAGTTCGGACAGGACGCATACGAGTCTGTTATTCTTGCTAGCTTTGAGGATGTGGATACTCTGGTTGGGGTGATGGATGGTGTAACCGGCGTGGCGCATGTGGTATGTGATTGCCAGTGGAAACAGGATTAGAAAACAAGGGTGTGTGCTAACGAGGAATTGGCATGCTAGGCATCGGATGTCAGCTTCAGCTCGAATCCGGAAGAGGTTGTGCCGTGGGTGTTGAGAGCTGTTCGTAATGTGTTGGAGGCAGCATCGAGACATTGTGATATACAGCGAGTTGTTATGACCTCTTCTTCGATCACGACGGTGTTTCCGGAGCCGAATAAGGAGGGGATTGTTGTTCGTGAGGGTGAGTGACCAATTCCTAAGGAAAAGAACAAGAGAAGGGAAAGATGTATTGGCTGACCCTATCTAGATTCCTGGAATGACGAGGCTATCAAGCAAGCCTATAATCCAGATGCTCCAGAGTATATGAAGGGTTTCTTCACCTATGCTGCCTCCAAGACTGAGGGAGAAAAGGCAGCATGGAAATGGATGGGGGAGAACAAGCCAGACTTCCAATTCAATACTGTGCTACCGGACTTTACTGTGAGTTCTATGCCCGGATGGCAGATTCAAAATGGTATTAACTCGAAATAGATCGGAAGAATCCTCCACGAAGAAATCCACGGCTCAACAATGGGCTGGGTCCGTGGGCTAACTAAGGGGAATACTTCATCATTCGGGTCATTCGTACCACGTAAGTCTACACTGCAGATACATTGGTGATCGTAGCTAATGCACAAAAACAGAATACTTCTGCGATGTCATCGACATTGCACGTCTCCACGCAGCCGCCCTGCTCGACCCGAATACAGTCTCTCGGCGACTCTTCGGGTTTGCTGCTCCTGTGAACCTCACTGATATGATCTCAGTTGTTCGCAAGCTCCGACCTGATAACACTTTGATCCCTGACACTCCTGTTGACGAGGGACGTGATCTGAGTGAAATTATCCCCGCTAAAGAAGCAGAAAGGCTCCTGCGGGAATTCTGTGGACGGGAGGGGTGGACATCCTTGGAGAATAGCATTGCTCGGGGAATTGAGGGGCATTGAACATTGTAATCTCACAAGTACATATGTATGAACATGTAATGGCTTTGTTTTTCAAGTCCTGGAGTCGAAATACTCTCATCTTACAGTTTCCAAGCCCTTTCCACAGTCATGGCTGGTGAAGTATCCTTGATAGTTGAGAAGAGTCAGGTTGTGGCTTTGAGATTTGCCAAGGGAATTGATTGGCCTCAGGATAATCTTCGTTTGTTAACATAGTATTCGGGATGATATATTCCTCAACATTCAGGTTCCCCCTGATAGTTCCACGTATATAAACAAAGGTCGTTTTGTCAAGTTCTTTTTGGCAACCTTTGAGATGTCTTTTGAAGTGTCTTTTGACTTCTCAGATATTGCCTTGCATGTAATTTTTTGGATATATATTTCTCTACTTTATCAGTCCTGTAACTGGAAGAATAAGAAGGATTGACGGGAAAACATAGAATCGGTATGAACGACATTTCCACGTATAACATTTGACTAGATGCGCTATTATGACAAGCTTTATTCTCACTCTTAGAGTGCATCAAACTTGAATTTCGGTAACCTATAGGAGAGAGCGATCACTGAAAAGAAGTGATATATTGACGCCACATATACTTCATTCCGATCAAGGCTCTCGGAGTCGGAGGTGGCGTGTAAAGGCAGCGCTAGTTCTCGAGGAGTACACGGACCCACGAAGGAAGTCAACCGTAATAGTGGTATTCAAATGATGCTTGGACTACTAGATAACTGTGCTTAAGCTCATGTCGGCTAACTTACACGTTGGCAATTGCCACAGACATGGTGGTTACAGACCACGCATATGGGTTGATGGTAGTAGAACTTAGGACCATCTGCGCACCCACAGCAGATATACTTATATATATTATCCATGCGCAGACGCCGTTCCTCCTGGACTTTGTGTCTTCGGCGATAATCTGCGGTATTTTCTGTGAGCAATTGTCCTTCAGAAAACTAGGTGGAATAGCCAAAGCATACCTCGAATTTCTTGCGTTTTAATAGCATACTCTTGAATCTCCTCTTTGGTCAGAACTCGCAGGACCACTACATATTCTGAAACCTCTTCGAAACTTTCATTTCCAGCTTTCAAGGCTTCAGGACTGACGAGTCGTTGGTCAATTTTTGTCCATCGTGCTCCTGCTGCTCGGATGGGGTCGGGATCCTCTGGAAGATTACCCTGCTGAGGCTTCAAAATTCCTTTCGCCGGTATTTCGGGGTTTATGGCAGACGATGACCCGGCATCAATGCCTTCCACATGTTTATCGCTCTCACTCATTTTCTGACGATTTGTATATTTTGAAGAGGGGTTAAGCTGCAAACTATCCAGTGAGGGAATGTCTGAATCATCCACTTTCCGACTCCCCATCATAGTAGCACTCTGCTCACCCCCCTCACGATGCCCACTGAGGTAATTAGGAAGATCGTCGCCAGACGTGTCTATATCTAAATCACTTCTGCGGCCATGAGGAGTAGAATGATGACGCTTTGACTCGCGATCAGTACTTCTTCCTGCCACTGTCACACTCCCAATGCTTGGGGAAGTGGTCGGAGAATATTCGAAAAGCAGCTTCTGGGGATAGGGAGGACTGCCGGCATTAGGCACCAGCCCAATTCCTTCAAAATAATTCTGTCCTGAACTCTCTTCCCGTGACCGGGTGCTCCAGTCGCTACGATCGAGTGATATCTTACTTGGGGGGTACGGAGCATTGTCGAAGACTGGATATACCGTACTTTTCCTGGCATGAGTTTCGTCGGCCCCAAAATCCTCTACCACCCGACGAGTGGAGGCATCTTCATACTCATTCTGGGATGCCCCTTCCTCTGAGTCACTACTAGGATTGCGAGTATCTCCCGCAACTGCCAAGGACCCAGGTTCGGATGATGCTCCCAATTGAGCCTGTTCCACTGGGTCTGGATCCTCACGAGGGAGAACAAACAGGGCCAACTGCTCCATATGATGTCCAACATGCCGCTCAAACGTCAGCGGTGGTCGGATATCGGTCTGGCACAGAGGACAATTCAAAACACTCTGCGGATCTGCCGGTACAGAGTGGGCTTCGCAAATATGCTGATACCACTGCCGACGACTGCCATAGAGCTTTGATGGGGTACTGCACTCGGGCGATAAGCAGACATATGGCATCAAGTCTCGGAAGATATGACGAGCCCAGTCTTTTGTATTCCTGATTGTGATCACAATACAACAATATGGACATTCAAATGGGCTATTATCCGCGGATTCCTTTGGCGCATTAGGAATAGACAGCGATTCATTTGCGGTAAACATGCTAGGGGCGTATGAAGTTTGGGAGATACCCGACATGGAATTTGTTTCCAAGAACTGGAGCTGGTCCATGTCATCCGCCATGGCCATCTCCGTGGCCACTGTTTCCGAAAGATAGTTGGACTCGGTGTCGCCTGTGGCAACTAGTCCTTTGCTAAGCTTTGCTTTATGCCGCTCAAAATATTTTAGCACTGCTTTTTGTCTTGCCATAGCAGCGCTTAGGCGGCTAGTAATGGTGGCCTCGGCGTTGGGGAACTTGTGGGAAACGTGTTGTTGGGCCCAAGGTTCAAAGAATGAAGCGTTCTTGATCTTTATCCCCAGGAGACGATCGTGGTCTGCGGGCCTACGAATGGCCATGGATATCCGGAACAGGAGATTGATAATGTTCCGTAGACTCTGGTACAACACTTGAATGTCTGTCATCTCATTGTTCTGGTCGTCCATTTCCGTATCGCTGGTGTCAGGGAACCCTTCGTCAATTCCCAGCTGATCTTCCTCTTCTTCATTCATCACATCGGCTAGGTCTTGTAACACCCGCACCATTCGCTGCAAAATTTTCATTGTCTCATTCTTCAGGTGCGAAGCATCTCGGAGCCGGTAGTCCAGCGAGGACTGCCCAGTCTGATGAGCACCAATATTACCAGCCCAGATTCGTAGTCGGCCCAATTCATCTGACCAGCGACGTTGAGAGACTTCATTTTCGTATCGTGCAAGTGCACCTGAGTTGATTGACTCCGTGAACTCCTTCAAGCACTGACTTAGTACCGTTGCAATAGTGGCATCCATTGCACGTTGAATAAGAAAATAAATATATGGGTAAGGACGGAGATAGGTGAAGCTGCGGGGTAATAATCCTGGGGGGGTAAAGATCTCACTCTTCTGTTTTCATTCTTCGCTCTTTACCACCTCAGTCATTACCTTCATTTTGCTCATATATCTCGATGGTGACAGGTATTGAGGCCACCGGTGTGGCTTTAGCCATTCTTCCTTTGCTAGTGAACCAGTTAGATAATTATGCACGAGGGCTGGAAAAGATCAAAGCCTTTCGACGATATAAGTGGCAACTGGAGGACTACTCTACTGGGCTGAGTGCCCAGTACGCCATATTGCTGAATACCTTAGAGCTGTCACTTGAAGGGGTTGTTGATGATCACGACCAAAGGTCTGAGCTGATCAGAAACCCGACAGGTTCTGGGTGGAAGGATGCAGCTTTTCAACGCCGACTGATTGAAAAGCTTGACCGGGATTACATTGCTTTCACCGGGATAGTGAATGGATTGTGTCGTCTCTTAGAGGATCTGTCCAACAAACTCGGACTAGAGACCACAGATTACTCAACTGTAAGAGATTCCGCATAATGAGGGAGTTCAGAAACTTATACATTCTATCCTAACAGGCTGCATCGACAATATCTTTCAAGACCCTCAAATTTCGCAAGATATTCTCCGCGGCCGTTTACGATGATATCTTGGACAAAATCGATAAGACAAATCAAATTCTGAAGACTCTCTGTGAGCAATCCCAACACCGAGAACAATCTCGACGGGGCCCGACCAGACAGAAGGCAAACCTGAAGCAATATCGAGACAAGAGAAGGCATGCGAGGTCCCTTTATGGTATCATGATAGAAGGAGGTCAATGCTGGAATTGTTCATGTCAAGATGGACACTCTATTGGCCTTCAACTTGACACAACCTCTCTCCATGGTGCAAAGGATACCCACTATGTATCTATGGACACGACTTTCCGCATGATTCTATCGTCCCCCAAGAACAAATTATCGTCTAATGCTCGAAGGCGATGGCACGAGGTCAAGGTGAAAGCCGACAAAAGTGTTGAATCCCCCCATGACACCATCAACCCTCACCCGTCAGCCTGGAAACCAAAGGTTCGTTTTAACGATTTGGAAACAAAGTGCGAGGATGATATTCACAAAACACCTCGTCCACGAGGCGCACTCATTTCCTCTCTTTGCTCAACGTTTCATGAAGTTGATATGGCAGACCCGCACGTCAAATCCGATTCCATTGGATACATTTTCGGTAAACAGACCTCCGAAGATACCAGATACTATATGAGCGTAATCCACAGCATACAAGACGAAATACATCTTCGTTCCTTACAAGATACCCTCATTGGCTCTCCCTCCTTGCCAGATTCCCCAATTCAAAGCTCGGATGAATTGAGTCGTCGAGACAGGCTTTATCTGGCCACCCTTCTCGCTTGTAGCGTTCTCCAGCTTCATGGGAACTGGCTCCAACAGAAATGGAGAACACAGGATATTCTATTTATCCATCATCCTGAATCCAAACATTCACAGTTTGAACGTCCATACCTTTTACAGAGAGTGTTGAGCGTACCTCAGACATATCTCAATAGGTCGACTTCGGAAGTATACGAAGGCATGAGTCGCCGTCAGATCTCAAACAATATTCTCTTCCCGCTCGCATTGGCCTTGATTGAGTTATCTCTGGGAAGAGCCATATGCACACTTCATTGCCCTGAAGATTGGGACTCATCTGAGGAAGTCTCTCACTTCAACACCGCAGCGAGACTTCTTAAAACAGTCTACTGGGAGAGCGGATCAAACTATGGTGATGTGGTTAATGAGTGTTTGTATTGGTCTCGAAGCAAAGGCGACGGCTTTGAGGACCCTCACTTCGACGAATCCGTGTTTGACACGATTGTCTCTCCTCTACTGAAGGATTTTGATTATTTCGAAGGTCTCTCTCTTAGGACATAGAGTGACAGTAGGACGGAGAATGTTCAACAATAGTATTGTCGACGACTCTTGCTCTACAGCATATTCCAAGAGAATTGATGATATGCTAGAATTGATGGGTAGCAATAATCTGCGACGTCTGCGAGTCTATCCATTAAACTTCAGTTAATGTCCAATCATAACGTGAATTACGAGCCCAGCCGCTCCTATTTAATAATCTACATACCTCGGCCAACTTTCTATGACCCTTCGGGTAAGATTTGGAGACTGTGGGGCTTGACAGCAGTTAAATTTGTACTATGGGAATGTCAAGTTACTGTGGTAATGTGACCACTGCTCTTCCCGTAATACCATCCTTCCCCAATTTCTCTATCAAAGTCGGCACAGTCGAGAAATCAAAAATCTCAATCGCTGGAACTATCTTGCCAGCAGCTGCCGCTTGCAATAAGTCAGTCAACTGATCTTCAGTACCCACAGACGACCCTATAAAGGTGAGACCTATCGTTCGGAGGATTAGTATATGATTTGACCAGACCTCATTCATCAGTCATCTTACCTCTCGCTGTGCAAAGCGTAGCCGAAAAAGGAATGTCCAAGTCATTCGGCGGCAAACCAACATTCACAACAAAGCCCATATTTCTCACCAGGTTAGGTGCCATCTTCAATGCTTCTTTCGTACCCGGAACGACGATTGTCGCGTGCGCGCCCTCTCCAGTGAACTCACGCACTCGAGCAATCACATCCTCGGTCTTGTAATCGAAGAACATCTCCGCCCCAGACTCCAGGCTCAGCGCTCTCTTATCGTCACCACTATCAACAGCAATAACACGCAAGTTTTTCATCCTCGCCGCAATTTGCACACCGATATGGCCCAAACCCCCTCCAGATCCCGAAATAACAATAAAATCACCAGCCTGCAGCTCATTATCAAGTCTTGACAATGCACCAACCATCGTAAGTCCAGCGCACAGTAATGGCGCTGCGACTTCATCGGCCATTCCCTCCGGGATCAGAGTTAGGAACCGTGCATCGGCGATGACATACTGCTGCAATGTTCCCGGGACATGGCGACTTGTATTGAGCTGCTGTGCACAATGATTCGGGAATCCTCGTTTGCAGACTGAGCATTCGTTGCATGCACTGTAGAGCCATTTGACGCCGACGCGTTTGCTGAGAAGGGATTCCGAGACTTCGGGTCCTGCTTTCACTACGGTTCCGACTCCTTCATGGCCGATGATTGAATTGTATGCGCCCCAGGCTAAGACGGCGCGGAGTTCTGAGCGGCTTTTTTGGTGGACATTGAGTTAGTTTTGGAGGTTGAATTCATTTTCAAAGGCGCTTACCACAAGCCGGTACAAGTTAATTTGACGAGAACTTCATTTTGTCCGGGATTTGCGACGGGTATATCATTCTGAAGAGCAATGGTTGCATTTTCTCCTGGGGTTTGCACCACGGCAGCTTGTTGTATAGTGGGTGTTGAATTTGCCATTGATGCGAGCAGTGTTGAGGAGCGTTAAATCTGACGTGATCAATATTCTCAATGCGTTTTACACCTTAATTCCCCTTTTGCTTTTCCGATACAAAGCACCGATGTTGAAGCCGGGTTTAGATGCATCATAGTCAAGTAGAGGACGATATTCGGGTTGCCGAGGTAATCGATTCTCGGTCAGGATATCGGCAAGTAGATGACGGCTAGGCAAGCACTAGAAGCAAATGGATCCAGAAAATTGTGAGGCTCGATTAAAATGAAATAAAATGAACAAATTTTAACAGCGCTATATCGCTAGCATAAAAGCTGATAATGGCAAATAATGACGCTTATGAACTCTCGAAGAGATATACCGAAATCATTAAGTCGCTGCCAACTACAGCACACTGATTTGTTCGGATAGTCGCATTATCTGGTATGTCAAAGCCAAGAACTAGGATCTAATGGAGAGGTGTACGATAATATTCATTCTATTTAAAAAGCTGCACTGCCTGCTCATCTTACGTAGCATCGGGTTACCATTACGGTGTAGCAGGGATAGGTTCTTGATGGGGATGTAATCGTCATTGTCGACGCAGTCATCGAGGGAACAGGCAACTACACTGTCGATTGCACGGGTCGCATTGAGTCGTGCATTTCGAAATTGTTTTATTCTTAGTTGTTTCTCCGCACTTTTCAGCTGGAGCAGCCAGCCGCGTCGATCCCCCGTGTCCCGCCCCATCCGCAATGCATGTAACCCTAGTTTTTATTGGAAACGGAGTAAGGGGGCGGAGATAATGTATTGGACTATCTTGACCGACTGACTTGTAGGGAGCAAGAGCTGTTAGGTAGCTAAGACGGCGCCGGCTATATATAAAGCTCGATGTCCGCAATGGCTGTGGACTATATATCTCAGCAGTGCATCCATAAATTCATTCTTCGCTGCCTTTTCAACCCTCTCAAATACATTCAAACAAGACTTTACAAGTCAATCCCTCCAATATGAAGCTGTTTGCCATTCTACTTGCACTAGGTGCCCTTGCAGCGGCAGCGCCGGGCCAGAATTTAGAAGGGTGTTCCCAGAAGGGTCAACTCTGCGACGGCGGCTCGCACCTGTGTTGCACGGGAACGTGCCCCGGGTATGGTCCAGGATTTGTGGTAAGTCTATACCTGCTCTTTCTCCGGGAACTCATATGCCAAACATGATATGAGATGGCTAAAAAAAGTAATATAGTGCAAATAAGCTATCGTATGCGAACGTTGGTGTTAAAGCCTTGGTTTACCGGTGCCATGTACCTGGTCTGGTGTCAAGATGAAGTAGGGAATATATTATTGCACTGAACACTGCATCGAACTGGTTTGTTGCTTAGGCAGTGTTTTTCAGACCTCTTTTTGCCTGTTTTGTCTTTATGAAGCAAGATAAATGGATGGCAGTAATTGATCTCTATTATTGTAAATTTTTCTGTTGATCACATTGCTTCTCTTTCTATGCATAGTGTACCACCACGTAAGCGTCAGAAATGAAGGAAAATACATGGATCTCACATGGTCCAAGGTATTTGCCCTGAAAGTCCTTTGACCATGGAATCAAAAGATTGTACGTCTGTTACAGTAGTTTTCGAAATCAGTTATACCACGCTCATACTACTTAACTCCTAAGCAATGATCGGACCCAAGCTAGTTCTAATACAGAAAGACGGGGCCCACTCCGCTTGCCCCCTGGCCAGTGCTGGAAACTGGTGATGAGCCTCTTCTCCATTTCAACTCCTCGAATTCCTGCTCTTCCCCTGGTCTACTACCATATCTAGGTCTGTTCCTACCTCTAACACTAGAGGATGGAGACCACACAGCCATCCGCCGACAAGGATATGAAAATATACGCCTGGCGGTGAAAGTACTTCGCATCAAGATGGAGGCCTCCAATCGGCAATTTCTTCAAGACCAAATAGATGAGATTGAATCTCTGAATCTCTCTACAGTTCTGCTAGAAGTATTAGGCGGTGAGGTAACCCGGCTTAGCGTCGGAATTATTTTCTCCGAATCAGGACTATGGCGAGCTGATTTCGAAAACTACTGTGCCACTGAGACCATTGTCAACCCCAGATTTCTGTCAGGAAGAATGGTCTCGCGTACGTCTTGAAAATGTTTCAACGATCTGTGGATCAAACTAACATCACCGGCAGCACCCCAAGATCTCCGACATATCGTCATCTCCGGACCTTCGGGCGTCGGCAAAGGGACACTGATCCAAAAAAGTTTTAAATGCACACCCTAATACATTTGGCCTCACTGTTTCCCACACGACGCGAAATTCATGGCCGGGCGAAATTGATGCGTCGCTTACTTCTTCGTCTCCCCCTCGGAGTTTTCCTCTCTTGTCTCCCGAGATGCTCTCGTGGAACGCACATGTTTTAGTGGGAAATCCTACGGCACGAGCAAATAAACTATTAATGATCAGGCTAGCAAAGGATTAGTTGTGTTACTCGATATCAAGGTAGAGGGTGTTAAGCAGATGAAGGCAAACCCCAGCATAGATGCACGGTATGTTTTCATCAAACCACCGAACTCTGAAGCTCTCGAGGCGCGTATTAGAGGCCGGGGAACCGAGAACGAGGAGGATATTCAAATGAGGCTTGCACGAGCTAAAGTCGAAGTTGAATATGCCGACTCTCAGAGCAAGGATAAGATCATTGTCAATGACAATGTGGAAACGGCGTACCATGAGCTTGATGGGTTTGTATTTGGGCTAGCATAACTCTCTCTTCTTCATTAAAAACTTTAGCTATTAATCGATGCACTTTTTTTTCAATGTTCCTTACGACCAATACAATGGCATCGATTATCACGTGACGAGGTCGTCGGGACGAGCATGTGATGACGCCGAGGTCTGATTAGTATTCAAAACAATCCTACCCGTGGACCCGAGAGAGAGCCGATCATATTTGAACAAGATATCGTGTTTCCTCAACAACTTCCTTTTTTCAAACATTCCCATCATGACGACTCTTTTCACCGTACCGATCAGCTCCACTGGAGGCTCGATCGTCTGCACAAACCCTAGCACAGCGAAAGAGCATGAGACCATCTATGTGCTCACTTTTATTTCACCCCCGGACAACCGACTGACACCCATATTTATTGATGCTATGCTGCTCGCCCTGGACATTATTGAGCACCGCTACCCCAAGGGCGTCGTAGTCACTACTAGTGGAATTGCGAAGTTCTACAGCAATGGGCTTGATCTCGATCTTGTCGCGAAAACCGAAGGGTTCCTTGAAAACTGGCTGTGGCGATTGTTCCGGCGCCTTTTGACGTATGTTTTGTTCTTGTGTCGCATCCTCAGTTTGAGGACACAGTGCGTCATGCATAATTCCGAACAAAACACTAATTTCCACTTTAGATACCCCATGCCAACCGTGTGTCTATTAAATGGACACGCTTTTGCTGGCGGCTTCATGTTCGCCATGTATCATGACTACAGAATCATGAACCCTGACCGTGGTTTCCTCTGTGTCAACGAGCTGGAATTTGGCGTCCCGCTTCAGACGCCCATGATGTCTATATTCCGCGAGAAGCTGACACCAGTCACTTTCCGAAATGTGGTTCTGGAAGCTCATCGCTTTGGTGGACGCAATGCCCTCGAGGCTGGCATCGTTGATGCCGTTGGTGGAGCCGAGGAAGCCCTTGCCCTGATCCAGACACGCAAGCTCCAGACTAAAGCCGCCACTGGTATCTACGGTACTATGAAAGAGGAGATGTACTCCCGTGTCTTGAACGGCTTGGATGACCATGCTGGAAACTTGCAGTGGCGGGAGAAGGTTGAAGATAAGAATCAAGCTGTTCAGAAAAGAGGGTTGGAGGATGTACAACAATTTGAGCAGAATGGGAAAGCGAAGCTTTGAGTGGGTGGAATGTAGAGATTCTCAGATTCCTATGTTGATATCATACTAAGTGTAGTGTACATATATCTAGCGTTAGTTCAACCTTTTAACTAGACCAGTGGCTTTTCAGTTTGATTTGGAACGTGGTACTACATGGCTAATATGAAGCTACGAGTAAAACCATGTACTTAAGTTCGTCTTGCGAATTTCATGTTGTAACCGCTCATGCCCTGAGCTATCACAGTTAAATGCATATCATCTGATTATTGATGTTCATCTGGACTGCGGATCCTGCCGGATTGACAGCACAAATTGTTCTACTATAATCACTTCACGATAACCTGAGATTTGTCTTGCCTCACTTGTGAATTAACCAGCTTGTCGGATATGGCAATGCAATTGTTGGATGATCCCATCTCCCATTGTTTGCTTCCAGACGAGCGAATTGTTTGCCAGACATCAGGGTATAACTACCCTGCTTTTTCGTAGATTGAATAACAATAATTCATTCTCTTCCTCTTCCTCCCATTTGCCAGTAGCCACGAGAGCAATATCACAAGCTCTTCACATCGTGGATTGACAATGGGGCTACTAGGAAGGCAACTCTGTTTCTTATAATTTCAACTACAATATCTTCTAAACTTCCTATGGATGAATATATCTTGACTGATCTATATATATAAATTCAATGCAACTAGGAAGTGAACTTACCTTAGTTCCTTTCTGGACTTCGATTGAAGTCTTGGGTGTCCTTGTTAGTATAAGTATGAGCATCGCTCCTTTTGTTTGAGAGAAATCAATGGGCAATGCCATTGAGAATGTGGTTAAGACAGGCGACATCGTCAACTGCTTTTCATCATATGCTACATCGGACGTTTTTCATAACAATTCCGTCCCTCGCGATCAACATTTCAAAGGTTTTCAGGTCATTCTCAGCATTACTTGACATTGTCATAGCTTTCAAAATGCCGAGATCCTCTTCCTAGAAGACAGGCAAGAAGCCCTCGGCCTACTAGAACAACGGACTTGTCTCGCTTAGAGTGAGCCTTCCTCCAGCCCTTGCTCCAATACTCATACACAAATCACAATCATCCTATATAAATAAGGATTTCTGTTCCTTTCCTTTCTTTCCTTCCTCGCATCTTAAAATTGGCTCCCCCAACCTACGAAACATTTCTTTACAACCAAAATGGACAACATTCCCCAGCGTGGTGGTCACACTGCTGCCATCCCAGCAGCCACCACAAGTGCTCCAATTTCCCTAGGCGAGGGCATCTTGACCCTGAAGACCGCTGCTCCGCCTGGCGCTCCGAGTGTAAGATACTACTTCCACACTATCTCTCCCTAGATTTTTACTGACTCTAGTAATCTAGATGGACTCACCTCAACCAGCCGCCCGTTAAAGCGGCTGGTGGAAGTCATATCCTCTCGGCATGTAAGCCAAGGAACCCTAGAGCCAAAGAGCGGGTTGGGCCAAACACCGAGCGCGTCGTGGAGTTCGGGGGTTTGAAGAGGGAATGCATCGACCGTACCCTAGATACACCTAATTTTTAATGATGAGGCCAACATAAAGTGTACCTTAAAGGCCTATGCTCGGTGCTGGGAGGCAATGTGAGGCCATGATAAGGTTATTGGGAAGCGTATCCTTGGGCCATGAACTCCCCAGTCTATGCCGAACAGCTTCACGCCACTGGTATCCTTATGCGTTCACTTGTTTGTGACTCCATCGCCGCAGTCACCGAGCACAGACATGCCTGGCGGATGGAGGTTCACAGCGTTACTAATGTGAGAATATGATATGTTCTAGTGTGCGTGGTTTCACTGACCATGCTCGCATACGGCCGGAGCTACCAGGAAGCCAGAGCACGCATGCCTCACGAATATCTTGCGCTATCGTTCTAGGAGAAGCAAGGGGTATTCCTCGATCACATGCCGAGCTCCTACGACGAGTTTTACGAGTCTGCCAGAACCACATGGAGGCGTGGTGCCCCTGCCATTGAGCGAGATGTTTGACCTTGGTCTTTTTTTGGTGAGTAGGATGGTGAGATCGTCCCTCACTGGAGACTTGGCTTACAATGTTACGCTTGTCTCGCCTTGTTTTTCTTCCTGAAATGACTGGGGATCTTGATTCTGTTTCGCGGTCTCTACTCTTAATGATGATATTTTAATTCGAAAGCATTCCTAAGTTTGTAGGGAGTTCGAGCCTTCCTCCGCTCCAGAACAACCAGTTCCTCAGGCCCCCGCCGAACCCGAAGTTCACATCCCTCCGACATTCCCAGCCGCTGAATCTCGGCCGTCCGATCCCGCCGTCTCTGATCAAGAGTGGGCCTTGATCGAGGCGTTCCATGCCCACCTACAAACGTACTCGACAGAGACCTGTTCCCGTTGTCGTCAGCGATCGTTCAACATGGAGCTTATCAATGGGGTTTGTGACCACTGCCGAATGGTCGACAGAGATCAGGATGTGGAGCTATTCAGTGCGCTGAATAACATGCACCCGGATGAGATAGCTCTGGGTTTGCCGGAGCTAACGCAGGTGGAAGAGATCCTCCTCCACTACTCACATACTATCACTACTTTCCCCTCCCTTTCTCTTTCTCTTCTATCCTTTCTTTTCTTCCTCTCATCTTCACTTTAACCCACCCCATCTGATATGTCTACTTCCAACAAAATGGAGATCGTCCCCACCGTGGTGAGCACGCTGCTTCCACCACACCAGCTACCACCAGTCCTGAAATTTCCCTCGGCGAGAGCATCTTGAAATCAAAGATCGCTCCGCCACCCAGATCCTCGAATGTAAGATGCTTGTTCTAGGCCATGCCTCTCCGAACCTTTACCGACTTAGGTAATCTAGGTCCACATCGAACACCCACCTATTAATGCTGCTGCGGAAAACTACATCCTTGCCACATGTAAGCCCGATGCACCTAGCGCCAAACAGCGACGCAGGGGAAATACCCAATGGCATGTAGAGTCCGGGGTTGTTGGGAGGCTGTCCTCTGACCAGACCTTGGATGCGTCCCTCTTCGACCAAACCAAAATCTCGGACATTTCAGAGCCCGAAACAAATACCGACGACGCTAGGTGCAAAGTCGAACCTCATCCATTCAGCGCGCTATTTGAGATGCTTAACGAATGCCCCGACGAATTCATATCTGTAGAACACTTTTACGAAAACTCTAAAGACAAGATTCCGACAAATTTTACCAAGGACGATTTCAAATGATAGTGCACGAAGCTTCTACTTGAAGTAAGAGACAAACCTCTTCTAACTTCCAGTGCGGCTTAGAACGCCAGGAAGAAAGACAAAGAAGGGTTCGTCTCCGTCACCTAAAGAGGACCATGAGATCATCGCGCGCTATAGACTAGACGCATGATCTGGCGTTCGCCTTGTCTTATTTCTTTTGGAGTGGGTAGAAAGCACTATCTCATTTTTTCTTCAGACACCTAACAATGACATCTCGATTCGAAGCCATTCCTGATGAGGTTGCAGAGAGATCATTAGACAGAGTACAGGGTTAGTGGGTTCAGACCATTTACAAATCTAGAGAGTGGTCTCCATTATTGCATCTCTCGCAGCGCTCCAATTTAAACTTTTATAGTTGCCATGTGGGGTGCAGATCACCCCGGGCTTGGCACTACACCCCATTTCAAATGATGTTTCTATATCCAAGCTCATAACACGATGTCAAGACCAGAAACTTCCAAATTGAGCTGCACTTTCTTCAGGAATATTTGCGCCTTTTTTTCCGGAATGGTCTCAGTTAGCCTATGTGGTTGTAGAAGGTGACAGACTTCGAAACCTTGTCAAAGAAGACATGCAAGCTCTCGATATTTTGTCCTGTTGACTACTATGCTAGGGTTATTTTGTCTTTCTAGTCAGGGAATTATGTGGGAATCGGACCATCCTCGGACCGTCTTCGGACTGTCTTTATGTTTGTTTGTCAGACTGAGCGTTTGTTTGCCATTTCCATCAGGATAAATACCCTGCCTCATAGATTGGAATCCAGAGACTTTTAACACTTTACACATATCTCTCCCACACCTCAATAGATTATCACGGAAGGTCAACAGTCTAATCTGACTCTTCTCGTGGTAAATCTGACATGATTTATTCGTGCATCGCGGAGTCCCGATTGGGTTTGGTGTGGTGGGCTTGATTTTGTGAGTCAGTACGAGTACGGGGCCTACTACCTACTGATTTATTTCTCCAAATGCAAAGAGATTCCTATAAAAATTCGAAAAGTCGAAGTCCGATTTCCCATACTTGCTGCAAGATCTCGCTACATCATCGGATATACCCCTCCCCTCCCAGTTATCCGTTTCAATAACGCAAATCCACAGCCTTTCAAACCAACTGCCCACATATCCAGCAATGACCTCAAATAACTACAGGTCCATCCGAGCCAAACAAACCCCAAATACAATCACAGTGTACCAAGCATATTCCCCGGAGATAGCCGGGCCAGCAATCAAAGCCCAAACATTCGTCCCTCCATTTTCACGGGAGAGAATGACCTGGATTAAACCCTCCTTCCTATGGATGGCGTACCGTTCAGGCTGGGCAACAAAGGTCCGACAGGAGCGTGTCCTGGCGATAGAGATTACCCGCGAGGGATTCGAATGGGCGTTGCACCATTCCTGCTTGAGTCACTATACGCCTGGGGAGGAGACTAGTCAGGAGGAGTGGCAGAAGAAACTGCGTGCCAGTCCAGTCCGCGTCCAGTGGGATCCCGAGCGAAATATTTCAATGCAGTCTTTGGATTATCGGAGTATTCAGATTGGGTTGAGTGGGGAGGCTGTTGGGAGATATATTGATGAGTGGATTGTTTCCATTACTGATGTGACTGCTACTATGAGGCAGATTGATGGGTATCTTAAGGATGGGAATGTTGATGCTGCTAGGTATTGTGTACCTGAAGAGACTCCGTGTGATTTGCCTGAAGATTTACGGAAGCATCTTAGAATGAGATAAGTCATATTGTTCTATTTCTTCTGTGTCTATCAACAGGCTGAAGCCCAGATCTTCCTTGTGGCACATGATGAGTCCCAGACATATTGCATATATTGGCACGGTGGCTCCGGTATTCTGCGACTTTTTGCTACATATGCATATCAAACAGTCAGCTCCAAGCTTGAACAAATACCTTCCCTCTCATTTCATAATATAGTCCTGGAGAGCCTTGAAAGTTTATTCATCTCGCTTTTCCCATCTTCTATAAGATTAGCTTAGGAGCAAACGGGTATGGAACTGAGATTGATGTTGTATTGCCAAAACATACTCGTAGCATAGTTTACTGCATGTGTGTATTGACGCTTTTGTTCCAAAGGACTCTGCACCGGGGCCTAAAAAAGAAGTCTCAGTTCCATGGACAATGGATGAGTGATAACGAATAACTTTCAGTATATAGAAAATGATGTATCTTTCCTTTCTGTCTTTTTTTTATCAGTACAGTGCGCAAAACACAGCCAAACAACCCAAGAAACAATAGTAGTAGATAGTCAAGGAAACACAAGTCCAGCTCTGTTCATAAATTGTAAAGTACATAACTTCGTAAAAGTCCATAATCCCATAATAACCAAAACCCCTTTTCGGGCTCAAGTCTTTTTCGCCTTGCTGGGACGGCCGAGTCTCGGTGGTCCTTCTAACTGGTCTACCAACGGCCGATACGGCGACGCCAAGACATGCTCCGGCGCGCGCCCTCGTCCCGGCTCCCCAGAGCTTGGTCGATGTAATTGCTCCTCGTGCATGCGATCAAGCGGTTCTCCAACTACCTGGTACTTGGCCCAGTTGATTGGGGGCATACGGACGATATTCTGCGGAACGGGGATATGGCCGAAATTCGAAGCCGGCGAGCCGTCTGGATTCGTGCGTTTTGATCCTTCTTCATTATCTTCATCGTCCCCCGCATCGTCCTCGGAGAACTGGATCACAGCACCATGGTCCTCGGTCTTCAACCGACCTGCTGCCAGCTCGTGCGCAAACCCCTCTGGATCAGCGGAAGCGGCTTCTTTCATGCGATCCAAAGCCTGGATGTCGCGCAAACTTTGCTGCTTCTGCATTTGCAGGATTGAAATGGCGGAACGGAGCGCGATGGCATCTGGATTCTCGCTCTCGGATATAGGGACAGGGGGCGGTCGAGGTTTGAAGACGGGTGGATTGGGAGGAGGAGGTGGGGGGTGTGAATAGTTGGTATATGCCTGTGGAGGGAGGTGTGATGTGGGAGATGGAGATGCAGGTGGCGGTACGATTGATGGCTCATTGGAGGCGACAGGCGCGAGATGGGCAAACACGGGTGTCACCGGGGAATAAGGTGGGCGAGGTGGAGTTCCCGGCTCTATGATTGAGGGTTGATCCCCTTGTTGCTGCATGATGAGATTCGACAAAGTTGAAGATCAAGTTGGAGCTAAGTGGGGGGACAATCGAGGTTGCGGTGATAAGGGTTATGACGACAGCGGTGCCTGAATTTGCCGCAATCACATGTGTGAGGGATCAAAACAAAAACTGCGTTATGAAGGGATTTTTCATATTTCAGATCTCAAAGATAAAAGAAAAGACTGACATGCAGTAATTAGTTTGCCATCGGATAAAGGCGAGGGCATCGGCTAGGCACCACTGATCTACGAAAGGATTCCAACCATCCTAGAATATAGGTGTTTGAAACTCAATATTGATTGAGATTTAAACTACAGAATGCAAAATATACAATAAACTAGATGTTTGAGGTAAATTAGAGGTAAACTAACTAGAGGTAAATTAACTATAGTAAATTTTAGTTCACTGTGATCTTCTATCTCTTACTGGAGAAGCAAACACAGTTGACCGCCTCATCGTGCGCCCTCACCGCCCGGAAAAATCTATGAAACATCAGACCACTCTGTTGAATCCATTCCTCTACAAACCTCAAAATGAAGCGCAAGACAGACGCAAGGGCCTCCCTCGACGGCAATACCATGCCTCAATCCAAGAAGCGGGCCCTCTCTAGCGAGGAGGCTGCTGCCCGCTTCCGCGACGGCCTATTCGACACCGCGGAGCAGCAGAAGTACACCAGCGAATACGCCAAGTCTTCTCCGTACGTATACATATGGAAATAGTCCAATGGCAAAAGACTGACATTTCTGAATCTCTAGCTACCTTCACGGCGTCATTCACCCTCTGATCGAGCCCTCTCTCCTCCGCTCTGTCCGCAATGAGATCGAAACACAGGTCTCCTTCACCGAGAAGGAAACAGACATTTACAAGATCTTCCAGTCTGGCGATCTCGCCAACCTCGATGGACTGGATGACTCGTCCCTCTCGAAGTTGCCGTCAGTGCTGAAGCTGCGCGACGCAATGTACTCAGCACGGTTCCGCGAGTACCTATCCTCCGTAACTGGCTCCGGCAAGCTCAGCGGGCAAAAGACCGACATGGCCATTAACGTCTACACCGAGGGCTGCCACCTCTTGTGCCACGACGATGTCATCGGCAGCCGCCGCCTCAGCTACATCCTCTACCTGACCGACCCCGACACACCCTGGAAACCCGAGTGGGGTGGTGCCTTGCGCCTGTTCCCAACAACCACCGAGAAGGACGCCAAAGGCGAGGACGTCAAGATCCCCAGCCCAGACTACAGCCTCTCCATCCCTCCCGCCTTCAACCAGCTGAGCTTCTTCACCGTCCAACCGGGCGAGAGCTTCCACGATGTTGAGGAAGTGTACCACCCACGCGACGACGAAGACAAGGCCAAGAAGCGCGTGCGCATGGCGATCAGCGGTTGGTTCCACATCCCGCAAGAAGGCGAAGACGGATACGAAGAAGGACTGGAAGAGAAGCTCGCTGAGCGCAGCAGTCTCGCGCAGCTGCAGGGCCGCGGCGATATCTACGACCTGCCACAGCCGCAGCCAGTGTCCTGGGAGGAGCCCGAAGTCGAGGGCAAGGGTAAGGGCAAAGTTGAAGAGCAGACCGAGGGCGAGTTCACAGAAAGCGATCTAGCCTTCCTGCTTCAGTACATTGCACCTTCGTACCTGACGCCCGATATCGCTGAGGAGATGTCGGACGCGTTCTCAGCCGAGTCCTCGCTCAGCCTTGAGCGGTTCCTGAGTGAGAAGTTTGGATCGCGCGTGAGCGCTTACATCGAGGAGCAGGAGAGGCAGGCTCTTCCTGCTTCTGCGGATGAGATCCAGGCGCAGCGCGGGTGGACTGTTGCCCGTCCTCCCCACAAGCATCGTTATCTGTACCAGCACGCTTCTGGTGAAAATGATTCCGACAACCCGATTCAGGAGCTGTTGAACGTGTTGTTCCCATCGCAGCCTTTCCGGAAATGGCTCGGGCTTGTTACCGGTGTGGACCACCTCACTAGTCACAATTTGCTCGCCAGACGATTCCGTCGCGGTGCGGACTATACTCTTGCTAGTGCGTACGAAGGCGAGGAGCCTCGACTCGAGTTCACACTCTGTCTTACCCCAACCACAGGGTGGGAGAAGCAGGAGGAGGAAGAGGATGATGAGGATGAGGATGAGGACGAGGACGAAGAAGCCAATGGCTCATCTGCGAAGGCATCCAAGCCAAAGGAGAAGACAAACGACGAGGCTGTAGAAGGCCCCGCTCTGGGCGGATACGAGATCTATATGGCTGGTGATGATGATGAGGATGATGACGATGAGGAGGATGCCGAGAACGCTGGCCAAGTCCTGGGTCGGAAGAAGACCAAGGCCGATCCGGCTATCTACCGTTCTGCGGGTGCAGATGAGGATGATGGTATTCTATTCAGCACGCAGGCTGGATGGAACCGCCTCAGCATTGTGCTGCGCGATAGCGGCACTCTCAAGTTCGTCAAGTATGTCAGTGCTGCGGCTAAGGGTGATCGGTGGGATATCACTGGTGATATTGGTGTTGAGTTTGAGGAAGGAGATGATGATGATGAAGATGGTGATGAGGATGAGGATGAGGACGAGGATGAAGAGTAAATCATAATCATTATGGCAGCATGACTGCAGTGGATAGGTTTCAAAAAGAATGTAGATATTATATATGGCGCATATACGACTTGAATTGACTTGATGATATATCACTTGGTTTTGATCCTGGTTATGCCCAGAGATGTTGATATGGACATTCACATCAGGCACTCTGACTTTGTATATGCATTCTCGCACCGGCCCTTTCGAATTAGTCATTGCCAATGTGATCTTCCCTTGTGGCATCTTCCTCTGAATCGTCACCTCTATTCCTCTTCACAATCTTAAAGATCAGAGGACCATTTTCACCATCTTCCAATTCAAGTTCAGTATCTACCCAGTCGGGGTATTTCTGCATATTTGTTAGCTGTTGAAGCAAGAAAAGCCAGCAATTAGTTCCCAGGTGAGTATAAACAAACACCATAAGCGATGGCTTTGCTTTCTGTTTTCCCCTAACCTTGGGAGTTCGCCCTGGGGCATTGACTAACCTTCGAGTAGGCAAATAGTATAAGCCTCTTAGTCACCTGCGACGCACTCACACAGCCAATGATAAAGGGAATAAGCTGCCCCGTCGTCTTCATGTCGTTAACGCTGTGGATGTCGTTCCAGTGGATTGTGTACTCAATGCTAGCGATAAACCACGCAATGCTTAGGACGACGTAGACATTCCACAAGGAACAGAAATTCCGATGGCGGCGTCTATTTTGCAGGAATTTTAGGACCTTTTTTTCACACAATAAGAGTCATATAATGGTGCCACTCACTTGGCTTTTTTCCAACCTGACATCAACCCTACGCCATGCATAGATGTGTCCGTCTCATTCTTTGTCACTTTTCCAGTCCCTAGTGACACACAGACCTTGATCACATCGGAAAATCGGATTGCGTCTCCTTTGGGCGTGGCTAGGAACCCGAGTACGTCCGTGACCGTTATCGATGCGGCAAATGACCCTAATACAGGCAACGGGACCAGACTTAGGAATGGGATTCCTTGCTTTTCTAGCAGTGCATTGACTCTGCTAAGTGCTGAGTGAACAGCTTGTGGCGCGGCTGGGTTGAAGAAATAAAGAAGATCGCGGTATAGAAAAAATCCAGCGTACCACCAAAGCTGCATCGTTAGGTGGAGGAGGAGCAGAGTCGCAGGGAAGACGGCAATGACTATGATAACAGCCGTGGCGCGGCACAGAGCAACAATGGGACCGGCTAGTTGTTGCTTGGAGAAGAGGAAGATGTAAGGAGGCCCGCAGCCTTCTCTAGGTGGTTGCTGTGCACCACTGCCAGAATTGTCAAACCAGAATGCTAGGTTGTAACCAGCGATCACAGCAGCTGTGCCCATTCTCCAACTCACCCCCGACCAGGAGAGCTCAGGGGGCTTCAAGGCTGACAATATGTTGAGGGGCGGCTTGGAGGAACCCACCCTTTGCTCTTGCAATGTAAATGTTGGCGAAGAGAACCGGGACCATATGATAAGGACAGCCAACTCACCTTGGGTCAATATATCGAGCCACCACCCCTTTGACATGGGTGTCGACGGCTCGGATATGTGACTTAGCCTAGACTTTTCAGCATCCCAAAATGATTTGAGCGCTGCGGTTGTCTTTGCCTCCAGCTTAGCAAGCCGATCGGGGCTCATGAGCCACAGACGCACGCCCACGGTGCTGAGCGTAGTGATGAAGGAGCCAAGCATGAACTGCAACATGATGTGTATTTCGACGGCTGCCGTCCCAACCCGTGCTGCGATAATAGTTGCCACCATTATAGCGAAGACAAAAACTGAGTTAGTGTCGTAGATGGATTGAGCCGAATGAGGGTCTAAGAGTAGGCTGATCCATGCTGAGATCCATTGTAGATACACTCCAAGACGAATTCCAAGACCGTATAAGTCGGGATTGCCTTCAAATGGTTTGCAGGTGTCCATTATTTACGGTGATGCGTCGAAGACATCAAGTCGAATGGTAGTCCAAATGGGAAGTTAGTGTCTTAAAGTAATATTCTAGGTCTTCAAGCTTGATGCTGAAGAGCTAAACAGGTCGAAGCGACCGGTCGGAAGACAAGTTTGGTGTATGAATGGATTAACTATGCCAAGCGTACCAACACCACTGCTTGGGCAGTGCTGGCGCCCCTCAGCCACAGATGAGCAGTGTTGGTACACTTGGCATGATACAAACGTTTGGGAGGCCATAGTACGGAGTAATGTACGGAGAACTCCGTAGACTGCTGCGCCTCGCATTTTTAGTGTACATGTCACATATTAAATTTCTGTTGGCTTCCTGACCCAAATTCTACAACTACTGGCATCATCCATTAGATGTCTGCAGTAGGTTTCGAAAAAAATTGTAGAGATTATATGACATACGACTTAAATTGACTTGGATAGTACTTCGCGTTTAGAGATTATCCATATTAGGGGGAATTCTTTGTTTGAAGGTCGGTTTCTCGTCTGTATATATTTCTTAGAGAAATAAACATAGAGACCTCGGTATAATAGCGGAATATTGTCCAATAGAGCGATTCAACATGTTAAACCATTCAAAACCATGCTGCAATGTCGTTGGACCAATATTCCGCAAATATATACTCGTTTGTCAACCAATTCGTCGCGTTCAACATTTAAATACACAACCAGATCACAATATACTCAAAACAAATCTCCGCGCTACCCTAGCAACAAGGCCAAATCTCAATCCCTAATTCTACAAATAACCACTGACATCATCCACAGCGGCAATTGAAACCCATAACAAGACACGCGGGACGATCCCGAGAGCCGGCGCGAGCTGAAACAAGCACATGGCGGGACGAATGGACCCTGGGAGGGGAAATGATCTAAGACACAGCAAGGAACAAATAATTGAGTATTAATTATTGACTATTAACGACAATTACCAAGGAGTTCGAATACAGAAGAAGAAAAAAAACAATATTGATACAGCCAGCCATGGAAGTGGGGGAGATCATTCAAGCGAAAAATGTAAATCTCAAAGCGAACCAAATATGTACACAAGTGGAGGATTTCAGCAATCAACATAATGTCGTAGTGCACATGCACGATGCATGTATGTACTCCGTACCTCACCAGATTCAAAGGGCGAGAGCTACACATGGCGCCGAACAGATCCACATATCCAGCGAGGAGGTAACCCAGGAAGCGGCGACGATTCCCCGTGGAATTCTCGAGCTGCAAGACAAGACATGTTTGGGACCGGATGGCTACTCTACTCCACCATTGTCCGTATTGAGTTTACCCCTTACTAACAGGGTCTTTTGACAGACACGCGACAGCACGTAAACCGAGACCAGGAAATCCCCAGTGGCGTTGGGGCAGGCAAGGGATGTGCCACGATGGAGGAAAGGGAGGGAGATCGTGGAATGATCTGCCAATCATACCTGGGTATCGGGGATGAAGGTACGGAGTACATGTGTTGCATTGTACTATGTAGGACCCAGGTATCCATGGTTGGATGGATATTCTTGGGTCTTGAGGGTTCTGATTCAGCATAAAGCAGCGTGAATCATTTTCATGACTCGGGTGTCTGGTTTAGTGATTAGCGGAGGCATCGGTAGCCTCGCCTTTAGTCGATTTTTAATTTGCGTGGCTTGCGCTGGATGGTGTGTCGTGGATCCTTTCCTACAACAGTAGATATACTCCGTCCTCCGTAGCGAGTAGTATATTCCTGATTAGTGAAATCTTCCGGGGTTGACCAGATCGGATGGTCAGTCGTAAGCCGGATGGATTCAAACAAGATCATCGCGTCGATCCTGAGTGTTCGTTCTTGATATGTCTAATGAAGTTCTGTTCGACCTCGGGATGGGGGAAGGTCCGAAGAGGAGCCATCCATGGACTCATCGACACCTGAGAGCCTGAGGTACTCTTGGGACTACGAGTCTAGGTACCAACAAGGCTGTGTTTGGTTACTCTGATCAATTATTAGGCTAATATATATTCCAGCTGTGTGCTCATCTAGTCATCCGACTTAGCGCTCTAGGATTTCAACGCGGAACACTGAACATTAGGCCAAACCAATGAAATACTCGGAGTAAACGCTGTATGCAAAATGAGCGTGACGACAATGGAGAAAGTGATTATGCCAGGAAACTCATATGAATCATGATGTATTTTCCTTCATCCCACTATTACTATCCAAACCATCACTTCTACTATCGTAACACGCAACTATAATAATCCGATATGTTGACAGCAATGGAAGCCAACCAGCCCGACATAGATGCCCCACAGCTCACCTTCGAAATCAACGGCCTCTACATCCTCTTATCTGACCGCGGCGACAAGAGCTACACATTCCACTGGCGCTTCTATCTACACCAGGGTGCAACATCAGGCTCGATCTGCCATCTACTAAACGACATCGATCCAACCATCTGGCGCTTCGAGTATCTACCCGACCAGACCGTCATCTATGACCCATCACTGCTCGGAGCCCTCAAGATAGGAGTATTAGAGCCTACCCTCCACGCGGCTTTTTTCGAACGTCTTCAACAAATCCCAATCGTCGATTCAGTCCGATTCCGCGAGAGAATAACTTGCCGGGTGTGGCTCAAAGAAGCTCTTTTTGCGCTGGATGACGAAGGGTACATCATACTCACTCGGAGTGTAGATGATATCGAAGCCGAAGCGAGGAACCGCGCGCTCCAGAATAAGAGTTTAGGGAGGCGAACGGTTGTGACGAGTAGTGGGAGCCAGGGGTGAGATTCCCGGTGTCATCTGGCAGATTCAAGTGGGGAATATGGCGATATCATGTGCAAGGAGGGTGAGGGACTGGGTTATATTAGACGGTGACCAATTTGGGAAGCTATTTCGGTTTTATTTCAGTCACGGGTGGAGCCAGAAAGATGTCAAGGCCGAGCGGCATTATTGTTTCAGTAGGGTACCTATGCCTAGTGTCCAGGTGGGTAAAAAATAGGTGTGTTACGGAGGTGGTTGGGCGGGACGCCGGTGGGAGTTACGGGTGGGACGGGACGTTTTTGGTATCAGTGGATATGAATAATTGATTATTGTATGCTCACATTCTATGTAAATCCTGGTATCTTTCCCAACCTTGTCTGCATGTAACCTCTAAGCTTTGCCTGTGCGCTCCCCAGCTTCGGGGAACGGGAGCCGGTGCGAGGATCGTCGGTAGGGAGTTTGAGTTGGGAGGTACTCTGTTTAGTACTTCGTACATATGCAAATAGGTAGGTATGTGAAATGTACGGACAATGTAGGTTTTTTTTGTACGTATATGTATAGCCAAGTAAGAGGTAGTAGTGCAGACGCATAGAGCCACGGGATCGAATGACATGTTGGAGACCTTCGAAGACTAGACACTATTTAAAGTCATAGTCTAGACTCTTATTTTGACGAAGGGGCTATCGCCATGCGAGGAATAGGAGCTGGAATTGGAATTGGAGGCAAAATGAAAAACAAAAGTGAAAAAAAGTACACCCCTGGACCGGTACGACCCGTGTGTCAAGACAGACTATTGGGAAAGGGCAGTAAGGCACGGCCCATGACCACGACCCTCCTCAAAGGCGTGGATGCAGGAATGGGCAAGGGCCACGGTATTGCCATGGGCCCCAGGCAGATGGGAGAGCATGGGGGATTGCCATGGGCGAGCCATGAGCCCTGAGCGAAAGGAGGCATTAGTCGGCACTATTGACATAGCGAACTTTAAGCTTCTATCCCTTGATGGAGATAGGGTTGGCGAGGGTGTACAGCGTTGTAGAGATAGAGTCGTACTCAGAATTCCCGTTGCCGATAGACATCTTTTTTTCCCCCGGGAGACCAGTTTGGCAGAGATTGAGTCTCGGATAAGCTGCCTAGATGTGTGTTTGTCAAGTATGGAGAAGTGCTACCGTATCAGAGGTTCGAGGAATGCGCCGTAGATCGAGTGGCGATCTTCGAGACATTCTGCAAGGCGACGATGGTGCCATGTGGCATACCAGAAGGGGAAGATGATGGACAGTAGTACTTGACATGCATATGTTTATATTGAATGCTGCCTAAATGAGACTCTCAGCCACAGTGTGGCGAGTTGGGCACGGATTTGATATAATAATTGATTTTGTATTTTATATTTAATTTACACGTTACAAACGACTAGATCTATTTCTGGACGAACACCCGATCAAACGGAGATGAGATCAAATGGATACATCGAAAGGCTTTTTAGCCCTTCGCGTAGGTACGGGTAAATACCCCATGTCTCATTTCTGGGGAGATTAAATATATTGGAAAGTACTCCATATTTAATAACCTGATACCTAGAATCAATAAATAAGAGATCCAGACCCTCAAATCAAATAAGCTTGGTCATATTTGCCAAGTGTCTAGGTCACACCTATTCGGAACCGGGATATTAGTGAAAATAGCCGCGCGACATGTAACCTCTCTGACAGGTCAACATGTGATGATTTGGGCGGCAGGGACGGGTGGTTGCATGGGAACCTCAAGCTCATGGAAGCGTGGATCTGTGACACACTTCTGCTTGTGTCCGAGGTGTTACAGAGAGTGGATAAATTGATGAGAATTATAGAAATATATTATAGAATGAAATTATAGGCATTATAGAAATTATAGGAATTATATATAACAATATGGGAATATATAAAAATACCTTCGGTAAGTCTAAATGCCATGTGTATCACTGAAGAAACAATCGCATGGACAAGGATTACAAACAGTTTTGCCCCGTGCCGATTTTGCCATGTGTCCAACGTCAATTTTCTTTACCGTACAGTAATCTCCTAAACGGGAGTGTGCATATTAGCCCCGGTCGCGAATGCAGCTTGACTGGATGGAAAGAGAAGGAGACTCTGCAAGGGAGAAGCCACGTGAAGGGGGTACTGTAATATTTTTATATTTTATATAAACGTGTTCTCCTTGCTTTTCCCAGGGATTTTTTTTTTTTTTTTTTTGGAATGTTCCACTTTGAATATATAAGTTAGAAGTAGATATAAGTACAATATATAGCATTAATAGGTACCAGATTAATAGAGTAATGAGAGTATAGTGAGCCTCGTGGCACAGTTGCAGTAGAGGCTTGGCAGTAATACCAGTACATTCTTTGATATTTTATTTGTATTTTTAAATTTATTATATATTATTTTATATTTTAATTCTATTAAAATCCTAAGAAAGGGGATGCCAAAAAAGAAGGTTAAAAAAAAAAGAAAAAGAGGTTTCAGAGACTCGAGGCGTTTCGAGTCTCCAATTTTCTAGCTTCTTTAACTTCTCTACTTCAACTTCTTATTATCTCGGTAAGCTTGAACTGGTACCTTTTTATGTCTTTTATGTCTAACCTTTTAGTTCCTTTCATCTTGCGCCAAACTTTACTCCCAAAACGGTTTCACAGTGAATCGTTGCTCTTGATCTACCCTCGATTTGGAATATGCGATAGTGTGGAAAAAAAAGAGAGAGCGGGTTGATATTCGATTCTTCTTCACTGTTCCCCCCCCCACGAATTCAGAATCTCCCACCATGGATCCTTCTGTCGCACATCGGCCATGGGAGGCCGTCTCAGGGCCTCAGAGCTCTGCAGGCTCAACGCAAACCCTCCCCTCTATCTCCACCCTCACTGCGAATATGCCTACCGGAACCCCCTCGGAGAAATCCCCCGGAAATGCTTCACTGAACACGATCGAGCGTGACTCGGGGAATTGGTCAATGCCGCAAAGCACAAGTAGGAGACCCTCACCCGGAATGGATTGGGAGCGACGCGGTGCTGACCATGTAGGATCGTCCACCTACTCCACGGCGACCAATGGCACCGGCAACAATTATCCTTCCCTCAGCTTCATATCCGCGTCGCAACCCTCTCCAAACCGCGGACACCCGGCGGTCGACCGCTCCCCGTACCCCCACGACCAATCGACTACCCCTTCCTCCGCTGGCACTCAACAGCCCTCTCCGAATTTCAACCAGCCAACCTCCACCCTCCCCTCCATCAACCAGAACTACGAAGCCCCCTCCCAACGCGCGAGTGTGGCAGAGACTGAATCCCGGCGCAGCAGTGTCGACAGTCGCATGAACCAAGGAATCAGTTCTCTGGCCATCAATCCAGCCTCGCCCTACCACAGCACCAATGCCTCCCAATCCTCGATCGTCTCATGTTTACAAAGGGAGCGAGGGATTCCGACCGACATGAATCCATACCGGGGACCTCGATACTCAGGGGGCAACCAGCCCCTCTCTCCGCTAGGCCCGCGCGCAACCGACCAGCAACGGAGTTTTGCAGCCGGTCGCACGGCTCCCGCGATTTCCTCGAATCCTCGATCGGAAATTTACAATGCTGAAGCACCCACGGCGGGTATGGCGTACGCCTTCCCCGACCCGGACATGGCGCGCTCAAGCTCTGTCTCCTCGAAGGGGGAGTCCAACCCCCCGTTCTCCCGAAAAGGCAGCATGGCGGAGTCTATGAACAGCATGTACTCGGAACGAATGCCCCGAGGACAACACGGTAAGACGATCCAAGACACACTGCGCGCGCGCAAACACTAACGAATCTCCCAGACCTACCCCAAAATGGACAACACCACCATTCCCTCCAACACAAGGCCGTGCGAGAGTTGATCGGCGAAGAAGACGGACCGCCCGGCAGCACACCGTACAGCCGCACGCCCGAATTGCGCGTAACGCACAAACTAGCCGAGCGCAAACGGCGCAGCGAAATGAAAGACTGTTTCGAAGCGCTCCGGCTGCGTCTACCACCCGGCCAAACCAACAAATCCAGCAAATGGGAAACGCTCACCCGGGCAATTGATTATATAGCCCTGTTGGAGAAGACTGTCACGCAATCGAACCGCGAACGGGCCGCCATGCAGTCCGAGATCGACGAGATGCGCGCTCAGCTCAACCAGCAAGCTAATGGCGCCTCCCGGCCGCCATCAATCTTCGAGCACCACCAAATGAACCCCAACCAGGTCAATGGCCAAGGCCCCGTCTTCAGTGGATTCAGCAATGGCGTGACTCAGGAGCAGCCGCGGACGTTACCGCCCCTTATGAATGGCTCTAGTGCGCCTATGCAGGGCATTGAGTATGAGCGGCGGTAACGGGAAGTTGAGGAAAGCTGAAGCTGTGTATGAGATATGACTCACGCAAAACCTATCCACGACTTTGTTTTTGCCGTTCTCTTGGTATCATATATCCTGTTATAGATGCGATCCCCGACTTGGGGGTTGGTTTATACTGATCTTTTTCTTTTATGGAGTGGTCTCCCTGTTTTTCATATTTTGTTATTCATACCCGCAATTGCTTTGCTTTTTTTTTTTGTTTCTATAGGGCCACTCCACATATGAAATATGGAATATGGTATAGCTGAAATAGCTGGAATATGGATATTCATGTTTACTCATCTCTTTCTACTGTAGTTGATATGGAGCAACATCTCCACCTTGGAATGATATAGACCACAGACTATAGACCATATAATATAAACATTTTGTTTCAGAAAGACGCTTTTAATAAGTAACAATGTTCTAATTTGATCTATTTTCGTCCCTCCACTAAGTGGCCTCTCGAAGCGCCCGCCCCCCGGCCCGGCGCGTAGAGCCCGGCCTCAGTCTGACATTTGCATCCAATCCATCACCTTTCACTCATCCACCCCTGGTGATCTCTCTGCCAGTGGTCCAATGACGCACCTTGATGAAACAGCACAGAGCTAGCTGCAGCGGGATGTCTGGGATCGCTGCAGAAATTCACCAGCGACGATGATTATTGGCTGGGTTGTTTATAGCTTGGAGCTATTGCTGTAAAGTGACCGGGCTGGACTCTGCGGATTCTGCACTGTGATGATGCGGATAGAAATGTAGAAATAGAGCTTGAGAGCCTAAATCTCGGGGTTTTTCTTATTTCTCATTTCTTTCATTCTTTTGTTTTGCATTTGATTCAATCGACTCTATTCAGGGCTATTGTCCACTGTATTGTTGCCTTTCCCATTGTTTCACTCGCTATAATATTAATAGACGCCTTTGTTTCGATTCCCTGCATTTTCCTTCTTTCATACTTTCCTGACACATGGTATGAAGACATTGAATCTCGTCATTTCTGCAGACTAACATCTCGACACAGTCAAGTCTACTGAAACATGCTCAAACGAAAACCACAGGACCTCCAGGTCCCAGTACCAAACTTCCCATTCTCTTCGCCGATCAGTGAGGAAATCTCAAGTCCGTCTTGCTCTTCGGAAGATCAGGAAGAACGAGACCGACCGTTTGCATTTCTATCCAAGGCAGCGCGACAAAAGCTCGAGGCGAAGTCCGCCAAAGATGGGAATCGCTCGCCCATTTCCTCCCACCGAGAAGCCTCGAGACTAAATATCCGCGTTACCAAGAAACGTAAAAGTGTCGCGAAACCGGTCGGGCTGAACCTCGTTACGGATTTCACGTTGGCGCCGGCGCCAGCGCCGAGAAAACAGTCTGTTCCTACAGTTGAAAATGCGGCTGCGCCGTTTGTCGATCTGAATGACCTCAAGCTCCTCTCGAAAGTGCGAGAGAAGGAACGCTCGTCTCAGAAATCAAAGGATATCTTCAAGAAGCGGGTGTCACGGGGCTTTCATCGGGTACCTGAGACGGTGCAGACTCAGAATCATAGCCAGAATGGAACTGGAATCTCGTTCCTTACCACCAGAGATGAAGATTCATTCCACGACAGACACGATCATGGAATCTCGCCTTCAGACCGCCATGTCATGATCGGACTCACTGTGCCTCGAAACGAGTCAGTAGAAAGATTACAAGATCCCGACAGCGCAGGCACGCCGCTTACACCTTCAATTATCGTCACTCCAGCACCATGGAACGCGCCCTCAAACTCGAGCACCGAGATGCTCCGACCAAGAGCAACATCAAGTGTATACTCGCAGCCAACGCCTCGCCTCTGGCAATACGAAACAGATGTTCCACCCGTGCCAGCCATTCCCGCACAGCACTCAAATGCCACCAAAGCTCCCGCTCTAGAGACCACATACCACAACACACCAGGCGTAGAAAGGAATGCGCGCGCACTCTCTACAGCCTCAATCTGGGAAGACGACAGTCCGCCCCCGACACCAGAAACAGCACGCACAATCCCAAAGGACCAACATGGCCGTCTGAGCGTCAACACCCAAGCAAACGACAGACCCCAATCGCAAGGCTGGTGGACATACCTCCTCTCCCCACTGATGGGCCGATCCATAAAATCCCCACTCAGTCCATCCTTCCCACAGGACTCACCCTCCACCCCGTCGCCCACAACAACCCGAACCCGGGCGGAGCCAAAAGAATGGATCCAGCGAGAGAAAGAAATCTCCTGCTTCTCACCAGATACGCCGGAGACAGCAGCACCGATTGGTGAGAAGGCATTCGAGATATCCCGATCATTCGAAACAGACCAATACCAGCAAGGTCCGGGACGCCATCAATCACCACCACCCGCATACGTCTCGAATGTCTCCAGCAGGCAAAATACTATGTCCTTCATGTTCAGCAATAACCAAACAATCGAAGGCGAAGCAGCGGAGTACTACCAAGCCTGCGCACACGAGCTCTTCAGCAAGACGCCGTATTTCGAGTGTATTAACCATGTCTGCTCGATAACGCCTGTCAACCCCGTCGCGAGGCCAGCAGGAGCCACAAATGGGACGGAAGATGGTGGTCGGGGACTTGCGCTTGTTGCGCTCGAGGAGCCCGGAGCATCTGGTCTTGAAGGAGCACGCGAAAATCAGACAACAGTCCCGTCGACGACGTCGACTAAGAATGCTGGCCTACTTATTGATATCGACTCGCCTCGTCCCCGGTCAACGGCGGGCACGATTCCGGCTGGGTATGCAGTTCGTGCGAAGGAGGTGCAGGTGCTGTCGCCGTCGTCGGAGTTCAGTTCTCATACGTGGGATTCGTCTGTTGTTGATGAGAGTGAAAAGGGTTTGGTGGCGCATGGTGCTAGGGGTGGTGTTTCGGAATCTCAGTCTCAGCGTACTGCTTCGCCTCCGGTTCCTGCGCCTGTTGCTGTTCCTGTTGCGCCACCCGTGGAGGCGGTTGATAGGCAGGTTTGGGAACAGCCATCCCCTGCGCCTGCGCCAGCTCCTATTCCTATGCCTGAGCCAGCTCCCGCTCCCGCCCCTGCTCCTGCTCCCGCTCCCGCTCCCGCTCCTGCTCCTGCTCCTGCTCCGCAGATAACCACCAACCCTGTTACTAATTTCCATTTCACTCAGCCACCACCGCAGGCTCCGGTACAGCCTTTGCAGCCGATAGTGCAGTATGTGCCCGTGTTTCCTCCTCAGGCTGGACAGCCACAGCCAATGGAGCCGATAATGCAACAGCCGCAACCGCAAGAAGCTTCGCGAGGAACCTTGGAGCCGCCGATGGTCCAACCAGCCCCTCAAATAGCAACACCAAGAACAGAATGGCCATGGGGAGTACGAGGACAGCCGAAAGAGCAACCCCAGGCTCAGCAGCCAGTCACCCAAGGACACGCATCTGGGTTTGAATGGGCGTATGCTCAACAAGGACAACCGCAAGAACTTCCTGGTACAGAAACAGCGCCTTCAGCATCGCAGGTGCCATATGGACAGCCTCCTTCCCCGGCACGGCAGCCGACTGATGGCCAGGCAAACCAGCCCCAAGGACCGCTTGTTATCCAGGGACGGCAGTCTGGGTCTGGATGGCCGTTTGGTCTTACCGCGCATCCTCACTCGAATGCACCTCCTGTGCCGCCTATGCCACGAGCCCACACTGGATCAGAGCTTCAGCATCAGCAAGAGCAACCCCAAATGTCCGTGGTTCAGGATCGGCAGCATGGGTCTGAAGAGCCGCAAACAGAGCGAGGAATACCTCAAGGGTCTGAGCTTGCGCCTCAAGGACATTTACAACCATCCGAGCCCATCTCTCCTGGCTTCCAGCGCGCCGCTGGTGGACCTGGCGCAATCCCAATGTCCGATATGCAGGCACCGGCTCCTGCGTACACGCAATTTTCTCGAGATCCTGCTCTCCCGCCTCGTTATGATATCCAGCCACGTTATGATAACGATCCTACAGCTGGAGTTTCGAGTGTCAACCCAAGTGGCGCGATAGGACCTCATGAGATCCGGCGTCGCAGACTGGAAAAGGAAGAAGCCGCTGGCCGAAGAGTTTGCAGTCTCTGGCGTGGCCGGGGTCCATTCAGCAAGAAGAGCGGACGTCCAGGACGCGAGGGTCGCACTCGACGGAGATGGTATTTCGTGATTTGCATTTTCTTCTTCATCATCGTGATCCTAGCTACTATTCTAGCGATCACACTGACAAGGAAAGGAGACGAGACTCCCGTTCAATCGCGGTGGCTGAACCTCACAGGCTATCCGCCCATGCCGACTGGAATTGCAACACTTGCTGGGACAGAGCCGCAGCTGGAAAAGTCGACTTGTATCACTCCTTCTTCGATGTGGAGCTGTGCTTTGCCCATGGACCAGCAGGATGCCAACAAGCCGTACAATGCGAACCAGCCCAATTTCCGCGTTTCCATCCGCTTCCGAAATGGCACATACGATAACAGCACCGCTGTCGGCTCGAAGCTACGTACCAGGAGCGACGATCTTTTCAACCCATCACCCGCAGCTCCAAGAGACGCAGAGCAAGACTTCCTCGGCCAATACACTGACAACAACACCGCACCTTACGCCGGCGAAGAGACACCCTTCTACATGTCCCTACTCTCACCAGTATCCCTCTCCTCAGCAAACATCTACCGCCGCGCAGCCACCTCCAACGGCACCGCATACCCCAACATCTCATCCATAATCCCTGCACCAGAAGAAAACGCCGACGGAACCCCATCCGCAGCAATGCTCTACCCCCTCCCCTCATCCCAACCAATCCGCCTCTACAACCGCGGCCTCGCAACCGAACACTACGGCTTCTACAGCTACTTCGACAAATCCATCTTCCTAACCTCCCAAACCAAATCCTCACCGTCCGACACAAACGGCGGGACCTCAAAACCCAACGCAAAATACCGATGCACATGGTCCCAAACCCGTCTACTCGTCCAAATCTGGACCCAACCAGATAAAATCGGCCGTCAACTCCTCCCCCAATCAAACAATACCGCCACATCTACTTCATCCGCAACACCAACATCAACAAATAAACCTACATCATCTTCCTCCGCAACAGACTTCTCTCGTCCAGGCTCATTCCCATACCCGGTTACAATAACAGTAGACCGGCACGGCGGTGCAGAGAAAAAGAAAATGGTCTATTGCTACCCGCTTGAAGACGACGGACATTACAATATCACTGCTGTGCAGCTGCAGCTTGAAGACCGTGCTGTTGGGGGTAATCTTGTTAATCCTGCTACGGGGCTTTTCAAGGGTCTTGGCGGGACGAAGAATTCTACCGTTGACGAGGCGGGTGGTGTTGATGGTGGTGCTGGGGGGTGTGGATGTCAATGGGTGAATTGGATTTCGAGCGTGTGAGATGGAGACGGGGGTGCATGGATGGTATTTTTGCTTGGAGAGTAGGGGTTATTGATTTCTTTGCCTTTGAGTGTTCTTATTTGCGTTGCATTGCGTGCTTTTCTGGTGTTTGGGTGGTTTTTCTGCTTCATTTTCTTGCGAAAGATGATCCATTGACGATGCTCAAAAGAGCGTGTGTATAGATTCACGTTTTCCATAGCAATATGGATCTAACTCGAAAATTCAAATTCAAGGTTACAATTCAAATTCAAATACTCTATAATCTTGCTTCAACTATGCATCTATTCATATTTCGTAATAGTATAAATCCGTCAGCCCAATAAAGCTAAAAGCTAATCTCGTCGTTGCATCAAGCCAGCAGAAGTCAATCTGAAACCTTAATTGAGCCAATCTCCGTACGCAAACCCTAAAGTCAAGTCGACAAACCGGTCAACGGGTACGCCACTCAACCTGCAGGGACGACTGGATTGCATTGGGATTGTGGCTTTTGAGTTCCTATTATCAAAAGTATGGCTCGAGTTGCATTCTTGTCACTGGGCGGAATTAGACTTTGGTCTACGAGTCTCTGAGTTTTCTTCCTATAGAGTTGGAAGTATAGTAGGACGTGGAGGTTGTTTTTGGAAACAGTTGGATATTATCTCCAAGTTGTGAGGATATTATTTAATCTGTATCTAGGTCTCTTCATCTTGATAACTATGTTAATGCAGGCAATACACCGAGACAGTAACGAAAAAAACTTTATGAATTAGAATCATATTAAGTATTCATATCACAGCAAAAGCCCGTTAAACAACCCCAAACAAAATCTAAACATTATTTTCCAACTCCTATACTCCACCATCTGAAGAAATCAAGTCTCTAGCCAGAGCCAGGTCTCAGATCAGATATCAGAAACAAAAGGAGATACCCAACAATCACAACAAAACACCAGCATTAAAAGACAGTTTTGTGAACATTAAACGAGTGCGAGACTTTTATGCAAGGAGCATAACGGCACCGTAAACAATGCTGCCAATAACAGCAAAGACTCCAACCTGGGGTGCGGTGATCTTGGAACCGGGGTTGGAGGGGGTGAATTCGGTCGAGCCGGACTCGGATCCCGATCCAGAGCCAGAGCCAGAGCCAGCACCACCGGAGGGGGAGGCGCCTGAGCTGGAGCCGGAGCCGGAGCCGTTGCTGCCAGAGCCAGAGCCAACACTGCCGGAGGGGGAGGCACCGGAGCCGGAGCCAGAGCCAGCACCGCCGGAGGGGGAGGCACCGGAGCCGGAGCCAGATCCAGCACTGCCGGAGGGGGAGGCACCAGAGCCAGAGCCAGAGCCGGAGCCATTGCTGCCAGCGCCAGAGCCGTTGCTGCCAGATCCAGATCCAGATCCAGAGCCGTTGGCACCAGAGCCAGTGCCAGAGCCAGACTCAGATCCAGAGCCATTGCTGCCAGAGCCAGATCCAGAGCCAGAACCGTTGCTACCGGAGCCATTGCTGCCAGAGCCGGAGCCAGACTCGGATCCAGAGCCATTGCTTCCAGATCCAGAGCCGGAGCCGTTGCTACCAGAACCAGAGCCAGAGCCACCGTTAGCACCGCCGGAGGGCGAAGCACCACCGGAGGCAGAGGCACCGTGAGTCTTGGTAGGGACGTAGACTGGAATAGTCGCGCTACCGTGGCAGCTGAAGCAGGGAGCGGTACCAGTTCCAATGATAGTGTGGTCCTTGCCACCGCCGTTGGTAGCGTTGTGGTGTGGGGAGCCAGTGACGATGGGGTGGCTGCCCGTCTGGGTACCGTTTTGGTGGGGAGAGCCGGTCACAATGGGGTGGCTTCCGGTGTGAACACCGGTACCAATGATACTAGTCTCATGGCCCGGGATACCAGTAACAGCACCGGTGGCAGCACCGGTAGAGTGGTGCTTGCCGATGTCCTTTCCGCTGTGGACGGGGGTTCATGCTGCTCCTTGGCGCCGCCGGCGTGGACGCCGGCTGCGAGAGCCAGGAATGCAATGGAGGGGGCGGTGATGTGCATTTTTATTGCGATGCGAAAGCGATTGAATTAAGAAGTCAGATAGATCGCTTGCTGTCTTAACGAGTGACGAAGCTGGGATTGGGGTTAGTATATATTTTTCAAATTGCTGTGCTGGTAACAGCAAAGATAGCTCGGAATTACCTATAGTGATAATGCCAATACGATTGAGGTGGAAATCGAGGATGGATCTGAGGCGAAGAGGACGACATTCTTATAGATCTGGCGAGCGGTCCAAATGCGGTCATTTATTGATTAAGCTTAATTGTTGACAATAATCATGAAATGGAAAATTTTGCAAATTCCAATATGTGCCTCTCGATGTTCCTGTCCTTGATGTTCCTCTCTGCCCTCATGGGAAAGTGGAAACAAGATTAATCGATTTCCGCATCCGGGGAAAATGTTACCTCAGATCTAGACTCCACCTTGAAACCTCGGTACGATCGGTTTATCCCGACGCCAATCTCGTCATGATCGTCTGAGCTTGTTCGTCTGAATAGTGGAGACCCGGCTCGATTGGGTATAATCACGTGATGCCCCTTCCCGATTAGGAAAGTGATGCCATTGCAAGCGGACATCCACACCAGACACCCCACCAACGTGGAATTCCACAGTGATCCACTTCAGAGCTGTCACAATGGGTGTCAAGTGGATTTCCTTTGTGGGTGATCTGTTTTCGGCAGCATGCGCTGAAGATGCATTGTCTGAAGGGATGGAGTCTTGGAAGACAATGGGTGGAGAGTTATCTTAGCTCTCTGGATGTGCGGAAGAGGGGCCCGTAGAGTAGTGAACGGAGAACCTCCCGTAATACTCCACTTGATTACTGTTGGATTATGATTGTGAGGTAAGACAGGTGAACCCGCACTTAATATCTGGCAGAGCACATTTAGTCTCAAGAATGGGCCACAAAAAGGATACCCGGGAATTGGCTGTGTTTCTTCCATGATAGCACTTTACAAGCCTTTACTAATTAGTAGCACACTAAAAGGTCTCAAAAACACTCCCTGTGTAGGGCTGATCGCCCATCTGATCTCTACCAACTGCATCCGGTATTCAGTGAGTTCGCCTCAACGCAGCTCACCTAGCATCAGAAATTCCGCTCGGGTGTGCTCGAGCATCTATCAGCTACAGTCTCGCCCTTTACTGTCTTCAGAAAACGTCAGCGGCGGTTACCTCAAGTACATAAGCTCCCACTTTTATCATTTGCGATCAATCCGAGGAATGCGGCTGCCACGTACTAGCTGAGGAATGTATGTTCCTGTAGATCTAATGGTATGCTCACAAGTTTTGTTCGCAGTTTCTTATGTAGATCAATTTCGTCTGCAGAAATGGAAAAGCGAGAAAGCTGATCCTGGTTATCGAGTGCCATAGAGAGTAATTTCTCGCGGATGTCACAGTGCCAGAATGCCTTGATATCACATTGGTTTCAAGTTGCACCTTCGGGGGCCAGAAAGCACTTCTGTGGAATACCAAACTGTCTTCAGATCTGGAGGGACACATTTATTACCTCCCCTGCCCTAATATAGGGCACTGAAAGGAGACAATACCTAACGCCGTTTTTGTACATGACTACAAACATCGACTCGAAACCTTTCCCAGATATTATCGTAGATTGCCCCAAGTATTGGTTGTACTACGGTAGATTTAATGTATGAAGTTTAGTTACATAGACCGAACATAGTAAACTCGACAATCAGAAAACACAAATGTCCCAATCTCAGTTCTTCGAGATGCTGGAACATACTTCGCAGAGAGTATGAGTGATGTACTAGCCATTTGAAAGAATATAGACACTTTGGGGGCCTATGAAACCCTCGATGATTCATACGTATGCTCCCCTAGATAGGCCGTAATACTATGTACGTCTTTTTTGCGGCTCGCGCAAGCTTATAAGAGATAATATAAGACGACACCCCGAATATCCCTGTTGCTTCTTGCACATTGAAAGTCCGCAATTATTGTTGTTTAGAATATACTCGTGGCTTACCAATTTTCCACAGTAAAACGCTTGTTATTGTCACTGACGGGTTGTATGTTGCAGGCGAGTATTGAGCTGTGATAGTCAAGCTATACACAAATCCGTGAAAACAACCAAGGATTACAACTCGGATTCGAGTAAATTTAATACTCCTCAAGCTCAAAAGATATCTCATTCTAGTTGGTTGTCACGATAAACAAAATAAACAAATAAACACCGAGTAAGCAATTTTTATAGATCGCGCTTATCGCAAATGATTAGGTCTTGGCAATCCTCCGATCTTCCTTTCTCCATCTCAGCTCTTTTTCCATGTCTTCATCAGGCTAGCAATGCGCCGCCCAGACCTTAGTCCTTCCCTTCTTTCTCCGGCAAATTACGACAACGATGCATCTTCGTTGCGGTCGCCTTCCGAGCAGGACTCGGATTCCGACGATGATGCCCTCCTCGATCAAAACCGCAGCACCTTGGAAATCGCAGAGCACGACCGGGCAGTGCTAGAAGAGGAAGAGGAGCTGGAGAATCTCTTGACTCGCGGTGGCACTGGACGCGGTCTGCGCAGGATTTTCAGCCCGAATGGTAGCAGTGTTAGGATCGGCAAGACAAAAAAGGAGCGACGACAACGGAGGGGTCGCGTCGCGAGAGAGTCAGTGAAGACGGCGAGCTGATGTACGAGATGGAAGAGGGAATTGGTGACGACAATGCCTCCCTTTTAAGCAGGTTGTCGGCGGATTTGGACGCGAAAGACGAATACACATATGAGCCGGTAAGACGTACCGTGGCTGCTTGCTACGGCCTTTACTAACACGTTCCCGCTTAGCCTCCACGACCTTCATGGCGAAAAATCCTGTTTATAATTGCTTTGGTCGCCATTCTCTTCGTCATCCTCGTCCTCGGGGCGTATAAAGCCTCGAGCGGCTTCCGGGCTACGCGAGCACACTCTCCCCCGCTGCTCTCCAACGGCACAGCTCTCTTTGCCCCAACCACTATCGTCATCTCGCTTGACGGTTTCCGAGCCGACTTTCTCGACCGCGGCCTGACTCCTGCGCTCAACTCTCTCGTCGCCAATGGTGTTTCGCCGCAATACATGACCCCCAGCTTCCCGAGCGTCACCTTCCCAAACCACTTCACACTTATGACTGGACTCTACCCCGAGAGTCATGGGATTGTAGGCAACACATTTTGGGACCCGGGAATGAAGGAGGAATTCTACTATACCCATCCTACGGTCAGCATGCAACCGAAGTGGTGGATGGCGGAACCGCTCTGGGTGACGGCAGAAAAGCAGCGTGTGAGGACCGCCATCCATATGTGGCCGGGGTCTGAGGCGCACATTGGCGACAGGGAGCCCAGCTTTGTAGACAAATATAACGGGACGGAAGTCTGGTCTCGCAAGGTGGATCGGATCCTTGAGTTTTTGGATCTCCCAGGTCTCGAGAATGAATCGCAGATGACACCTGAGCGACCGCAGTTTATCGCAGCTTACCTTCCCGACGTCGATCGGGACGGGCATAAATTTGGCCCCAATAGCGCTGAGATCCGAAAGACGATTTCCGAAGCGGATAACATGGTCGCCAGCATCATGGCTGGTCTTGAGAAACGCAATCTCACCGAGGTGGTTAACATCGTGGTTGTCTCAGATCACGGTATGGCCACTACCTCTACAGAGCGCTTGATTCAGTTGGACGATCTGATTGATTATGATCTGATTGAACATATTGACGGGTGGCCATCCAATGGTCTGCGCCCCAAGCGTCCTGAGGATTTGGAGACCCTCCGAAAACAATTGGAAAAGGTAGCTCCAGAATATGAGCATGCTTTCGAATTCTACACACGGGAGACAATGCCCGAGCGGTATCACTTCTCGAACAACGAACGCATTGCACCATTGTGGGTCATCCCTAAGACCGGGTGGGCTATCGTTAATCGGTCAGAGTTCGACGTCAAAAAGGCTTTGAGGACCGGTGAGAAATACCATCCTCTCGGTATTCATGGATATGACCATGAGCATCCATTGATGCGAGCAATCTTTATTGCGCGCGGCCCAGCCTTCCCCCACAAGCCAAACAGCCGGGTGGAACCTTTCCGTAAGTACATACTCGAAACATCTGATTGAGATTCGACCTAACGATTTTGGATAGAAAACATCGAGGTATATAACATTGTCTGTGACTCTCTGGGCGTTAATCCTCTTCCGGGTAATGGCACACTACGGCTCCCACTCAAGCCAGTCGGCCTCCACTCGGATGAGAACGCACCGGTCTTGGACACACCTCCTGATCCCCCAGCTCCAACTTCACCAACAGCAGGACCCGTGCAGCCAGCCCCTCCGCGGCCATCACCTCCACAACCAAAACCCCCGCAGCCAGCTCAGCCAGCACCGAAACCCACCACTCCAGCAGCTGAGACACCACCCGCCACAGATCATGAAAGTGACGGCGAAAAGGGTTCATCGTGGTGGGACACACTTTCGCACAAATTCGATGACCTGAAGGACTGGGCTAGCGGCGTTGCCGATGCTGTTCAGGGCAAGCACCCAGAGTCTGAGAGTTGATGATCCGGCTCAATCCTGTTCATTTAGCTTTGAGGCGTTTCGATATATACATATACCCATATTCACGCATATACTTTTTGAATGCTCTTTAATCTTTCAAGTTTGCAATGTTATTTCACTGACTATATACCCACGATATGTACTCCAATCCCGTTCTCAGGTTGGCTCTAGCTCATCAACTTTCATCATTGCGTCGCGCTAAGGGTTCTGCGCGTAGCCTTAAGTTGATGGAGGCTGGGGCTGTTAGGCGCTTGGCACGCTTACCGCAGAAAGAAACCCCTCTCATCTCCAATTCCTAACCTCCAGGGCTCCGTCAAACTCGGGACATCTCTTATATCACTTATTCCATATCTCTGCTTCTTTCCAAATGTCGAAACTTCCAGACTGGGTTCTCGACTCTAAGCTCGAGACCCATTTCCTGCCTGGTAGGAAATACGAGACAGTGCATACCTACTATGAGCAGGAATCCCATTCCCAGCGACCAATAAAAAAAACAGAACACTGGCAGCGGGAGAAGAAGATTGACAGTGGTGGGTTTGGAGAGGTATGGCTGGAAAGATGCACAAAAAGAAAGAATCATGGTCATCAAGTCCGCGCGACAAAGGAGATGGAGGTCCACCGCCAGATAGACTACGCTCGTGAGCTCGAGGCTATTGTGAAATTCTCACACTCAAAGGTCAGTCTTTCCAGCTCATCAACGTAATGAAAGTCACTAACTAACAGATCAATAGTACGACCGATGTTTTGTTAAGTCTTTTGGGTGGTATCAGACCCAAACCAGCTTATTTATTGCGATGGAATATCTTGAGCTAGGGGATCTACACAATTATCTGCTCAAGAAGAAGCAGCCGCTACCGGAACTTGAGGCGCAGTGCATAATGTCCCAGATCCTTGAGGGCCTTGATTTAATGCACGACAATGGCTTTGCACATCGTGACTTGAAACCCAAAGTGAGTCGTTTGCAAAATTGAAACCAACTACCTCAGCCGATCACTGATTCTAATGGTATCTAGAATATCCTTTTGAGATCTTGTCCACCAGATGATTGGTGGGTAAAAATCGCGGACTTTGGGATTAGCAAACGCATCGAAGATGACATTGGAAAATCAACAACCATGAAGGGCACCAAGGGATATATTGCTCCTGAAGTGTATAAATTGATTGAAAGCGGTACTCCCTATGCCGTTGACATTTGGGCAGCTGGCGAGGTTATGTTCTAACTTTTGACCAAGCAACCCACATTTCAGCATCTTGGATTGCTCGTCAAATATGTCTAAACGCCTGACATTTTTCCATCCAATCTACTTCTAGCCAGCCAGGTCAGTCAACTTGGAGTTGAATTCGTCGTGTCTTATGGATCCCACCCCGGCAGGCCGAATGTCAGCCAAAGATGCTTTACAGCACAGGTGGATTGGTCAGTCATTGCCCAACAATTGCAATTCAGGCACACTTGCGTATAAAGAGGCACATACTATGTCAGCATTCGACTCAATGACAGAAAGTTTTGCATCATGGAACACTGTCAAGTCTTCAGAGGTATTAGACACTCCTGTTTCAAGGAATACAGAGGAATTGGGGGCATCATCTCTCCAGACTTCTAGCAATGAAACTGTAATGTTTCAGCCAGTGCAACACGAAGTTGCCACAACTGCCAGAACGATGCTTCCTATAGCACTCAGGGGCCATTCTAACCTCGTTATTTCCGTGGCATTCTCACCTAATGGCAAACTGGTGGCATCTGCATCTTATGATATGACGGTCAAACTCTGGAATACTACCACGGGCGCTTTACACAAAACACTTAGGGGCCATTCCGAGCGGGTGATTTCCGTGGCATTCTCACCTGATGGTAAATTGGTGGCATCTGGATCTCATGATAGGATGGTCAAACTCTGGAATACCACTACGGGCTCTACATATAAAACCCTTGAGGGCTATTCTGAGTGGGCGATATCCGTGGCATTCTCACCTGATGGTAAACTGGTGGCATCTGGGTCTCATGATAGGACGGTCAAACTCTGGAATACTACCACGGGCTCTATGCACAAAATGCTTAAGGGCCATTCTGACCGGGTGGTTTCTGTGGCATTCTCACCTGATGGTAAATTGGTGGCATCTGGATCTCATGATAGGACGGTCAAACTCTGGAATACTACTATAGGCTCTATACACAAAACGCTCGAGGGCCATTCCAACTGGGTGGTTTCCGTGGCATTCTCACCTGATGGTAATTTGGTGGCATCTGGATGTGTTGACACAACAGCCAGGCTGTGGGATGCCTCCTTATAAATTTACATAGGTTGATATATTCAAAGACCATTCGACAATGCTGCCATCTTTAAACATATCAGTTTCCACAGGGTCCTCACTTTATATGCTCAGAAGTCCTCTTTCTTCCCATTGTCCATGTTGCCCTGGTCTCAAATTAAAGCCAGAGAAGTCGTGTTACCAAGTGTAAAGTCAATATAACAATTGACAGCACATGATATATACTCCCGTAATCCTCCGGCTCAAACTACCCCCATAGCCAGCACCGAAAACTACCAATCTAGCAGCTAAGGCACCACCTGCCACATACTACCATAGTGACGACGAGAGTGGTTCGACGTAGCAGGGTACACGTTAGCATGAGTTCAATGACCTAAAGCAGTAGGCTGGCGGCGTTAAACATACTATTAAGAGTAAGAATCCGGAGTCTAATAGTTGATACCTGGCTTAATTTTCTCCATCTAGCCTTTTCGATAGATATATAGGCTAGATCTACCAATCTTCACGTATCTGATGATTGACTCTTTATTCTCTCGAGATACGATACTGGCTCAATTTACACTACACTCCCATAATGTGTTCTCCAATGTCGTTGGCTCTCGCCAGCTCATCATCTTTAACTCGTTCATCATTGCGTGATATTAGCAGCCATGTGCCTTATGATCCCATGGTTTGCCTCGTCACAGGCTTTGAAGCTGGCTTCAATTTAATCTCTTGCTTGGATTGTCTCACGAGAAGACACAGATCTCTTGGTGCACAGCATCTGTGGTGGATTTGGGTTGTCCAACTCGCTCGATGCTTCGAGCTCGAGAAGGTCGTCCATAATCTCAGAGACCTTTGTGTCATTTGAGCACCGAAGATAGTCATTGGGAAGCGCCAGTATCTAGTTCTGGACGGATGCATCTCCGGGTCGACCTCCATCTCCTGTTGAACCTTTTTCTTCTCCAGCCGAGAGCTTGTATTTCTTCCACCATGGAGAGGCTCGGTCCTAGCTCACGAGCTCATTGCATGCGAACTTTTCCTCGTTTCTGATGGAGAACTCTCCTAGCTTCTGAAACACATACGCCTCATAATCGTCATAACCCTTCGGATGCCGCGGTCGTATTCTCGTGCCCATGACTGGGATAAGCAGTGGAATGGCTGACTCGTCACAATCGGCGGGGAAGCGTCCAAAACAGGTGGACCCTCCGGCACGCTCGAGTTGCATCGACAGGATGTCTATGATACGTATGTGTTCGCTCACTGATCGATCCAAAGCCAGTGATGCCTCTCCATGCACGCGATGGTGTAGGGCCCGTGCTTTTCTCGCGGAGAAGATTGTTCCCGTGATCCGCCTGTATTTCATCTCGGACCGTGCATAGAACTATTGTGGGTGCTAAGGGAGAGAGGTATATGTAAAAGGTAAGAGGTCTCTGATATTCAATATATGGATAGCAAGGTATTTATACCCTGACAAAGTAGCAACCAAGTGCTCAGTCTGTCAAACAAGTCAAAGGACGGCCCAAAGACGGTCCGGGGACGGTCCGATATCCAACATGAACGTCCACGTAATAGACGAAGTTCCAGAACAGCTCCTGTAATAGATATTCGTCCGTTGTCCTCTCAACGATACCATAGTGTTGGAATGGGAGGTACTGTAGGCAATCCATTGCACTGATCATCTGGTGAAAACCCCTCAGGATGCGGCTTCAGTGATTTTGGTTATATTGCCCTCAATCTCATGGCAGCGAAGTCCAGATCCATCAACTTTCAGGCTCAATGGATATCTTGTAGTGTATGCAGCGTGGGGTTTTCTTCTCCTAGCTTCTGCGCACCTCTTTTCTCTCGTAATAAGTTTTTCTAGCGCAGTTTCAATTATCTGGCGCAGTGGTTGCCAGATAGGAAAGCAATATACAATTGAAACACGCAACCAGGATTTGTGAGCACTGAGACCGAGGGGAAGATGATGATGAGAGCTATCTACAGGCCAGGGTCATGTCCTGTGCGATCAAGCAATTTTTCGCCAAGCGTAGCCCACTTCTTGCGTAAAGAGTGCTGCAGTCTTCCACACCTGATCTCGAGCTCGTTCAGATAGGTGGTTGTAAGCCCGAAAGATCCCTGGTCTTGGCAATTCACAAAACACCTACCGCATATCCATTCTCTCAGCGTAGGTGACAGTGTCGCTGATTCCTCCAAACTTTGGTTGAACATGTGTTGGCCTTTAGCCTCTGCCTCTGAAAGGTGCGGTGACAGTTCCAACAGTCTGCTCTCCCCTTTTCCTTTCTCCGAAACAGGTCCGAATTTCTGTCTTCGCAACACAGCAAGCAAGGATGCCTTCCATGCTATGAGGTTTGAGTCTCCACAAACTGCCAGGTGGAGATGTACAGTTTGCGTAGTTATCTTGCTTGGATTTCTTGTCCACTTCCATTTCACATCGCATGCCACAAACTGAGCACCAATTGCCCTCAGTCTTCTGTTCATTCGCGCCATATGCAGAGTACCAGTGCCCTTTGATCTCTGGTACTGCATATTCAGCACACTGGTTTGCTGACACCCTGGTGGTGGTCGGTCGGCCCCACCGACGGCGAGTAGACAAGCTGCATCACACTCTGGCAAATCAAATGCCCAAATAAAGCGAGTGCTTTCGGCCCCATTTTAGATCAAAAGCTCACAGGGGATATGTGGGCAACGAATCAAACTTCGCCTCCATCAGATACATGGCGTATTGAAAGCCCCGAAGTTGGAGGGTAAATCGTCAGTGAGAAGGTATAGCCTTTTTTGCTGGTCCACACAGGAAGATGGTTCTTATTTAGCTGCAGACAAGCTGCATCGATCGAATATAGCCATCCAGTCTCTCAGGCTTCTCAGCCCTTTTCATATCCCTTTTTTGCTTGAATAACGTCCTCGCGAGCCTGATTGGGGGCACAGGACAGGCGAAATCTGGCCGCCACTCTGTCGATCAGGCGCTGCTCCTCACTCGCCCACTGTTGGTCGTCATAACATCACTGGTAGATAAATGTGAAGGTAATGTGAAGGTAAAGTGAAGGTGGACGAAGGTGGACGAAGGTGGATGGAGGTGGGTTATAAAGACGTTGTCACAGCTACTGGCGAAGGGAAGGAAGAGAAAGAAGAAACATTGTAGTTCAATCTAGCAAATAGCAGGGTATTTAAACCCTATCAATCAAGCAAACGCTCAATCTGACAAACAATCAGTCATAGGATGGTCTGAAGACGGTTCGGGGACGGTCTGATATCCAACAGACATGAAGCCCAGACGTCTGGGGTATCTCTCTGATATTCAGTACGGTCGACAGTGATGTCCTGCACGTCATTCATGGATGTATTGTAATGGTACATGACAACACTGAGGTGAACTGCGATGGCGTACACTGGGTCGTAGATCACAGAAACGAGTATTTATAATGAGAGACATAACAGCACTTTAGGAGAATTCGTAGAGCGTCCCTGGGCGGCTCAGTCTCTCCGGGGTAGAGGAGAATATCGATACTGTGAGATGGCGACGGGTGTTCAAAATAGCCGCAGCTCTATAGAGAAGTGATGACAAAGGTCCGGTATTTTTGATTTCTTGGAACTGCAGTACTTGACGATCATTCAAAGTTTACGTTCATAGACTTGTCCATCACCAGAAACCCCAAGAGCCACAGAACGAGTCCAAGGATAAAGAGAGTACATATGAGCAACAGACCCAGCCCCTAAAGGTACAAGGTGACTATTCCTTAGCCCTCGAAAATCCTCTACATTCTAACCCCTCCTTGTATTCCATGGCCTTTTTATGGATCACGTTGGCACGGAACTGAATAGTCCCACAGGCTTCGCTAGTGAAGACCGTCACCATTTCCAATCCCGGCTGTTTCTCCCGTAGGGTATCATCCAGTTCCACCCGGCGTTGTCTTTTCTGCAATGTGTCCATGGTAATCTTGATTATACTGCGAGCTGTTTGCAATTCTGCAAACTCCATCTCCGTGATACCTTCTCGCTCATGGAGATACTTCCGCTGGATAACCCTTACTATCGCAACTGCCTCGATAAGAGGAAGCATGTATCCGAAATTGGACACGAACCAGTATGCGTTCTCGCGAGTGATGTTCGGGTCGTGGTAGATTTCTCGGATTGCACGAACTTGCTGGTTGAAGTGAGCTTCTTCATCCTCGGAAAGCCTAATAACTTTTTGGTTTTGCTCCCAGTCGATATTGGGCATAGCAGCACCGGAAAACCAGGCGTTGAACTGCTCGATCTCAAGAGGAAGCATTTTGCTCTTTGCCTCGGTGATAGCGTCGCACTCTTTCTGTTGAGCTTTTGCGTAATTGGTGTGGATTGCAAGGCTCTTGCCTTCTCTGACAAGCTCGGCGAGTTTATCTATTTTCTTGTAGGTCGCCACTAGTTTATCCATTGGCTCGGGAATAGCCAGGAAGGCGGTGGTGTCAGGGAGGTTCTCGGTGAAGTCAATTTCACAAGCACCAAAGCTGAACATTTCCTCGAAGGTGCGCTTTGAGGCCTTCGTACTGGGACTTAGCTGAAGGAGTGTAGGCAGCAATATGGTGGTGTCAAGCAAGTTCTTGGTCAAGTCAGTTTGGCATTCATTTGTGTTGAACATTTCGTCGAAGCTGCGTTTCGGTGCCATCGTAGTGGGGATGAGCCTAGGAAAGCCCTGATCCAAGCGCCTTCTGGGTAGCCTATTTTTCATTATTAGCATTGCTACATTTCAAGTTGCTCTTGTTTACGACATGGAGATAGGTGACGCTTCTCCTGGCTGACTCACAAGGGGTATCTCCCTAGGTACCTAGGTAGGTATGAAGATAGACAAGATAAGGGATGGAGATGGAGATGAGGTTAGGTGACCGCTGCCTTAGGTAGATGGTTGCGTGTTACGGAAGAGCAGATAGATGACCTCTAGAAGGGTAAAGTGAAGGAAATAGATTCATATATATACTTATACTAATTTTCTCCCAGGTAAAACCCGAGCACAAGCAATCAAACTCCCATTGTCCAGCGTATTGAGATCATCCGGTGTTTAGGCAAGGCATTTCTATTCAGTTTGTGTCGAATCCCACTTCCTCTAAGTGAGCCCCGAAGGTATATGGCCGATAAACACGAGTAAACCCAAGTCGCCGAGTAGAAAAAGCTTTGGACTTGGAAATATATATTTTCATGTTTGCCACAAGTAAACACATGGATGCTAGTAAAAGAATTTCTTTTTTAATAGACATCTAAAACGGAGAAATCAAAGAATTAATACGTTATGCAATGCATGAACTTGTGTGTTGTGTTCAACTTAGGGTTGTTCTGGTATGGATCGGATTTAGGTTGTTACTCAGTAGCTGATAGTATCCAAATGGGCAGGTCTTTCCATCAACCATTCCAATGGTCGAGCAGTAACTCGGCTACATCTTCCTTGGTCTAGTGGTGATGATTTCCGCTTGTCATTAATACCGATAAGCGCGGGAGACCGGGGTTCGATTCCCCGAGGGAGAGATTTCTTTTTTGTTTTTGCATTTTTCTTATTATATTGTATCACATTCGAACATCATTTTGATGCAAGTTGATGACTCTTTTTTTGGCAATTCGGGTCCATGACGTGGGCGAAAATCGCCGCAGCACCTGCAGCAAAATGAGTCAGGCCCAGGCAGACGCGCTTGGGCAGCCCAACAGCTGAATCCTATCCCACCCCATCCAATCAATTCTGCGAAAAACTGCAAGGCAATGCCCGTTGAATCCAGGTGTGATCGAGGCGTGTCAGGCGCACCTCAGGCTCAGCTCTAGAATGGAGTTCATGTGTCTGGGCGGGGACACGCCAACACATGAGGCTCTTCGGTTTCCTATAAAGGACATGGCTACGCTTGATTTTGAAACTCAGGGTTCTCCCTTTCCCTCCTATCCTACTGCCTGGAAAATCCGATCGAAATAATTTTGAGATCCTCAGGTCTGTCGATCATGAATTCCAACCAAACCATCCCCACCACAACGGGGCCGTTGTCCACGACGGACACGGCCATGTTGGAGGTCCTCGTCCCCGGCTATGGCTTCATGTCACGCATATTGATGTCATACCTCAATTTTGATGTCAGCGCCTATCTGCAACTCCTGGTTGGACTGGCCGTCTTCGGCGCAAGTGCTCGATACACCTTATTCATCATTTGGGCGCACTTCAATGAGTTGTTCGTGTCAAGAGCCGAGATTCGTCTAGACGATGAGGCATTCCATTATTTGATGTTCTGGATCTCACGACAGCCGCATATGAAAAACACAAATCGATTCGTCGCAGGCATCAAAACCAACAGTTACTGGAGCGACAATGACACAGACGACGAAGACCTCGCAAGAGACGAGGACGACGAGGATGATACTTTCAACGGCGAGAAAGAAGATTCTTTCGATTCGTACTGGGCCAAGGTCACCACCCGGGACAAGTACAAGAAGATGCAATTCACTCCCTCGGAAGGCTGCCATTACTTCTGGTACAAGAGCCGTCCCCTCATGCTCGAGCGTGTAAACCGGGACGGGGGCACGTGGTATGTGATGAATAACGAGCGGATCTTCCTATCGTGTCTCGGTCGGAACCCGGAGATTTTGAAAACCCTCCTAGCCGAGGCGCAGCAGGCGTATGTCGAGCGCGACAAGAACCGCACGGTGATCTACCGCGGCTCGCGGGTTAACGCTGGTCAATCTTTCAACTGGTATCGGTGTATGGCCCGATTACCCCGCCCTCTGTCTACCGTTATTCTTGATCAAGAACAGAAACACGACTTCCTTGACGATATTAAGGAATACCTGCACCCTCGTACGCGGCGCTGGTACACCAACCGCGGAATCCCGTATCGACGTGGATACCTTCTACACGGTCCTCCAGGAACTGGCAAGACGAGTCTGTGCTTTGCAGCGGCCGGACTCCTTGGATTAAAGCTATACGTGCTTGATCTGAATTCCACGGCCTTGAACGAGGAGAGTTTGTCATCACTGTTCTCCGAACTACCACGCCGATGCATTGTCCTGCTTGAAGATGTGGACTCAGCGGGTATTACCAAGACTCGGGCCGCCCCATCTACACCCACACCTGCTTCAGATACCCCCGCAAATGATGCAACCCCCAAGGAGGGCACCGCTGAAGCGGATAGTACAACCGCCAAAGAAGAAGAGAAGAAAGGCGGAATCACCCTTTCAGCCCTTCTGAACGTGATTGATGGTGTTGCCGCCAGTGAGGGCCGCATCCTCATTATGACTACCAACCACGTGGACAAGCTCGACCCGGCTCTCCTCCGTCCTGGTCGTGTGGACATGAAGATCGTCTTCGGCTACACAAGCGAAGCAGATATCAAGGAACTTTTCACCTCGATCTATGCGACGATGGACAACGACATGGCCCGTAACGGAGCCCCAAAATTCCATACCAACGGTACCAATGGTTCGATCAAGTTGCCGACAACCATTGCTGGTAACACTGCCAAGACAAATGGCGAGATTGTCCAGAAACTTGTTGAGAGTAACGGGAAAGTGGAAAAGGGCAAGGAAGACCCGCAGAGTCTTGTATCCCTCCGATCCAACATCTCTGATTTGGCGTCCAGGTTTGCTGCTGTTATTCCGAGTGGCGAGTTTACAGCTGCGGAGATCCAGGGATATCTTCTAAATCATAAGGAGACGCCTGAGGTAGCGATTCAGGGTGCAGCGGAATGGGTGCAAGCGGCGCGTGATAAGAAGCTTGCCAAAGATGGAGAGGTAGCGGGAGAGGCAAAGGTAGAGACAGGGGACAAAGATAAAGCTTAGGACCATGCAGGCATGCCTACAACGATACGACGATACGATATACGGAACTCAACTCTACATAATACAATTCCAGTACCTTGTCCAGATCAGAATATTACCCTCCCCAAAGATTGGTCAAGTTTTGCTGTACTTGATGTGTATGTGCTTTCTCGCTTGGCTTTTCAAAGGTCATCCTTTTCTATAGTTCTTTGGATCAAAGACTAGTATGGTACTATGCTCTACAAAGATACAAATACATTTGTATTTTTGAAATCGCGAAACAAGTATACCATTGGTATCTATCATATGCAGGCCCTCAAAATCCGGGGTATATATATCATCAAAAGCCAGACTTTATCAAAGTCCGCAAAGCCAAATCTGCAGTACAAAGAATGAAATCGATTCAAAAAGGCCAACAAACCCCCTAAGCAATCGATACCTTCGTCCCCTCAATAATCACATTAGCGGCATACATACACCTACTAGTCCTCTCCTCAGTACAAAACCCATGAAACAAGATCCGATCCCCACAACCACAAACATTCCCACCACCAGGCGAAATAAGCCCCGTATTTGCAGCATTAATCAACGGGACATTGGTCTTAGTATAAGGCCCGGTAATACTCTTAGACGTAGCCCAACGCACATCATAAGCCGGGTCGGTAAAGCAATGAGTGGAATAAAACAAAAAGTACGTATCGCCATGGAGAATCAGATTCGGCGCCTCGACAAGCGGACCATCACCATCAGCGGTATTGCGATCAAGAATTTGCACCGCATCCCCGATAGGCGTGACACCGTCGGCGGCAACCTTCTGCAACAAAACCGGTGTGGAAACAAGCGGTTCGACACCATTGTTACAGTCCCCGCCGTGACCGACGCTATTACCGTCGACCTTGAAGACGACGTAGCGACTGCCGTCTTTATCTTTGAAGCCTGCTGGGTCGATTGAGCCGCCCCGATCGAGACGACAGGATAGGGGCTTATTGCTTGGGACATAGGGTCCTGTTGGTTTGTCTGCTACGGCTGTGCCGACGCAGTGGTGTCTGAGGTTTGATTTTGCTTCGCCGGAGTAATACATAACGTACTTTCCGTCATCCTGGATGGTAATTAGTTATTTGTACGAATATTTTAGGTAGTGTTGATTTTAATTCTTCTTTTCGGACGCCGAGGAAACTTACTCTCATCACCACGTCTGGTGCCCAGTGATCGTTTTCAGTTTCCCATGTTGATAATGTGGGGAGGGCTTCGATATCGAGGAGTTTCCATGTTTTGAAGTCGTCGGAGACTGCGACTTGGACTCGCTTTCCGTTTCCGTTGGTGCCGAATGCGTACCATTTGTTATCGGCTGCTTTCATAAAGCTGGGATCTGGGAAGTTGGTGTTCAAACCCAGCCAGGGACCCTTTGCTCGCTTTTCGAATAGAGGTGAGCCGAGAACGGAGGGAAGCAGGGATAGGGTTAGTAGAGCCCATGTGGAAGGGGATTTGATGAAAGACCGCATATTGGAATGATCAGGTCAAAGAAGTCTGAAAGAATAAAGTCGCTGATCATGTAGATCTAAAATCATTAGAGCAGGGGAGGTAAGACCTTCTTATATGGAGATTTGACCGCCATTGTCCGAAGAAGGGAGGGGGGATAGAGTCCGCATTGGATTTAGGGTACCAAGAGAATTAAAGTGAGACCACATGCTCGGGGTCTGCTTGGCTCCGAGGGGATAATTCCTGCGAGCAGAACGAAGAGGAAGTGAAAGAGAGCTAACAGCCGCACGCCTGATCTGGACATGCATCAGGTGGCATCGGGCCTCGACGGAGAGTGATTGGGCGACTCGCTAATGCGCGAGCTCGTGTTGGATTTCTTTTTTGCGGAGTCCAATTGTTGAGCTGTGGTTTACTCTGTGGATTATTTACACGGAGTATTGAATGCTAAAAGGTACGGAGGGAGACGGGAGGCGTTTTTGTGGCTTGAAAAATTAAAGAATGGCTAGATCACTAGGGGACTACAATAACGGAGGGAAAACAAAAGAATGAGGCAAGATGAAGCGAAGGAACCTAAGATTTGAAGAACCTTGGGAAGGGATTTTCTCTCTTTCAAATCCCTCGCTGGAATGCCGAGAGAACAAAGAATATTTGTACAATTGACCTTGAGCATTGTTTTCATTGAGTCTAGAATCTGATTCAGAACAGGGATTTTTTTACTAAGAGATAACAACGAGGTGACTGAGGCCATGCGTATTCACGTTCATTGAGTCCATATTATGGTTGTTGAGACTTGGGTTGGGACGATTCAATTTACTGCAATATGCACGGAGTACTCCGTTATCCATAATTGAAGTCAACCTTCGCCTGTGCTGTCAGACAGCGACAGATATTAGGCTGGAAGATCTTCTACAGGAGACTTCATGGGTGACTAGGGTATTGGCTAGGGGTGATTGGGGATTAGAATGTGGATAAAATCGCCAAGCTCGGCCAGATCCGGCAAGGGACTTCCGACTGGGGGTTTATGTTCGTCGATCAAGGTCAAAGCTTCGAAAGTCTAGTAATATGACCTATTGTTTAATCTAGGGATTTTGAGGAAAGAAAAGAACGAAGACACGCAAGGGCGAGAAAGATAGTGAGAAATGGAAGCCATGGAAATAATCTGTAAATATGCAGCCCAAACATGATACCTCAAACAATTTACCCCCTGTTTGTATGGTAAAGATGATAGGTCGGGAGAAACAGCCCTCTGGAGAGAATAAGCCCCAGGCTAGGTCACATGAAGCACATGGCTGTGCACATGGGACACATGGCTCTATAGTTAATATGATTTGAACTTGTACACAAATGGCCCGAAACAGTGAACAAAGAAATCTCCAAAATAAAACACATTTTTTGTGAATGAGATTCCTGACATGTTCTGACGTGAAAATATAAGCAACTATATACTAGAATATATAGCGACCTAAAGTCTCTCGAAAGTCCGATCGACTCATATTTTACCATTTCCGGACTGCTACCCTCAACCTCGGAGCGTCAAATCAAAAGCATGACCTCAAGGCATACAGCATCGAGCTTGTTCCGTCCCCTTTTACCCCGCATTCTGAGATGGCTATGAAGGTCAGACCAGTCGGTGAGGACTTTCCACTTGAAGCTCATGATGTCACCGGGGGCCTTGCGTCAATTAGTTTTGTGATCGGCAGAGGGTGACAACACTGAGACCCGGGTTTTAGGTGGATATGGGCGAGGCTACTGTTTTGCGGTAAGAGTGTGAGCTCTTTGTGACTTAGTAAAACCATAACGCCTGACCCGCACAGACAAATCTTCTACGTGAAAGGGTCGTTCCTTCCCTCTCTGTATACAACGGTGTATGAGGAAGCTGCGATCATTCGGGAAGGCGCGATGTCCTTGGGAGTATAAACCCCCCCTTCCCCACGGAAAATGTTCAACCATCACTGTGTAAATTAGGAGAGCTATGAACATGAGAGTTGGTACAAGAAACAGGCCTGAGCCAAAATTGCTCCAGATACTGTAAACCCCCGAGAAAAGGAAATCGTGGAATATCATCGGAAATTTTGATTGGTGAGCAGAAATAATTTCTATACTCTGTGCCTAGGAACGCCAATAGATGCGGAGAAGCCTTTATCGTTCAGTCATATATTCACAGCAATCATTTCAATCAAGTTGGCAGCGGAGAAAACCACAGCCATCTATACAATGTGTGCCATAACCCGTGAGCTAGTGGGCAAATCGGAAGTCTAATCTCTTATTGCCCTCATCTTTCGTCGTGCTCAGATAATGATGCTTCTGGTCGAGATCCATAGCATCCCAAAGCTGTTCGCGTGTCTTGTTTCGCCATATGTAGTAGAACTTAATGAAGATGGTGATACAAACGTTCCATGCCAGAATTGCAAGAAGGATCTTGTTTCCTTTTCGGTAGAAGGGTTGATCATCCGTTCGGTACACCTGACAAGAAATATTAGTGACACATCCAGCCAGCCTCATAGAAAGAGATGTGAGAGTAATAGGAAACGTACGTTGGAAGAAATGATAGCACCTGCTTGGGTAATCATGTTATATACTGCACTACCCACAGTGCGGGTGCGCACAGAACCAGAGTTCCGGGAGATCAAGCTGACTATAAGAAGAATAGCGTTAGAAAACCCAAGACTTGTGAAAGGATATGAGTACAAACCATTGATAGAATGAACATAAGGGAAGCCAACAATCAGCACTGTAACTGCGTACCAACTCCAAGGACTGGCAGTTGCTGGCATGAGCTCTAGTGCCATTAAAAGAGGAAAAACCCAAAAGGAATAAAACAATACAATGCCCATGCGGTTGTTGATTTTCTCAGACACCCAAGACCAAAAGATCAGCTGGACCAAGAACAACGCGGTCGCAGGAATGGTCAGAAGATTGACCTTGAAGGTATCAAAGCCAAGTGATCTTAGGAAGAGGGTGAGATATGCTGATTCAGGAGTGACGGGGATGAGCAGAGTGAGACTCATCAGGTACATTGGCCAAAGATCGTAGTCCATGAGAGAGTCCCAGAGAAGTTTGAATGTTAGACCTTGACGATTATGCATGCCACCCTATATGAAGTCCATAGTCAGCCTGTGTATCAGAAAATTTCAAATAGAGTACCATCTTTCGTACCTTTGCTGGATCATCTCGTAAGACTCGATTGACCATGATGACTTCCTCTCTTTCCGAGAACCACCCATTTTTGCCTCGAAACCAGCTTGCAGTCTGGGTCGGGCTCGGAGGTAGATAAAACCAAGAGATGACACCAATGACGAGAGTCAAAGCCCCCTCGATAACAAAGAGCCACCTCCAGCCTTCCCAGCCGCCCATGTCTCGCATGCGAAGAATGCCAAATGCCATGAACGCAGCAATAATACCGGTACTGTTAGAGATGCAGTAGAAAAAGGCGACCCGCATGGGCAGCTCATTATTCGTGTAGAAGTAGGATAGGTAAAGGAGTGCATCAGGAATGAAACCACCTTCTATCAGACCAAGCAGAGCCCGAGTCGCATAGAAGCTCTTTTCGCCGGTGACTAGACCCTGGGAGATACCGACTATACTCCAAAGAACCATCTGGATGGGAATCCATACGTCGGGGCCGAGCTTTTTCGAAATCATTTGCGACGGTACCTCGGCGCACAGGAAGCAAAGGAAGAATATCGTCATCCCATAGTTATAATTGTTTGTTGTTAACCGGAGGTCATTGAGCATTCCGTCGGATAATGCTTGTCCGATATTACCCCGATCCAGTTGGAGGGCGAAGAACATCAGACAAACCCAAGAACAAATTCTGTAGTCCAGCTAGTTTCACCAAATGTTAGCTGATTGATTCACAGTATGCGAATCCTGGGAAGGGTCTTCATTACCCTTCGAACCAGTTGCTTTTCTTCCTTCTCCGTCCACTCTGCAAGTGGGTCATATCGATGTTTCCCCTCATAGTCATCGATGGGCTCATAGAACTCCAGTGACCCACCCGTAGCCAATACACCATTTGTTACATCGTACTTTTTGGTCGGGGTTGGCGTCTCCTGGACTATTGTGACAGCCGCCTGCTTTGATTCCAGCGACAAGGAGCTTTTGTCCGACATTGTCGATTCTTAGTCTGGTTGATAACTTCCATAACTCGGATTTTTGCCTTCTTATACATTATAGATGTTGCAACTCGTGCCTTGCGCCGAGTATTGCGCAATGCTAGAAGGGCATGTCAGGCTAACGGTATCTGCCGTTGTGCAGCGTGTTGCGGAGAAATTGTAACGGAATGCAATACCTGAAAGGTGAAATTTGCGCCTCTGATGATGAATTAGATGCCTGTATGTGCTCAATTAGCATGGCAAGGGTGAGTCCGGAATTGGTTAAGCGAAGGGGCCCATGCAGGATACTGTCAAGCTGTAGACAAAATCATATTAACAAAGCCGGGGATACGTGGGCACGGACATATAAAAACTATGAACTTGGAATATTGTTGCATAATTGAAACTAAAATTAATGTTGATGACAAGGTCTAGCCTATGAAGACCGTTGAGACTGCGCAACACTAGTCATACGCAATAGAATTGGCTCGGAGTGAGCCTTGATTGAACGACATGTTGTCATTCAGTGCGAGATCGCGTCACTAAGTAGATAACGAATTGCTTTTTACCCCTCTACTAAGTCCATTGTTTCGCTATTTAGCATAATAGGATTGACTAAATATCTTCAAGATGTCGACATTTCGGCTAATATTCCTCTGTGAAAGCTACTGTGAGTCAAAATGAGCTGTTTCATACACGATGCAACTTGCGTGGATTTTTCACAAGATGACAATAAAATTAAACCGGTAAACAAATGCGACACATATATTTCATTTGGTATATTATTCTATATTGCCATGACACAATCTTGCCTCCATATTGCAAATTAGACTGTGGCTGATAAATCGATCTGACGGCTATCCGAAAAGTTGCCAAGCATGGTCGATGGTGACCAGAATCAAGTTTCAACATGTCGTGCTAGATATCAGAGCAAGACTCGGAAAGCCTTGTCTAGACTGGTATCCAATTGTAAAAAGTCCACAAGACGTCCCAAATGGTCAATTCCCCAGAAGCTCTCCTTTGCCCCCTCAGCGTTTATACAATCAAACCAAGGCAAACCAAAGGCGCCGGATGTGAATGCCTCTTGTGTGCGTCCACTCAAATTGGCTTGTGCCTCAGTACCTTTGAACTGTAGGACAATATTAGAGAAGAAAGAAGGTGTAATGCAGACCAGATTAAACATACTTCATCCAAAATCAGCTTGGCGTTCTCGGCGCCAAGCTCGCTCTCAAAGATAGCAGAGAAACCGGGTTGAGTGAGGACATTTGAATTTCCCTCTTCCCAGAACCCGCGAAAGATCTTTTTCACGATGGGAACTAGCTTATCGGGACATTTTGTAGCTAGAAGGCAGAGCGCAAGCTGAGCGTCCGAAGTGTTTGCGGGAAATCCTTTTGGGATGGCTTCGGACATGGGAACCTGGAAACGACGAGCCCAGTAGATACGCTCTCGGTTGATCCATTGGAACTTGTCTTCAACGGTAAATTAGGATTCAAATATTGGGTAGGATATAGCGTTTAAGGAGTTGAGGAAGAGGAACTTACTCTTGACTGCAATAGGAGGCGTGTTTTGGCATAACCCAAACAGGTCTCGCAGGGAGATTGGGACGTAGTCAATTTCGCATGTTGCGAAGACAGGGGATGTCTGGACATTCATTAGATAATTTTCATTCATGAAATCTTTTCGGATATTCGACTAACCGTCAAAGCATGGAACGCAATGCAGCTGAATGGACTCCCGACGTCGAAGTAACAGGTTATTTTAGGAGCCATGACAGGAATAATATTGACGATAGATTGTTGAAATGCACTTATATCAGGCTTGACATGAAGTCTTAATAACATTATTTTGTGATTATTCATCCAGACTGAGTTATACCCCAACAAACTTTCGGATCTCAGGCCGATTGAATTTACATTCGGGTGGGTTTCTTGGGGGACCCCAGCAATCAACGTTTTAAAGGTTGAATGATGTTCTCCTTGTTGGGGTTTAAAAAGTAGTTTGTTGGTTGACATTCGGGTATGGAAAGTGGTAGCCAACGGTAGATTAAATTTGGGTGTGTATTTGTTGGAGCCCAGAAACATTCAACGTTTCCAAGGTTGAATATCATTCTTCTTGTTGGGAAGTCTGATGTACTTAGAATATACCATCACTTAGTACAATTCTCCGCGGTTTCATGTTTACTCAAAGCTCTCAATCTCTTTCCAGTCTTGAAAAAGACCCACGGAACAGGCAAAAGTGCCACCGCAATAAAACCAAGCAAGCTAGATGCCCACCCTGCACCGAGCTTGGTGTACACTATAAGAGACGTAAATATATATACCTTCGCTTATCATAAAAGATCGATACTCACTTTGGACGGTAAATAGAGGGAACACAGCCCCAAGTCCATAACGCGCCAAACCATTGGCGCTCATGGCACTTGCGACAGTCAGACCATGATAAGTATCAACGAGATATTGCGTTGTGCTGACGAAGACACATAGATTTCCCCATGCAAAAACAATGATTGCAACGACGGGGCTTGCCCAGGAGATATCGGCCCTGGAAGTCCACGCAAACCAAAATAGACCGATCGGCAGTCCAATACTACCTATGAGTGCTGGATAGAGGCGATATTCGGGTGGTACTTGCCCGTCTGGATGCTTTGCAGCTTTGGGGAGGTAGAGGAAGAAGTTGCATAATATGACGGTCACCGTTCCCAGTAGACATCCCACCACAATGGTCAAGAAGACCAGGCCGGACTCCTCGATGTTAAAATGATAGATACCTTGGAAGATCAATGGAAAGGCCGCGAAAAACGAGAAGAGTGTCGCAAATTCACACGCAATGTAAAGGCAAATGAAACCAACGATTGGTTCGGTTAGGAGCATGTTGATAGGTCGGAGGAGGGAAATGGTTAAAAACAGGCGTAGCTTCGAAGAGAGGGGGGATGACGGGGGAAGTTCTAATCCGAGTTCCTTGGCGCGACGACGTTTGATGATAGGGTGAAAGGTCTCTTTGGCAATTAAAATTGTGATACCAGTGAGGATGGCGAAGAATATTGTTGTCCACTGTGTCCATCGCCAGCCTTTCCGATTGACAACGAAACTTCCAATGACAGGCCTAAAGAATAGTCAGCAAGACGGAGATCTTAGCCATAAAATCGGGTTGAGAGATATTGACCCTAGACCAGGACCCAAGAAAGGCGTAAGAATAAAGATAGCCGAGGGAAGAGCGCGTTGGACAGGCTTGAAGGTCTCATTGAGAGTTCCGGCCGCAATTGCTAGAGTTGGTGCGTAGCAGAAACCAGCTAAGAAACGTAAAACACAGAGTCCAGAAAATGTGGGAGCAAACCCTACACCTAGAGTAAATACAGTGCCCAGACCAATCGACCCTATGTAGACTGGGTATCTCCCGACAGTTTCAGAGAGAGGCCCTCCAACGATAGGACCAAGGGCCAAGGCAAAGACGTAAAGTGACAAGGGTAAGATAGCGACCGTGCTGCCGACCTCAAATTCTTCCATGAACTGTGAGTGAGCAGGTGATAGTATAGATACTCCAACAGTTCTAGATTATATGTCAGAATTCAAGTCAGCCTCACATTATTAGGAGGGATAAACCAACGTTGTGAAGGCCGCCCAACCAATCATCATCACTTGTAGAACTTTTTGACTTGTCGGCCAGTTGTAAGGATTGCTTGGATCATCATCCCAATTCCATGTTTCACTGCGTTCTGCTTTCTCTGCAATTGTGCCGAGTGCATTTTCGAGCGTATCGTCGGATGATTGTGAAATTTCCATGGTGCCGTGTACATCGACCTTCGGGCCATGCTCCAGTTGCACCATGTTGAGAATATCCTTAGAATGTGAGTACACAAACTCGGAGAGGTACGTGTCGTGACAATGCTCTCTTATGAGTAAGGATAGAATGGGATGATCAGGCAACCCATAAATGGGGTTGCGAGATGACAGATTACTTCTCGCCAATCTTCTGCATATCAGAGGCCGAGGTTATATAATCTCAATTATCTGCGCGTTCATCACACAGAAGCGACATTGAAAGACTCTTTGGAGCGACAAAGGCGGGGGCCGCTCGGGGATGGTCAAAGATTGGCCAACTCCCAACCCCTGGCCGAAGAGCATCTCATTGGCTGGAGAGTATAACGCTAACCTGCTTGTCCGAGGCATTTCTCGATTATTGAACATTTGATTATTCAACATCCCTGTCGACTGAGATTAGGTACAATGATGATCGGGATGTTGACAATTATCTTTGGCTTGTTGAGGAGGCGTTTATTCTGGCCGAAAGAAAGAACAAATTTGAAGATCTATGGCATCAAGGAACAACCTAGCAAATCAGTAATGTCTTGCACTCACCTTTGCCATTGAGATTGAAATAAAATATTTCCAATTCTCTTGCAAAGAAACTCTGACTTGTGCATAGCTTTCTTGCCGTCCAATGGGTTTTCAGCACCTCCAAAAGTTCGATCCGCTCTCCATTCAGACCACAGCTCATTATACTGGTAAAGTGAGGGATTGCCAACCATTATGGACCAGACGCAGAAGGAAGACCAATCACACGGAGACATGATCGTCGCAGGAAGGTGCTACCGGTACTTGACGGGGTTTGGGGATCGCCTGGGTGAATATGCTGGCGCTAGTAAAATGATCGACAGTGGACCGGATTGGCGTCGATAACTCGGCGGGGACAGTCGATGTGATATCGCTTTGGCATTTTCTTGGAGTATTCGTGAGAGACAAATGGGAGAAACGCTTAGATCGCACATCTTGCAACACAGGTCGGGCTGAAAGTCGCATAGAACAAGCGCTCTGCAGAGAGCTAAGCTAGAGTCGTGTGGATTTTGCTAACAAGCGCCTGTCCGGTCCGATCAACTCATCAATACGGCTCATGACTTGAGGTTTGAGCTCACAAACTTGCACTGAGTCAGTTGCTGAAGGATAGGGTCAGTGATGGAAATGCGCCACAAGCCCTGCGCCAATGGTCTTTGAGGAACGCAGGAACCCTACTATAGACGTGTCAGGAAAATTTGTGCTGTTTGTCTTGGACAGGGGGCTTCCCAAAGATACTTGTATTTTCCGTCTTCTAAGCTAACTCACTCCTTATCTCAAAGCTCCACCTTGGCGATGCCGGGAATGCCGGGGCCGGTACCCGTGGACGAGCGAACGCTATGGCTAAAATTTGACGTCAGTGGACCAGATGTACGCTGTAGATTTAGAAATGTCACTTTAGACTGGAGTTTGGTTTGATATGGGGGAATCCATGATTCACATGGCCAAAAAGAGGTATTAAGGCCTGATTATTCAGGCTGCAACATATCCCAATCGGTCTGACAGGTCTCATGGATTTTTATCTCATCTTATCCTTATCTCCCGGGAAATTTTTCGGCCTTCCCGAGTTGACAGACCTGCTTACATTTTCCAGTTTTGAGGAGTTGACGCCTATGTTTTGAATTTTCTTGTCTGGAGGTCGAAAGGTTAATCGCCGACTTCTTCAACATATTGTGTGACATTCATATTATCGCCCTCGAGCTGCTACAGAGCAATCGCTCTAGCAGGCTACATGCAGTTCTACCCCAAAGCGCGAGAACAGCGGCCTAGCATCCATGACCCATCTGTTCGGCCGCGTCGAATTGGTGTCCTGAAAGCAGCTACCGTCAATTTACTACTTCTTCAAGCTCTGTTTCTGGGTCTATTTTGTTACATATTCGGGTCCCTCTTCCAGCAGACCGGACACATCCATAACATCAATGTGTTGTTCGTTGACTACGATGGCGGCGCAATAGGCGATGCGGCCCGCGCCGCGGTCCAGAAGCTCAAAGGGCCCAGCTTTCCAACTTTCATTGAGCAATCTGCCTCAGTGTACCCCCAGCCTGGCTCGATTGAAGGTGCAGTTTGCGACATCAAATATTGGGGAGCGTTGTACACTACAGCAAATGCGTCGAATGCATTGAGTGCAGCATTTGCGGGTGGGTCAGCTGCATCTTTGTACGATAAGAACGATGTTCTTACCATGGTGTGGAATGAGGCGCGCTACCCGACGGTCGTCGACTCAGTCCTTGCAGAAAGCATCAAATTGTTCTCGGAAACTGCACGTGTCGCGTACTTCCAGACCAACGGGAAGCGGTCTCTGCAGAGTATTAACAGCTCTGATTCAGCTGCGCTTGCAGCATTCTATGAACCTTGGACATTGGCCGAGAACAATATTCAGCCCACATCACAAGGGTCAAGGGTTATTTACAACACGCTTGTTATCATTTTGATCATGATCCAAGAATTCTTCTACCTGGGTACTGTCAATGGTTTATACGCTCAATTCAAACTCTACACATCGGTGTCACCCCATCGCATCGCCATAGTGCGTCTAATCATATCTTCGATTTACACACTCATCGGTGCTATGTGTACAGCCGGTGCAATCTGGGCATTCCGAAATGGCTGGGATGTCAACGGAAATCAGTTCGCGCTCACTTGGCTGGTATTATGGTTATTTGCACATTTGAACTTCCTCGTGCTGGACGTCTTCACCATCTGGCTTCCGCCTCCCTACGTACCCATGGCGCTGATATCGTGGATCATAACGAATATCACTTCTATTCTTCTCCCATTCGAGTTGTCACCTGCTTTCTACAAAGTAGGTTTCGCCTTGCCCGCACATGCTGTCTTCCAGGTTCTCATCGACATCTGGTCTTCTGGCTGCAACCCCAAACTGTATTACGCGCTACCTGTTCTCTTCGTCTACGAAGTTCTTGGTATCATCTTGAGTACCATCGGTGTTTATCGAAGGGCTCATTACGCGTGTATCAAACAAGAGATGGACGAAAAGGCTTGCCAAGAGCAGGTGGCGGCCACACTCCTTCAGCAACAAGAGGCTCAACTGGTCAGACGGGAGACGACACGTGATACCCAAGGAAGCGAAACATCGGACAGTGGGAACGGAGAAGGAGATGATATGCAAAGACAAAGACGAGGCACAGTGACAACACTAAGAGAGCAAGATCAAGCGGAGTTAGCCAACATCATCCACCGTGAGATGTCCCGGCCGAAGGTCGAAAGACCAGGTACGAGTCGAGATAGCACCGGTCCGTCTTTTGCCTTGGCCTACAAAGATTGAAACCCCCCGGGGTTGCTCACAATACCAAAAAGCGAGACCAACACTACGTTACTACGAAGAAGTTATGTAATTAATCAAGATTGTGTATATAATATTGTTTATATTTCCATTCCACATTTAGGAATGCTGTCAACTTCAAAAAATACAATGAAGATACTCAAGCGTCACTTCATTATACCTTTGTCATATGCAATCGATATCTAGTATCTAATGCAGCCTGCACGCTAGCACGAACGGCAAATACAGCCGCACAGTTACGTACATGCTCTCTGGGGGTATAGGTAGCAGAACTACTCCAACGCAAGGCCACTATTCACGCAGGGCTGTTCTGTGAGTTATAAGATCATCTACAACTAATTATAGTCTACCTTTTGAATCAAATCCCATGCATATGCATTGGCTATAATGAATAGAAATTACTGTCTGGGTCGCGTGGGGGATTTATATCAAGTCAAGGTCTTTCGATCCCAGGTGGTGCAGTGGTTAGGTGTGTCATTTTCAACAGTCGCTAGATGTCTAGTATCATAACTTAACAAGGTAATGTAAAACATTTCTATGGAAATTACCATTGATGCAGGAGTTATCGCAAATCTATAAGTACTTACCCGGTGCCTTCGTTCTCATATGGCTCCTCGGCAAAATCGGCTAACGGGGTAGCCCAACTCGGTCCAAGGAGCAGGCGTGAAATGTAGTCATCATCGCTGGGATCAATCTCACTTTCCTCTTCACTGGCATCGGTAGCGGCCACCTCAATCTCCCCATATGGCTCCTCGTCGAAATCAACTATCGGTTTGTCCCATTTCGAACCGAGAAGCAATCGTGCTATATAGTTGTCATCGCCGGAGTCCATCTCACTCTCATCGTCGCTGGCATCTGCATCAACATCCTGGTCAGCCCCTTCGTCAATCTTCTCAATTTCGCTCTTGACAACAGAACGAGGAGACAAGGAAGACTCAAAGATCATTCGGTCAAGAGCATCTGCAACTATAACATTACTGCTTATATCACTCTTGAGCAGAGCGATTTGCCCGGGCAAACTTTTCTGAAGGGCGCCACAAAGCTGCGCAAAACGAGCGTCCTTCCCGAACTGCGCACAGATGCGTGCTAGTCGAGAAATCGCGGACAGCCTCGCAGTTACTAGCAAGCGGCTCTCTGGGTTGAATCGGAGATCGTGGATTAGGCACGTGAGAGATGTGAGCATACGCTCGTGCTGCTGGTTATCGTTGAGTGGAGGCATTGTCTGTAGATGAGTGTCCTGAAAATGTCAGTATATGTGGGGGGAGCACTCATCCAGGCACGGTAGATGGATTCCAGAATGTGAGCGTTGACCAGAGATGAGGTTACCGGTGCTGCTGAAGCCTTGATGTTGTGGGAATAGGGGCTATTTATAAATTTCTGGTCCTTCTATGAGTCCAAACATGGATCAGTTGAAAACAAAGGCCATTGTTGAAGGGAAAAATGAATGAAGGATACAATGAGATTGTTGATAGGTTCTGTTATGCGGGAAAGTCCAGCTGTTACTACAAGGAGCAATACCAGCTCACAAAGCTAGTCGTTCGAAAGGAAATGAACCGAAAAAATAATACCGGTCAACAAGATAATGAAAACGTAGAGGTCGGAGCAGTTGGCCAGAGGACGTGTACTTTCAGAACAGTGGCCTGGCTGGCTTTGGTTGCTAGAGCTGTTATTCGAATCCAATCAGAGCCACCAGGTAGATCCGGAGATAGAAAGCTGTGGGAATTGGACAATTGTACAACTTAAGCGTCGATTCCGAAGTATTGGATTGGATACGGCCAAATGGATTGCCGCAGTAGGGCACAATTAGTCTATTCATAATGTGCTAAAACGTCCTCCCTCGCATGTTTTGGCACAGGACGCAGTTACATTGTTTTTGGTATATGCGTATAGGCCTTCGCCTTGCCTTGGAATGGACGAATGGTGCGACGCGCGTAGGATGAATATACGCCTGCAGAGTGAGGAACAAGGTCATATAAATGACGTGGTGGAATGACCTGTTTTCAAGTTGGCAAAGATGGACAACGAGATGAAACATCGCTGTAGATTTCCGAGCCGTGCGCTGGCGTCTTCCGAGGATGTACATCGAAGGAACATGCACTTGGCAGAATTTCTTGCTCAATATCAGTAGGTAAACGGATTCAAGTTATTCTCTCAGTCGGAGAGCTTGACCTGTCCACAAAGGACGACATCTTCGCCAAATGGGTACCATTTGACATTCTTCAATCTCGCTGCAGAGATCGCATTTCCACTCTCATCAAAGCGCCTAGCAGGGGAAACGACCACGCCACCTTCACCCAGCCACGTGGGAGCAATAGTAACAATGACGCTGTTCAGCAGAGACATGTAATGTGGGCTCAAAAGGGATTTGATGACCTGGCCACCACCCTCTATCATGACGCTCCCGAGCCCGTTCGATTTCAGAGTGACGAGCAAATCTTGCCAGTCAATCTGATGTCCACCGGTATGCAATCTGATCATTTTGACTGAGATAAATCTTCCGCCGTACGTTTTCAGCAATGCTACCTTCTCGGCGTCTGGTTTCTCAACTGCCGTGATGATCCATGGGGCACGGCCACGCCCCTCTCTGCAAAGTTGGAACAGCTTGCTATCGTCTGAAAACTCCCATCGGGCTGTCGGATCGATCACAACTGGTCTAGGCTGACCATCTAGACCCTCCTTGCCATAACCTCCGACTCCTGAGATTCGACAGTTAAGACCGGGATCGTCTGCCACTGCCGTACCAACGCCAATGATAATTCCATCATGACGGGATCGCAGATAATGAGTCATTGCCTTGGACTGGGGGCCTGAAAGCACTGTGCGTGCACCAGGAGACAGAGCCAGAGAAGAGTCAAGCGAGGTCGCGAATGTGAGTGTTGTGAAGGGGAGAGCAGACTGAGGTCCCGAGCCATCCTTAGGTGGCAGATGGGGCTCTAAGAAGCCTCTGTCTGACTCTGGAAACTCCAGTGCATCTCTTGGTGCTGGATTCATCTGGACTGTTGCGGGTTTTAATTGGTTCACTCAATTGTTGTTGGCGATATGAAGATGTGAAGCTCGGCACTTGGCGGTGAGTTTATATCGCTGCCTCAGGCTTTATATGCACTGACCCCACTACCTAGCGACATCGGCAAGACACGATTGGACCAAGACCAAAATGGCATCTCCGCCAACAGAGGATCCCTGTTATGCATCTAGAATAGCGGGGGCTTTTACGCGACCCCTGAAGTCGACAAATCCTTCTGTCCCACGGCGTTCAACCATCCATACCGAATCTCATATCCATCATGTCAGATCCACCTGCCCTTTCGCCTGGGAGCCAATCAACCTTGGTAATACGCGATAAGGAGAAGAGAAAGAGGACTAGTGCATCGAAGGTCCGCACGGGGTGTTTGACCTGCAAGTAAGTACCCGGAATCTACCGCCAGGTGATCGCTCAGTGGATGAGGAGATCCGCCGCGCGTAAACACAATGCAGAGATCTACCAGCCTTAAGATCGTACTCGGGTAATAAGGCAGCCGGTGCTAACACCCGCGTTAAGATCTCGTCACAAGAAATGTGATGAAACTCGACCCGCTTGTCTTATGTGCAACCGTGCTGGACGCGTATGCCAGGGATATGTGGCGCCACCCGACAGGAGAACTCGGGAAGTCCGAGATGCGCGCACCGCAAAGACAAATGGTGGCGCCCTAAACATTGTGCATGTAGGCCAGCAACAAGCCCAATCCGTCGGTTTGGTCCACGTGATTGATGGCAGCCAAGTTGGCTTGTCGCGGATGGAACGGGATTATCTGTATTCATTCCGTTCATATACTGCTGCCCAGTGTGCTGGGTATAACTGCGACCCATTCTGGGAAGTTCTTGTCCATCAAGTCTGTGAATCTTGCCCGGAGGTCCGCCATGCAGCTATTGGTATCGGTGCCTTGCATCGTAGATTTGCGAATCCCAGTTCCGACCGGAATGACGTTTTCCCCATGCGGCAGTCCACAAAGGCCATCGCTTGTCTTCGCACGGCTATGATGAACGACGACCAATCGGATCCCTCGGCCACGGAGAAGGTGTTGGTGGCTTGTGTTGTTTTAGTTAGCTTCGCTCTCTTTCAAGGCGATGTTGATGCTGTTCGCTGTCATCTCCAAGCTGGCACTAAACTACTCTGGGAATGGAGGAAGAAAAAACCTAAGAGCTTGGTCACTTCGATTTTATTACATTCATTTATACAGCTCCATATCCATTGGGCAAGCGCTACAAGGCTCCAGGATTATACGGGAGGAGACTATCCCTATCTCCTAGAACTTATCCATGATAACCTCGACGATATTGCTACACATGCCAATGAACAGTCAAGAGCGACTCTCCTGGTATCTGTTCAAGCTTGGGCGATAATGTTAAGTTACCCCGTGTCGCTTGACCCGATGACCACCAATGCTTCGCAAGGATTTACATGGGACACCCCTGCGAACAAGGTCCATCGATTTAATACGCAAGCGGATGAGTGTATTGTTCTCCACCAAAAGACTGCCTGCCCTACAAAGCTCCGTGCCTTCATGGTCATTCAGATGCAGATTGAGATGATGAAAATTGTCCTCGCCTCAACAACGTTTTCAGGCTCTGAAACAGAATGGGATGCTCTCTTTCCCCATTTCCAGGCGATTGTCGATATAGCAGGAAAGTTGTTGAGTAGCTTTGATCAGTTGCCAGACCCACTGTTTTCTGTCAAGGAAGGATTCTTAGGAGCCCTCATGTTTTGTGGACTCAAATGTCGCGATTGGACGGTTCGACAGAAGGTGATGACCATCTGCCGAAAGTACAATCGACGAGAGGGGATGTTCTCTACCGCCGAGGCTGCTCTCTTCTTACACCGTATCTACGATGTTGAGTCTGCTGGTATTCCACCAGGAGAAGAAATACCAGAGTCCAATCGTATCAATGCAGTGTTCATCGCGGAACATCCCAACCTTTCAAAATTCCAAACCCAAAGTCACATCAAATATCGTGATAACGATGGAAATTGGTACAGCGAATGGCTGTCACCATGATGCTTCAGTGCACCTTGTACAAAGGGAATTAATGAGTGACATGAGTTTTATGACATTACTTTGTATACATTTCGGGATAGATTTACATAAATCAACGTTTCCAGACGTCTAATACAAAATATGCAGTGATGAAATGTATGCCCCTGAAGATCGACAAAGCACAGTGGTCAGAGAGCGGCAACCATTCGGGAGGACTTTCACCATCTCATCCAATATCCCGCGTCACAGCCCTGTGGGACAAAGTGGGTCGTAAGCCGCTCCATCCAAATACCATTGTGTCCACGATTGGCTACCCACACAGGTCGGGTAGTAGAAAACACTCGTCGGATCGTATTTTTTCTTGATGAGCGCTAAACGCATATAGTTTGTACCGTATAAGTTCGTCGGCCATAGGGGATCGTTGCGATCGGCCTTTTTTTTAGTTAGTAGACTCCTTAATTCGGAAAGGAAGAATCTTCATACCTCATTCATGTAACTTCCGAGAAGTGGGTCGAGCGCTCTCATAGCCCCTCCCTTAATATAAGTGATATCGTCTTTGACAGTTTGAGCAGATGAATGATTAGCCCAACCTCTAGTCACAATATTAACGATACAGGTGGACCGCCAGGCAGGATTTACACTGGAGTACTTGTCATCGGTGAGAACTTTTCCACCCCCGACGAGCTCGACGGCATTCGATGAGAAATCCTCAGAATTGCCCGCAATGACACCAATCATGTCTCAAAGGGCGGCAAGACTCGTTAAAGCATCTTTGCCAAACACTCGTGATGTCATGGCTGAGTTCGGGGACCCAATTCGTACTGCCTGGGATACACCAGACAGGGCCTGGAAGTATGCTCCATACGTTGGGAAATTATACCAGTTGACTGATATATGAAGTGAAGAGCCATTATATTTCTGTAATCTCTGGAAAAGTGGATCGAAGTCCTCCTGAGACTGGACAGGGACTTGTTCATAACCGTAGCAACGTGCGTATAGCCAGCCGTTTGGTTCGACCCCATGGGGTTGGCAATGGACCAGGAACCGTAGCCGGAGAGTCTTGCATCCATGATGTTGATATATTGCTGGTAGACATCGGTAATCGCGTCTAATAGTGAGTCCGTGTCCTCGACGAGTTCCAGTGGCCTGCCTCGGTACCGGTGTGTCTGGTGGGCGACCGTTGTTTTCGCTGTCATAGCATATATCGGATGTTGGATCGCCTCGGTGTACACATGTCACCCACCATCCAATTACTTCAAGTTTGGTAGCAAATAATTTTCTCTGAAATTTAGGGTTTTGTTCCTAATGATTCGCAGGAAAATGCACAAAGCCAATTGATCACAAAGGATCTGTGATCTCCATATCGTATAGCACAGCAGTGGACATCCTTACAGACTTATTGGGTACAGATATCCCTTTCTTTTACCATCCGCAAGGATTGAGTTAATACCATGGAACAGTCATGTCCCTCCCACTTCGCATCATCTGGGAAGCGAAGATCAACATGCAGCAAAAGATCGGTTTAGTGATAGTTTTCTGTCTTGGATTCGTAATTGTCGTAGCGGCGATTATACGAGCAGTTGCAATCACTGGAAAAGCATATTCAGACCAAGCAGCACTTGCAGTATGGGGTGTCGTCGAATCTTCAATCTGTGTGTTTGTCACCAGCACCTTTCTCATAAAACCCTCATGATAATCGAAATAGCAATCATTGTCGAATGTCTACCGCCATTTCGAGCTATTATATCTACCAAGCCAAATACTAACCGGTGTCCTTACGGCTCTTCTGGTGTCAGGCCCAATTCTGATGATCGAAATCATTCTGCACGCGGGAAAAACCATTCCGACACAGCCAGCTGGAGTGAGCCTCCATTGCCATTACAGGATCTTGGACCTTGCCAGAAGAATCTAGATTACAGAATGTGTACATAAGTGGAGGTCAAAGCACCGGGGGACCAAACAATGTGCCGCGTAGTGTGGAGGAGGCGCTTAGAGGGGTATACATTCTATGAATTGTCAGATCGCACGATGCGAAGGGCTGACTATAGCGTGTTCGCAGAGTGTGGTATCTTCGAAGTGATGCTTTCTGTATCTTTGCGATTGGGATGATCATGCATTCCAGGCCACAGATTGTACATAATTCTAAATTTCTATTTAAACCTATTGAGGAGTGGGAGAGATATTTGCAAAGCGCTAAGAGTCTCTGGTATTTAAACTATGAGAAGCAGGGTATTTATACCCTGGTGGAAATGACAAGTAAGTGCTCAGTCTGATAAACAAATATAAAGACAGTCGGTCCGAGGACGGTCTCATTCCAACAAAATATAATACGGATACAGCCAGAGTGTCCTAACATATATTGTGATATAAGGGTTTCACTTAATGTACCTTTAATATGGGTATCCCGTACAAAGGGTACTTACGATTAGGCCGCATGGAACATGTGCGGGGTGAACTGGGTAATCTGCCTCATTCTCACGACTAAACAGCCCTCCATATACTGCAGGACGGAAGGAGTTCTTTGGAAAATAATAGAAAAACAAATTCTCACCCGTTGCGATGCAGTCAATTCCACCCACGCTTCTCCCGAACTCCCTATGCCATGCCGCCATTCACACGCAGAACCTGTCCCGAGACCCAACCACTAGCTGGGGAGCTGAAAAATGCCATAGCCTCTGCAATCTCTTCAGGTGTACCCAGTCGTCCTCGCGGGCTCAGATTCTTAATGGCATTCAGCATGGGTTCCGGTTTGCCTTGTGTGAACAGGGCAGTGTCAGTCGGACCTGGGGCAACGGCATTTACGGTGATTTCCTTAGGACCCAGCTCCTTGGCGAGGACGCGGACCATCTGCTCGATGGCGCCCTTTGTGGTCAAGTAAAGGAGGTAGGGAGGACTAATTGTGGAGGCATGGCATAGGGTCGTGGAAATTAGGATGATTCGGGCGCCGGGGCGGAGGTGAGGGACCACTTTCTGCAGTCATCATCAGCAAGAACCATTTCTTCATATTTTATGCAAGCATTGTTGCCCGCAATACACATATTCTGGAGCTCGTACCTGAACCAAAAAGTATGGTCCCTTTACATTTAGATCCATAATGTCATTAAAGTCTTGCTCCGAAGTATTCGCCAGGTCTCGCATAGGTAAAGAACCGGCATTGGCAATGACAATATCAATTTGTCCGAACTTGTCTAACGTACGACGGATCAGTTCCTCGCTGTCCGCCACACTGCCAGCATTGCCCTTGACGGCCAGGGCATTCTGCGATCCAATTGTGGTGACTACCTCCTGGGCGCTTTGCTCATCGGAGAGGTACTGGATAACCACCTTGGCACCATCACGTGCAAGACGAAGAGCTGTCGCTTTGCCGATACCCCTGGAGCCTCCGGTGATGATGGCGACCTTGCCAGCGAGAGTAGTCATCACTTCGGCTGTTGACAGGAGAAAACGAAGCTATTTTCGCGAGGTAGGCGAATAGAAACGAGGTTCAAGTGATCGGTTTGCGCGTATGAGAAGAATGTGCTTCCTCGATTCCTTCGCCATGATGACACTGTTGGTAAAGCTAGCGCGATCTAGGCTCCTGGACCTCGGCGTTTAATTCGCCGAGTGTAGGGATTCTAATCTTTTCAATTATTTTATGGCTGTGCCCTAATTATTTCTGTTCTATTCTATTCTATTCTGTAGTTCGGAGCTTTCATAAATGCCGTGGGGTGGATTTAACATAATACTCTCTGCCAGTTGACATTTGTGGCCATGCCATCTCTCGACGACGAGCTGGTATTGGATATTTACGATCTATTCCACACTGGACTTGTTTCTCCTCGGCTTTTATTGTTAAAAAAGTAATAATCCCGGCATAATATATCACGATATTTACTTCTTCCCAAATAGTCGCTTCAATTTGCTGTCCGTCTTCCCCTTCCCAATCTTACCCTTGCCGGTGTGGAGTTCCCGCAGCCGCCACAGCATCGCTATAGCACTGGTCACCACGACACTTTCTTCGGAGCTCTGGAGAGCAGGAAGAAGCAGCATGCCCTCACTGTACGGCAGCGCGAACGAGTCATCAAGCCTGAGGTGGTAGTATACAGCCTGAATATCAGGACTGCCGGATTGCTCAGGGTTGCGGACAAGAGTATACCGCAAGCGCCCGTGCTGAACGGGGTGGATCTGCCATTGGAAGACAGTTGATTTATCGTCGTCATCGGGGACTTCGAAGGTGAAGTAAGGGTGTTTGACGGTGCCGGTGCGAGTTGACGAGGGGGTAATGGGGTATGTGACGTCGAGGGGTATCTTGGATGGATTTTCGCTGTTGGTAATTAAGACGGCAGCTTCGTCTTCTGTAGTGGATATCGCCCTATTTGTTATGAGTATTGCTTTTTCGGGACGTTCAGAGAAATTGCAACGTACAAGTCTACCCCAGCCGACGGGGCTGGTGCCCGAGATTTCACCGACCCGATTACCGCATCTCCATCTCCTAGATTGAAATCCACATCGTACGCGATGGTGGTATTATCTAGTGCATCGCCGTGCGGGTTCAACATTGCTCCCACGGCTACCAAGTATTTGGTGCACCCGATGGGGAGTGTGCCCGTCGCCGCTGCATACTTGGTGCTGACATCGTGCACGGCCAGTTGAGTGTTTTTTCTGTCGTGACGAGGGAAATACAGCGCCCGTGAGAGGTGAGCGAGATTTGCGGCATCTGGATACCCAATTTCTGAGGCACCGGAGCGGGCGAGTTGGCTGGAAGATGTGTGTTGCTCCCAACCCACGACAAATCCCCCTTCGGTCATGTTGAACTGTGAAAAAGTGGATTGGTTTTGAAATGTTTTGAAATCGCATGTATGGCCATGGGGGGATCACGCGCATAAATAGAGCAGTTGACACCCGAGGCTGCTTATGGCACATCGCGAGTGCAACCTTGAAAAGAGTTTAGGGGCTTAGACGCTAAAACGGGGCGGAGGCCATATTTCACCATATTCCCCAGTTAGCGAGACAACTGGAGAAAGCGGGAGATCAACATAGATGCTGCTTGCTCCATTTGATCTCTGCCTCTTGCAGCTGTAAAAATGTCGAGTGTTTCATTTGCCAAAAGAATAACAGTTTCCTGCCACTATGGTCCACTGCATGGTAAGGGTTCGCCCCGTGATCCAGCAGGGATCGAACTATGGCCTCATGATCGCGATAAACGGCATACGTGAGTGGAGGCTGTCCGAATATATCAGTAACCTCCGGATCTGCGCCACCTTTTAGTAGCAGATCCACCATCGCTTCGTCGGACTTTTCCACAGCCAAGAACAGGGCGCGGCCATACTCTCTGCGAACTCCATCATTCGGGTGCTCGGTACACTCCACATTCACATCTGCCCCGTACTCCAGGAGTAATTCCACCAACTCTAGCGAACATATCCGCACCGCAAGAAGAAGAGGCTGTACCCATACCAGGTCATATTCCCAGGGTCCGAGTATCTCTAATTCCGGTATCTCGGATGGATCAAATTGAGGGGGTGCGCCACTTCGAAGTAGCATCTCGGCCATTCGTCTGTTCTGCTCTGAAATTGCGAAGGCCAGCGCTCTAGTGCGGTGAAGACTCTCTGTTTCACGGACCACCATCTGGGCAATTTCCTCATGACCATTCATCACTGCGACCGTCAAGGGCGCAAGGGACTTTCGCCGACCCTTAATCAAGTTCGGATCCGCACCGTATGCAAGAAGCTGCGAGACCAAATCGCGATTCCCAGTGGCCGCAGCTCTAGAAATAGGACTCTCTCCTTCCCCAAGGACGTTTACTTGCACACCATGTGTGAATAATAACCGGAGCACCGGGATCCGCTGGGAATGAATCGCCGCCGACAAGGCAGCATTCAGAAGTTCTTCTTTGTCGCATTCACTCCCAAGTTGCTTCGGAGCTGACAAAATTATATCAACCACATTGACATGCCCGTGAATTGCCGCAAACCACACACACTTTTCGTGTTCGACGTGCTGCCGGGTTCCGACGTCCAGCAGATATTTCACTACAGATGCATGGCCGGCGAGAGCAGCCACCGTCAGTGGCGTGAAGCAATCAGCGTCCCTAATGTTAGGGTCCACCCCGACGTCAACCATGTATCGGACGATATTGGCATGACCAAATTTCGCCGCCAGCGAGATCGGATGCGGCTGAAAATTCAAAACGCGCTTTGGATACTTCCACTGTTCCTTCGGTAGAGGGGCGCCAGCATCTAGTGCCTTCTGTAGTGTATCTATCCGACCATTTTGCGCCGCCCAGTCCAAGGCGGAGCTGTTACCTTGGCGCACATTGTTTTGGTAAAGGTAGGGGTTGGCGGTTGCATAGAAATGGCGGTTTGACAAGGCTAAAGCAGCGATAGATGATTCGGACGGTAAGAATGAGAAGATTAGAAGAATGAGCTCAGCTGGTAAAACTTCGATAGACATTGGGAGTGTAGAGAGAGGGGAAATACTCGGCCCATGCCCCTGTGGGGATTGTTGGGGCACACTAATTATAATGCATTACTATAATTTCTTCTGGTATGGAGATCTACAAAACACAGAGCCGCTTCTTTGTACCGTCTACCTATCAAAATTATATCTTAAAGATATCTAAACAGAATATCTGAAACTTTGAATACCAAGATATATCACAAGGCCGCAGAAACAAAGTATTTCTTGTTATGATTATGGAATGATTAGTGTGCGGCCATGAATCCCGGTCCTCAAAGGGGTTAGGGGCGCAAGGAGTCATCTCTAATTGCATCCCCGTCAACACTCCGCCCTCCGTACGGAGTACTAGATCTCAATTATTTATCCGGGATATGCCATTTTATCTCCATTATATAGTTAGTCCACGCTAAGTCTTTCACGCTAACAGAAACAGTTCGCCTAAAAACTACCATTTCACCTCAATTTAGGAAATTTACGGCATTATCTCTAGACCCTGGAAATTTACATTATGTATACAGAGGGTCGCCCCCTTATCGAGCATCAAACCCCAGTTTATTTAGCTAGTTTTAATTTCCTATCTCAAGGTTGATCTTAACTTCACCCTTGCAAGTATGCCCAGCATCACTATCACCAATGGGCTTACCTTCAACAACTTGGGTCCGGTGACCACCACATTCACCGCAGCACCCAGCTGTACAACTGCCATAAACAACTACGGAATTGGACTCAGCGAGTCTCTCCCTTACTATCTATTTGAGGCGCAATGCACCAGAGCTGGTTATAACGGCTGTTATCCCCCTGGCACCGTTTCCGAGGATCCTACCCCTGATCGCAATCCGACTGCGATATTCATCGAATCATACTACTCCCCAGGCTTATACTGCCCGTCCGGGTGGAAGACTGCCGGCGTCGCCGCCCGTCATGGCGACAAGACCGTGAGCTTTTCGGGTGTTTTGGACATTCCGACTCCCATCGGACCGGACTATGGGCCTACCACAATCGCCTCAGCGGGTAATCCGGTCAAGCTATTACCAAAGCTTCTAGACCCAAGCGAGACTCTAGTGATGTGTTGCCCTAAGTATGTGTGATATGGAATTATGTCAAGGCTTGGTATCTAATTTTGTTTGTTTTCCAGTTCCATGGTCGCGGACCCTGGTTGGGGCTGTTATTCAATTCTCTCCGATTACAAGGTGACCACAGGATGTGCCATCCCGCTTCCCATGTCACTTTTTGGCACATCAACAGCAACCCACATTGTGAATGGGACCACCTCCTTGGATTACCTCTTCAGCCTTACTAGAACGGATCCCGTCACTGCAACTATGACAACCTTCGATGCTTCGGAAACTCCTATGCTTGGCGCGGCTTCTTTCCTGCCTATGATTCGACTAATTCACCATCAGTCTGACCTCAAGGCAACAGGAACAGCCGATGCTGGCTCTACCTCGGCTGCGTCGACTTCGAACTCTGCGGCAAGACTCAGCCCAAATGTCAACTCGTGGGATGGAATGGGTGGTGTTCTGGGTGTGTCGCTCGCTGCTATTGTTTTGGGTGCCACCATGGTGCTCCAATAATACACTGCTTGTGATTTGAGCTTGCCTACGCGCATGATGAGTCCTCATTTCATCCTTTCGAAAACTTCGTTCTTGGGGGTTGGTTAATGTCTGTTTGAGTAGCCATATGTAGCATAGTCTCACTTGTAAATATTATTTGTAAAGTATCAGGTCTTTCGTTGCAGGAGAAGATAAAAATTAAAAATTCAAGCGGGTTGCATAACTTGCTAAAAGGGTGTGGACTGGCAAATACCTTTCGGACTATGTTATATAGTCCTGGTACCCTCTGATGCTTTCCCGAAAAAGTGAAGAAAAAGAAAAACAAGTGGGAAAGATCAAAGGAAAAAAAGAAAGCAGATGTATACAGTATGGATGATATGAAAAATGTGAATCGCAGTGGAAAATAGAGGAGAACCATTGCAAAAGCCGTAGTTACCTCTACGTACCTCTTTCGCGAGGTAACTGCACGCAGACCGAATCCATCATATTGGCGCCTGATCTTTGAGGAATTCTGCGTATACCTCATCCATAAAGTTTTGATCATAAATATCCACTTTCATGTCCGCCATGAATTTAGTCGAGTTTGGATTTGGTTTGATCGCCTGCTGAAACTGGGCAAGCTCCACGGTAGGCGGAACCTCCACACACTGGTCTTTGACATCACGGAGACTCTTCTGGAAGCGATCAACGAAAGCAGCGGGAGTGAGACCACGAGTAGAGTAACGGACTCTGCTGAACTTTTTCCAGGCAATGTGGACAGACTGGGCGGACGTTTTGCCGTAAAGACTCTCGAGCTTGACGTATGCTTCATGTGCATCCATGACTCGCTCGATCTCTGCCAGTGGTTCCCTGCCAAGACCCGAGGCAAGAAGATCCCGAGCACGGATGTTCAGCTTGCGCCGATCTCTAGGGTTGTGTTTGTTGAGCGCAGGAGGATGTGCATTTCTTCTAACGGATTGTGCCACAGGTCGTGTCACAGTGATAACGGGCTCGTCATCGGTTTCGGGGTCCGAGTCCGTTTCGGAGTCTAAGTCGCTATGGAGATCTACGTTGGTACCGGAGTATTCTTTGTCGATATTGCGAGAATCATCTTGCTCCACGAATAATAGATCGACACTTTCTGCCCCTCTGGTAGTCGTTGGCTCTTGCTTGATGATGGTGTCACTGAGTCTGTCCATGATAACGTCCCAGGAAACGGGATCGACCGCCATAAACGCTTCATGAAGACCCTTGCGCCAAGTGGACCAGTTGGATTTTCCTTCAAGCTTTTTGAGCCATTTTGGAAGCCTCACGGGCATCTGGTTGGCCATGGCGGCGGTGATTGCGATGCTTCTGACGGTGGAGATAGTCGATAATGCTATACTATCCGAATAGTTAGTACACATTCTGTGTTGGAAGACAGAAGGATATAGGAGGGCTGACACTTGGTTGAGAGAAAAGGGAAATGGCTATCGGGAAATGCTATAGCTGCAGTAAAGGCCGGTGGATGGAAGATCCATAAATACAGGACCGCAGGAAGCAAAGAGAAAACACTTGGTAAGACCGAAAGAAAAGTTTCAGCAGCACACAGTGGCAGCGGGTTGCATATGTCGAAAGACGAGGAGGGTCAGGTGTAAATATCAGAATAGAGAGTAGTCAGGAACTTGGTCGACCTCGACAGTCTAGAAACAAAGACTTTTTGAAGGCAAGATTGAGTAGAGCAGAGCACGCGCAGTGGTTATGATTCGTTCAAGGAAAGTAGACCGTTGAGTGAGAGATGCGACGAGTTAATTGAATCCTAACCGCAAGCTGAAGATATCAATGCTTCTGGCGAAGATGCGCAAATCCCGTTCTGGAACAGAAGACTTCTCTTCCTTGTCGGTCACAGCTGGGTGAAGCTGTACCTCATCAAGTGAATGGTATCTTGGTCTAGTATGTTGCACATTTATGCCTTGCTCGTAGCCTCAAAGTCAGTTCCACAGCAGCGACCTCGTCAACCTCGTAGAGGATTGAATCTAATTGAAGATCTTGCGAAGGGTAGGTAATCCAGATGTCTTATTATACATGTTATCGTCACGAAACGATTGAACTGGTACAATCGCAAGGAAATGGCAACATGGCCGGCGACGCATGGATTTAGATCTAAACCCAAATCTCATCATACCTGCCAGACATATAGCTAAGATCTCCAAGTATGGACCCGGACTTGACAAGGATGCTGAATTTACCCAATATATTATATACACTGGTGTTATACAAGAAAGACCCCAATTAAGCATAATCTGTTAACGGGAGTCCCCGTCACCCGAGAAATAGGGTTCACCAATGGCCAATCTGGAAAGTTCAAATCGGGATTAGCTTCTAAGGGTTCTCTTAGGGACTCATAGGTAACATCTATCTAATCTTGTGACATTCACCTAGGCAGGGGCTTTAGTAGTCTAGTTATCCTCGAATAATCTCGACACTTACAACTATGTACCTCCTGTCTCTTTCATTTCTCTTGACCCACAACTCCACACTCTCGTCCCATACCCAAATCAACAATTTCGATCTTCAAAATGCTCAAAACAACCCCTCTCATCGCCTCATCCCTACTGATGCTGGCGACAACCGCCTTCGGAGCGTGAAACAGCTACACCACCTGCGCCGACAGCATCGTCCACTGGTACAATCCGACAAATGGGAAAGTCAGCGATCCGCTCGATTGCGGTGGGGCCGCGCTCCTGTCAAGTACGATATCCCCTGCTGCACTGCTGCCTACACAGGCACGGAGCCTTGCATCATTACAACCTCTACCCTCTCTTGCTGGTCGCCTTCGGCCGCTACTCCCTCGACAGCTGCATCTGCCGCGTCCTCTTCTACCAGGACATCTTCTACCGGGGTAGCCGCTCGGACTTCCTCGCACAATATTTCGGGCAGCGCCGCTGCTCCTTCGACTACGGAGCCCCCAACTCAGTCGAAAAGCCCGAAGACTTCTGAAGCTGGATCGGCTAACTCGAGCAGCTCTGCTCCGCCAGTTTCGGCCAATATTGCGACGAGCTGTATTGGTCCATTGATGGCAGTTGCTGAAGCTGCGATTAGACCTGTTACTTTTATATAGGTGAAGCTCCGGAAGCATTTCACATACATCTCCGATGCCAGATCATGGCACATTAAAAAATTCAGAATATGATATCACATCTGCCATTATGGAGCTTGAGTTTATGTGCGGAGAAAGCTTGATATGCATTCATTTAGGAGATTAAAGCAGACGAAATATGGCAGCGAGACTCCCGATCACTCACAATCGGATCTACCGTAAAAAAAAGAGTGTAAACCAAGTCCATGTCGTCCACCGAAAAACAGACGAAAAAATGCAGAAACGCAGTGAGAGTCCCGATTACTCAAAATCGCTGTAGGGGTCAAAGAAAAGATCGAGTTGGAAGTCCAGGGAGTCGTGCACCACGTCAGGGCGGTTTTTCATGTGCTCACTGTAGCCCTTGGTCTCTGGAGAGCAAGCACCACAGAAGGAGGAACCTCAATCTTGAGCTCGCGCAGGTCATCCAAGGCGCATCTGAATCTGCACATGAAGCGATTCTTATCTTCATTCCCGGTGCCAACATACCGAAGGCTGGTCCACCGGCGCCACTGATGGCACACGTTCGCCGTTGCGTTTTCGCTGCGGTAGAAATCATTCATCGCGGACCAGATATCCTTCGCGAGGGCAATGTTAACGATGTGACTAGCCGGCTCGGGATCCATGGTGGCAAGCAGATACACGGGCCTGTGTGTTGGTTTGCTCCCAGCGGCGAATGGCATGGCCGATCCATTCTCCGGTAGGTTTTGGCCGTGTCTCTTCGGTAAAACCCCCAGCGGCTTCGACCCTCGATGCAAAAAGTGGGTAGTGATAGCTGCCTTCGACAATAGCCCAGTGAAGTGGCGAAGCTTCTTGCAGGGGTTACTTGAAATGATTGCGCCACTGGATCCAGTTGCTCGGTCCGGCCAAAGTCGGAACGAGAGAGGCGAATTCCGAAGCTTCGAGTTCTGCTCACATAGCTTAAACAAATCATGTTATCCAACTCAAGGAAAGCCTTACTTGCACCGCCATCGTCTTCTGGCGCAATCATAATTCGCTGGCACATGATTGCGGTCTGAAGATTGTTCGATGTAAAAGGGATAGCTTGGATCTCAAGTCTTGAGAGAAAAAGAGGATGCAAGGTGAGGGAAGGAAGAGGGTAGGAAGAGGAAAGGAAAAGAGAGAAGTAGAAATTGGAAATGGGAAATAGAAGGTGACAAGAGGGAATAAGGGAATTCAATGTCACCTCTCTTTTATGACTACGTAGAACTTCATCTTCCAATTGCTCCGAAGCCAATGCTTCTTTCTAGGCCTTGCTCTTCTCTATATGAAATTCGAATCTACACCCCATGGGGTAATTACTTAGCTTCGAGCTAACTAGTCCCTTTGGCGCAAAGCTTCACATAACGGATTTAGGCGTTGAAGATATTCAGCCTAATTGTGATCTACTTGAGGGGCCACAGGCTAATCATGCATCTGCTCGGTATCACATTTAATCCCTCTTTTCTCCCCGGTGTTAAAGAATTGACGGGACTTGGGAAGAAAAATGTAAGCTCTTTTCTTTCGGAGACTCTGGAGGAACGAAGTGACTGATGACCATCTATAACCAGTTATCTCACCAAATAACTGTTATTTCTGTCTATGTGTACAATGTCTCCATTCATTCAAAGTGTCCTCTGCTTAGCGACAGCAGTGGCTTGCACCCAGGCTGCTGCACTTTCTTCAACTAAAGTCGCAACAGTATCGGTCAACACAAATCTCAAGTTTCAAGAGCTTGATGGTTTCGGTGTGTCACAAGCTTTCCAACGTGCCGGAGACATCTACAGTAAGGAGGGTCTCTCCAAGAAAAACACCAAACATGTCCTTGATCTTCTTTTCAGCATCGACAAAGGCGCTGGATTTGCAATTTTACGCAATGGGATCGGTTCCAGCAACAGCTCAACCAGCAACTTCATGAACTCCATCGAGCCCTTCACTCCTGGATCACCGGACGCACGCCCACACTACGTTTGGGATCGCAATGACAGCAGCCAGTTCCCGCTAGCCCAAGAAGCATACAACCGGGGTCTCGTCAAGCTTTACGGCAACGCGTGGTCTGCACCCGGATATATGAAAACGAACGGAGACGAAAACAACGGCGGATACTTGTGTGGAGTGAGCAATACTCATTGTGAATCTGGAAATTGGATGCAGGCATACGCGGACTACCTGGTCCAATGGGCGCGCTTCTACAAGCAGTCCGGTGTCAAGGTGACCAACCTCGGCTTCTTGAACGAGCCTGGGTTTCCTGCGTCGTATGCTGGCATGCAATCCGATGGAACACAGGCTGCGGAATTCATTCGTGTTCTCGCAAAAACTATCAAAACCTCTGGTATGGATCTCGCCATCAATTGCTGTGATAATATGGGATGGGATGGACAAGAGCAGATGATGGCGGCGCTTCAAGCGGGTCCTGACCCCGCAGAGGCATACCTGAGTATCATCACAGGCCATGGATACGAGACGGTCCCAGACTTCCCACTCTCAACAAAGAAGAAGAGTTGGGTGACGGAATGGGCGGATTTGTCGGGCGGATTTACACCTTACACATTCTTCAAGAGTGGTGCACCCGGCGAGGGCATGACATGGGCGCGCAATATTCAAGTTGCGCTTGTGGACGCAAATGTCAGTGGTGTTCTTTATTGGATTGGGGCTGAGAGTTCAACTACAGACAGTGGTCTCATCAACCTGATTGGAGACGAGGTCATTCCCAGCAAACGTTTCTGGGCTTTCGCACAGTTCAGTCGCTTTGCTCGACCAGGAGCACGCCGTGTCGAAGCTACGAGCTCTGCCCCTCTGCTCTTTGTTAGCTCATTCCTTAATCATGATGGAAGTGTTGCCACTCAGGTCATCAATAACGGAACTGAAGCGTATGAGGTTAGCTTCAAGCTCCACGCCTCGGGGCGGAATCACAAAGTTCAACCTTGGGTGACGAACAATGATCATGACTTGACGGCACTCAATTCCCTTCATGTTGCTAAGGATGGTACCTTCAAGTCTACTGTTCCTGCGCATTCCATGATGACATTTGTGTCTTAATGTCGAGATGTTGGGAACATTGATTACTCTGATTTGGAGAAACTACCTGCAACCTGAGTACCTCTCTGATTCCGAGCCTGAAATCGCCCCTAACCCCCCATTGTGTCAAGTCCCTCTCACAAGACCGAGCAGGAGGGGACGCTTGGAAGTTTTCCTGGTGGTCCTCATCTCAATCCAATTGGAAATTCAGTGTCATGGTATATCAGATCTACAAATCGACTACTTTCTCCTTCTTCCATTATGCTTCTTCACTTGACAATATAATTAGAGCTTTGATATGTAACCAAGATATCTAGAAGGTACTTCATGATGAACTTACAGACGTTATAATTATGATGTCTTTTGGGGTGTCTTTTGAGATGTCTTCTCCTCAGCAGCATCCGCAGTGGACTCTGGAAGTGACTCATTGGAAAAGGTGTTTGTAAAACAACTGGGTTGAGTGGAAATTGTTAGTTTAGTGTCTTGTTCACTCCGAACTAATGATAGAAAGGTTTCACGCAGTGGCTGGAATTGTGCTATAGATCGTACGGAGTTGAGATATATTCCTTTAGGCCAAACAAGAATAGTCTATGTGATCGTTTTATTAGATGAATTTTTTCATAGATATTCTCCTCTTTATTGTAGAAAATATAGGTGAGAAGGTTACGTGGCCTCTCTGGTTGTTTCCCTTTTCTCTTCTCAACCTTCTATATTCATCCCTTGGCCTTGCTTGTCTTCAGTGACTTCTTCCACTTTTCTTCTTCTCCGGGGGTCCAATCCCTCTTAGGCCAAGTCGAGAATTCCTAACGGCAAACCTCAGATCTATCCCCCGAGATACAGAACTTTCTGGCCCAGGTCCGAACGTCCCTAGAACAAGGGACGTGTCAACGCAAAGAGTCCAAAATTCACACTTGCGACTGTGTACAGCAGCCGTGGTCCTGGCTTAATGGATACACATATCCTAGCTGGAACCCAAATCCCAGACCCGCCTTCCTGTCATTCTCTCCCTTAGAAAAAGATGTCTATGCGCATGGGCTGATGACTTGGAATGCTCCTCAAACTGCTTATCGCTTCTCGGCCTCCCTCTACCTTCACGCTAACCTCGCTTGCCTGCGATTCTGACTTTTTCTTCGACTTACATCCGCGGTAGGATGCCCGAGGAACTTCACACTGCTGCTATCACCCACTTTACTACCCCCAAAGCAACAACCTCCCCAAATCCTCCTAACCACATACAATTGTGGTGCGATGGCCCGGGTATGCATGAACTACAGTAAGGCGGTTTAAATGGAACCAGCATTGAACTACAACTCGCTGTTCCAAACCACGGGACGTATCCATCACCTTGGCGAGTCACACCGCGAGCAGGCACGGATACTATTCTAGGACCATGCTGTCTAGGGCCGAGTGGAGTGGAGTAATACCCAAAAGATCCTACCACAGATTGCTGCGCAATTCCATGAGGGACTTTGTGATCGACTGGAAGAAAATCAACAACCCAGGCCCCCCACAGCCGGTCGCGTCGAAACATCTCTTTCCATCGTCTCTTTCTCCCTTCATCCTCTGTATGTTCGTCATTTGCTTTCCTCTTCTCTATCATGGCTTCTAACAAGGCAGACTAAACACCAAAGGCTCATGTGGGTGCAAAGGGTTCCAAGACACCCATCAGTAGCGAAACACGCTGCGGCCTCCGATAGCCCGCTCGCTACCCAGCCCCAGCAACTTCACGCCTGATTGTAGCGAATCGACGGCTGACTCCACCGACTTAACGACCGTTTCAGGAAGGAGAAGTTTGGATGCAACGAGGTCACGAGCGAAGATCCATCCCATCCCGAAGACCAGAGAATTTGAGATCGGGTCGTTGTGAAAGGGGAAGAGATTCAGTGCCGGATGGAGAATCGACGCCTGTACAGGCTGGAAAGGAAGAAGATCCTCCGAGAGATGGAGACTGATCCTGACCTCATACTTTTTAGTATCTGTAACTAGATAGGTGTCTGGTGCATCTTTTCAATATGCTGTGTCACATTATGCATTATGTTTGTCGCAAACTAGTAAGGTTGAATCTACTGAAGGTATGTCTCTGGGATCGGGATATATCTAGGAATCCGTAATTCAGGCATAAAATGAATGGATTCCTGAAAAAGCAACTATCCAAGAGAAGGCCGAATGAGCTCCAAGCCTGATGAATCGCATCCTAAGAAAAGGATTCGTACACATCTCTGCTCCGTGCAGCTCCATAACAATAACCCTTTCAATAAAGCTTTGCTGACCAAGTAGACAGTTCGCATGAAGCCACTGCAGGACTTCCACGCTTATGAAACGGTGATGGTTGAGGATCCACTGCTCTGATATCCCTCGGTGCTGACAATCTGGTAGTTGTGCGTGGAGCCAAGATTCATTCCAAGAGAAGCCCAAGCATTGAAGTGGTTGGCAGTGGTAACTGTTCCACTGCTGCGCTTGGTCCGGCGAATAGACCAATACTGATTGAAAGTCGCAGTTCCCGAGATAGAAGGCTGGTTCACCTGCTGGTGGGTATAAATATCATAAACTGATCCATCGCTGGTCACGGTTCCCTTGAAGGTCATGCTTCCGCCGGGGTTGTATTCGCCATAGCTTTCCATGATGTAATACTCGACGAGCGGGCTAGTGGTCCACCCGTAGACAGCGAGATAGGCATTTCCGGAGGGGTTGAAAGAGCCGGAGAAGTTGATGTTTCTAGCACGGCATACTTGTAAGTATATTATCGAAAGGACAGTAGGCGGACTCGACTTACCGTGCGCTACCAGTAGCCCAGCCCTTGCCGGAGGTGAAAGATCCGCAGTTGGTCCAGCTGACGCTATATTGACCCGATGCACCGTTGGTGTAGGAGACACTGCCACCACCGTTGGTCCAAAAGGAATAGAAGTAGCCGTTGTTGGTTCCTTGCTGGTTCGTGGTGATGCTCTGTCGCTTTTCCAAGTCATTGGGAAGTGCAAATGCACTGACGGCAGCACAAGCTGCCACGAAGAGGCTTGAGAAAGAGACCATGATGAAGGATCAGATGCCTTTGGTAATTTAGGAAGACGAATGAATTGAAGGATGTTGTTTTGTGGTAGATGATTCCTTCAGGAGAAAAGCTTCCTTTTATATTGACAGGAGGATGTGGGGCGTGTTTCCAAAAGTTTCATATCCAGGATGTCTTGAATCAATTTAGCCAGCGACCCATTTACCCCATACTAGCCTATCCCAATTGGACTAATCATACATCATTCACGAACCATGTTTCTTTCATGCGAACTATTAGCGGTAGTCCACCGGATCCTCAACGAGATCCCTGTATCATTCCACCAGCCTAAAATCAGATTTATCAGCAATTCAGGCGAAGAAAAGCACATCCGAACTGCTCAGACGGCTAAACTTCGTCGCCAGCTGAAAATAAGCATGTTGCAGAATTCAGCCACCGGCTCAGGTGCAAATGCGGGGAAATTCATCACGGCTGTAATGGGTGTAGCTTGGCCCAGCCCAGGCTAAACCCAAAATCAGGCAGTTCGAAGCCGGGAAAACAACGGCTATATGATCCATTCTGTCGAATATTTCGATTACCAGCCATGGAGACCTCGGTTGATATAAACTCAGGAAAAACGTGACAAGGTTGTCGATCCATGGATCAACGGATGTTTATTTCAACCGAAGCTTGGCGAGTGGGTTTATATATTCCTGCGTCTATGTAGGGAACATCTAAGGGTAGACCTAGAAGACAGCTAAAAAGACTACACAAGGCCGCATAAGCGGCCGACTATTCTTGTCTCTACAAAAGTTCAAAAACTAAATATATTTCTTGATAGTCAAGTTCTTGATGATTGAATTGTCGATGCTCAATTACTTAATACCTATATTTCTCTGTTCCAAATTCCATTTCCTATACTTTTACATTATGATTATCGGTATTATAGCTCTCAATTTAATCCGTATAGCAACTCAATAGTTTAAATCGAGTAATTAACGATGGGAAAATCTGTTATGGCGCACTGGCGGTTGGAGACTGCCGTAGGTAGGCCTCTACAACAGGCTAATGTTTAAGCCGCATCTACGCAGCCAACTCAACACAATTCGTGATCGAGGGTGGTTTGCTCGGAATATATCTTGATAAAATGGCCCATGCTCGTCTCTAAGTGCAATATCACACGCTAGTAGGGTTGAAGACTGGCTGTTTTTCGCTCGGAAATTTTCGATCTGATAAGACGATTACTCAATTTACTAGCCGTTATTGAGCCCTGATCTGGGTCTTCAAACCCTCCTGTTAGTTAATTCTCCAGATGGTCTATACTTTCTCGTAGGCTCAGGAACACACGCCAAGAATTTTGGACGAACGTGGCGGGCCTGTGGGTTTCCGCGTCGAAGCTTGGTAACCTGGGCAGTCTTGGTAACATGGGCAGCCCTTGGTAATCTGGGCAGTCAAGCAAAGATAGCAAAAACAACATTTTCAGATATCGTGTATCTGGTTATGTTGCATGCAGTTTGTAGCATTCAACTCCTGGGTGTTTTGTCAGGTGCATTTATCGTAGATGCAGATGCCCCATCAAACCATATTTCAAGGTGCTGTTGAGTACGATGCAACCCTTGGGTTTGGCAAGTACTACCCAAGATTTTTCCATCGCCCCTAATTTCTCCCTATGTAGTACTGTTATCGCATGCCTTGCGTCGGCGCCCAGGCCGGATAGGCTGGGTAGGCTGGGTGTGAATCATTCTAGGGGTATCTCTTCGCCACTTACCATGTCGTGCATTTAAACATCATAATAGAATCTCATTAGCTCATATTATCGGGAGATTTTTCCTTTACACATAACTTGGGGTATGCCTCAGATTTCTAACCACATTCTTACGAGAACAAGTCGTGCAATGTATACACCTAACAAGAATAGTCGCCAGCTTATTCGGCCTTGTGCAGCCTTTTGGTGGTCTTGTGGTGTAGTCTTTTCGATAGTCTTCTTTCAAGTCTTCTGGCTATCTTCTCAGGTGTACATAATTTTAGATTCTTTTTTTAGATATTTTCTCCCTGTATTGGTGTTGTGCATAACTAGCGTGATAATACATAACTAGCGGCAGAATATAGGCGGTGAAGCTTGTGTAAAATGTGCCATCCAACTTTTTTTCCACATAGAACTTCCAAGCAACCACGGAACATTACAGATGACTCGGCTGCTATCTCCATACTTGAGGCTGATGCAAGGGTTTATCCTGCAATGCGCCCCTGTCGGCACTTTTGTCCCAACGATATGTCTCCACCGTGACACTTTCCCTGGACTAGTCAGTGCTTGGCATCATTTTGTGGACTTCAATTTACCAATACATACCAATGGTCACGCGACCAATCCTCGGTACCCAAAATGATGATCTAGCCACATTCCACTCTCACTGCAACATGACAGATATCAAGCTGGTGAGATTGTGCAACTTTGGAGCTAGTTTATGTAGCCAAATTGGCTGAGACAAAGGCATTACTGCCGAATTGATATTTTTTTCCTCCCAAAGAATGTTAAGCTATTTATGCAAATAAGGTTAACTCTGTCTCGTGGCTGGTCGATCGACCGATCTCTCCTGATAAAGGCTATTGTTGGCACGGCTTATCGCACTATTGGCACTCTAGTCTAACCCCTTTTGGGATAGTATCACTTGGCACTCGCTTTTCAATACAAGTGCCATTTATCACACCATAGTGAGTAACGTCGTTTAACCCTCATTGACCCTCTGAAAATTGGGTGACCACGATACAGGAGCATTCAACGTAAGGGCTTTATCCTGAAAATATCCGGTGACAATGAGTGGAACAAGTCTACGTCATTTAATATAGTGATGCTATTAAAATCAACACTTGTATTGAAAAGTGGATGCCAAGGGCTATTTAACCCTAAAGGCGTTAGACTAGTGTGCCCATACTGATTTCTGCTGTACCAAAAGGGTTTTACATTTTTTTGCCATTCTGCTTGATATTTTCAATCTATCAACATGAGGTCAAGGTCAGCCTTTGTCAAGAAGGCGCTTGGGTTGCAAGATCCGCCCAATCTACACAATAAGACAGCGCTGCCTCATGAGTCAGATCCAACGGTTTTAGAATGGTTAAGCGATGGCTTTCCCTCCAAACAGCAGGTTGGACACTATTTTGTGAGGTTGCTGCCATTCCTGCAATGGATCAGACACTATAACTTGCAATGGTTTTTGGGAGATTTGGTTGCAGGTGAGTGCCTTTGTTAACTGGATTCCAACCTCTGCTAACTCTCCTAGGAATCACCGTTGGAGCTGTCGTGGTCCCCCAGAGTATGGGATACGCCAAGCTGGCTAATCTTCCTGTGCAATATGGACTCTATACTTCTTTCATCGGTGTTGTTGTCTACTGGTTCTTCGCAACGTCCAAAGATATCACGATCGGGGTAAGCTCCCCAGGTGTCTGATCCGGTTGCATGGGCTAATCAACTGGGCAGCCCGTAGCTACCATGTCAACAGTTCTCGGCGGCATTGTCCGCGATGTTCAAGCGGAGCACCCCGAGATTCCAGGTCCGCAAATCGCCTTAACAGTCGCCATACTTTGCGGAGCCATCATCACATTCATGGGCCTAGCACGCCTAGGCTTCATCATTGACTTTATCCCGGTTCCGGCAATTACAGCTTTCATGGTCGGTTCTGCTATAAGTATTTGCTCGGGGCAAGTCAAGGGGCTGCTGGGCCAGACAGGGGACTTTGAAACGAGCACGCCTTCATATCGAATCATCATCGACACGCTGAGATATCTTCCCACCGCGCAAGGATACGATGCCGCCATGGGTCTTACCGCACTGGCGCTTTTATACGGCCTCCGATCAGGCTTCAACTATGGTGCTAAGAAGCTTCCACGCTTTGCCAAGATCTTTTTCTTCCTCGGAGCTTTACGCACAGTGTTCATCATCGCTCTTTACGCTCTTATCAGTCTTGGCGTCAATCACAATCGCCGCCACAATCCCGCCTTTGCTTTAGTTGGAACAGTGCCTCAGGGTTTCGACCAAGCTGGTGTCCCTGTACTCAACACCAAAGTAATCAAGCTCATCGTTTCCCAACTACCCGCCTCGGTAATTTGTCTCCTCATCGAGCACATTGCAGTCTCGAAAACATTCGGACGTGTCAATAACTATACAATTGACCCCTCGCAAGAGCTTATCGCCGTCGGTATCACCAACCTCCTCGGTCCCTTCCTCGGTGCCTTCCCAGCGACAGGTGCTTTTTCGCGCTCGGCTATTCAATCTAAGTCTGGGGCACGCTCCCCCTTTACCGGCATCATCACCGCCTGCGTCGTCCTGATCGCCATGTACAGTTTGACCTCCGGCCTATATTATATCCCTAAAGCAACACTCTCCGCCGTCATCATCCACGCAGTCGGAGACCTGATCGTTCCACCCAACACCATCTACCAATTCTGGCTCATCTCACCACTAGATGCCATCATCTTCGCAGCAGGCCTAATAGTCGCATTGTTCAGCACAGTCCCAAACAGCATCTACACAACCGTCTGCATTTCCGTAGCAGTCCTATTATTCCGCCACGCAAAAGCACCAGGCCAATTCCTCGGCCAAGCCTGGGTAACCGACGAAAACAACCAAGTCCCCCTCTTCCTACCCATGGACGAACCGAAAGCAAACCCATCCATCAAAATCGAAAAACCCCGCCCAGGCGTCTTCGTCTACCGCTTCTCCGAAGGTTTCAACTACCCCAACGCAAGCCACTACTTCGACGACCTCGTCCAAACGATTTTCAAACACACGCTCGGCACGAACGCGGAGATATATACGAAAAAGGGCGATCGTCCCTGGAACGAGCCGGTCTCTTCCAGTGCAGATGATTCTCATCTTCCAATGCTACGAGCTGTCATTCTTGATTTCTCGGCTGTCAATAATGTCGATGTGACCTGTGTGCAGAATTTGATGGATATTCGCACCCAGCTGGATCGTCGCTCTACACCTGTTGCTGTGCAGTGGCATTTCGCCAGTATTAAGAATAGATGGACAAAGCGTGCGCTGCATGCGGCAGGCTTTGGGTATTCGCAGGCACCTCAGGAGGGGAGTGAGACGGGGTCTGTAGACCCAGGCTCGCAATCTTCTGAGGGATCTACAGATGCAGAGAAGGGCGGCATGGAGATGTCTGTCTCGCCTGAATGGGCGGATATGTCCTTCACGACACCAGATGCATTGGAGAGTGCGGGTCGGAGGTTTTTCCATCTTGATTTGACGAGCGCGCTGCGAAGTGTTGATGTATATTTAGCTATGAATCCTTCGGTTTAAAAGGTATTATAAGAATATAAGGGAACTTGGTTCATAAAATAAAATTTGCATTGTGGTCATAAACAGTCAATCCATATTTCGTGTACATTGAAAAAAGATATCAGGGTCATCCATTAACCTCAACGCCAAATGGGAATATCGCAAAAAGAAACACCAATATGCAATAAAAACACAATCATAACAAGGCAACTGATCAATGCATAAGCAGCCAAGTATCATAAGGAACAGCACGAGGCTGTGTCTTCCCATCCCGACCAGTCGAAAACAAGACCGGCTCGAAATCACAAGCTGCAGAGTACTGCCGGATCAACTGACGCCAGTAACACGACTCAGCAGCAGGAGTAAGGTACCGATCACGGAAAGTGCGTACAGCATTATTAGCGATCCGCTCCGCAATCTTAGGATTATCAATAAGATAATCAATCTTGCGCGATAGATCGGACCACTCCCGATCAACCTCGATATAGTTTGCATCGGGCCCAGTTGCGACCAGCGCACCATGGTGAACCTCACGCCATTCAAGAGCATGGGAGATAACAACAGAACGGCAGTTCAGGAGATACTTCCCGCGACCAGAGAAACTCCGGCCCTCGGTGTGCGCCAGGAACATGTACCGACAATGGTCTTCGATAGGCAGAAGATTGTAGCGGATATCATCCTTGTCATCCCAATCAATGACACGCACGCTCGCCCAGCTACTTCCCACCGCTGACTTGAGGAGCTTACTCCGGACAGGCGGGTTCGTCGCCAGACTACCGCGCCAGACGAGCTGCTTTTTCTTCTCTTGGAATTGCAGCCCCGGCACGTATGTACCGTCGGCGGCAGTTTTACCGTCGTCGATTTCGGCAATACGGCGTCGCACTTCCTGGTAGGGCCCGATATGCACCTCTGGCCAGGCCCAGTACCCGAAGTCGGGCATGAGCCAGACTGAGGTATCCGCGTCGCGTTTTGAGTAAGCCCAAATGGGACCTGGGCTGGTTGTCTGTTCTGCGAAGTCTTCTGTGGTGAAGGTGAATTCGATGCTGGGTAGGAGGTGACGGTCTGGGAATGCTGTCAAGGCGCGGTGGAGGGAGTTTAGGGTGGCGCGTGCTCGAGATGCTGTGACAGGCATGGGGGCGTAATCGACAATATACAACTGAATATGACATGTTAGAGTCTGGTGCTGTCAAGTCCACAAGGGCGAATGTTTCACATACCTCTCCTTGATCAATAATTCCCCGCACCATGCCATCATCCACTGGCCTGGAATCAAGATCCTTGTAAGTAATAGGCTTGTTTTCTCTTAGTTTCGAGAATTGGTCAATCTCGAGAAATAGCTTTGGAAAAGCAATGCGGCATTGGTCCTCGGAGAGACCATAGTTGTTTCCATCGCGCTCGACAACAAACTCCCAGCCAGCGGAAGAGTTGACAGCTGGGGCACAGTACTGTTGTCGTGGTTGTCCCTTTGCATTAAATCGTGATGAGGTCCCAGGTGTACCGGTGCTGATGATGAGGAATGTAAGGATAAATAGAGACGCTATGGCGCCGGTGGCCAGGAAGCGGAATGAAGGGCGTTGAGTGAACATTCTTTCTGGAACAATTCCAGTTTCGCCCAAGTGTTTCACGATGATTCAAATTTTCATCTGGATTCTCAGCCTGAAAGAGATGAAGACCTTGTATTTCGTGGGTTGATGTCACTGTCAGCTTTGATTGTTTCCACAGCAACGCAGATGCGGGCAGTGTCCTGCTTTGTATGCGGGCTGCTGGTACCTGGATTCTAATTATAGTCGGTAATTAATGAGAGGCAGGCTCTAGGGCTGATTTTATCTACATCGTTAGATGAACTGTATGTAGGATCTAGATCTATCATGTAGAAATGCAGGCCAAACTACATCAAAGCTACCAAAAAGAAACTGTGCACAGTCGAATCTACAGTCCCAACAATATCGGATTATTATGTACATAAGAGGGAGAGTGCCATAGCGAGTCGATATATTCAAGGGGTATCTCAACAGGTCATGAAAGGAAATGCGAAACGAAAGAATAAACTAGAATGTAAGGTAAATGTAGACTTAGACCCGTAGTATCATAAGACATGAAGCAGACGAAGCCCAAAAGCTCAAGCTTGTCCACAAGCATGTCGCGACGAGTCGGAAATTCCAAAAGAATTTTTAGTCGCCATTCGCGGGGGCTCTGGGGCTGTTGCTGTTGAAGTAGCTCTCGTCTATCTTCAAGATCCATTCCACCTTTTGTGCCTCGGTGCGAGTGGCAAAGAGGAAGGTGTTCTGGGTTCCATAGACTGCAAACACATTCGGCCGTCCCTTGGCGGACATCGAACGGTCGGATCCAGCTCCTGAACCGTCCAGTAGTCTTGCAAAGTCGGGCGCATGGTCGACACGCGCATTGCGGAGGTTGATGGCGTTGATCTCGTCTCCCTCTGGGACCGAGTAGATGTGGAGGTACGGCCGGCGGAGCTCCACGAAACGACGCACCCAAACGTTGTTGGTATCATCGGGTGTAAGCACGTATCCCGTTTTTAAGGCATCGGGGGCTTTGGGGAGAGTTTGGATGGTGGCTATGAAGCGAGGCTTGAGGGAAAGTTTGTCAGAGAGGCCGTTGGTATCCGAATTTTTCATGTGCGCCGCTCCGTCTGAAGGGGGTTCGGTATTAGTCCGGATAAGGATCGCCTCTGTTGGGTCCTGCTTGAGCGACCACAGATCAAGGTACTTCCGTAGAAGTTTGGATTTGCGCTCGTTGAGCTCTGTGCCACGCATTGGAGTTGACCTTCCACTACGAGCCAGCGAGGGAATGAGACAGCCCGCGCTGAGAGCGCCTCGGGCGGCATGAAGCTCTGCAGCACGCTGCCGGCGTTTGCGGTTGGCAATGTAGTCACGTACCAGAGAAACCTTTCGAGGAGCCCAAGTGTTCAAGAGTTCCTCGCCTTTCACGTAGTCATTTTGGGTGTTCATACGCCACAGATCAGCAGCACGCTTAGCCGAAATGGGACGAATAACCAACGAGTACATGCGAGTCGTCGAGTGCACAACACGAATCGAGTTCCAGAATTGCTTGAACATCGACTGCTGGCGGACATAGGTACGGCCTTGGATCTGGATTGTCTGGTCTGCCTCGAAAACAACTGGGTTCTGTAAACGACTGGACACAAGATCCCAACGAACAGTCACTTGGACCCGATATTTTTCTGCCGTCACTCGGTCAAGTAAAAGAGATCCATGTAAACTTGAATCCCACTGGCCGACAATTGTGACATGAGAGGTTCCATCGGCATTATCCCTGACCGTTGGTTCTTGAACAAACTTCAAGGGGACGTCCGGAGTCTGGAAGTCCTGATCTGGGATCTTGCCCCAGGGATCGAGGAGGCGGACGGAACCAACGCGGATGTTGTTGATATCATCCCACGGAAGACTTTCCGTTGAGCTGTACGTGATGTTGACCGAGATGCGGCGCTGCAATCCTTGATGAAGCTGAGATGTCCCGGCATCGAGACTGCTGCTCTGAACAACCTCCACGGGGAGGTATTCGCCAGATTCTGCCATTTCGAGTATTTGAATTCTCGCAAAGACATCATGACGTTCTTCGGAGAAAAATTCCGATTCCGCGATTCGAGGAGCAGTTCGCTTCTGCGGCAGGTCCGCTGAGTCGCGCATATCATCCCAACTAAGAAGCTTGTCAAGATGAACAGATGTCACACCAGCATAAACACAGACCTTCAATGCGGCTGTCCGTGGACTTGACAGCGGCAAGCTCATGCTGTGCACACTTTCAAACCGAACCGGGCCGTCCTCAAATCCTTTGATCATTTGAGTTGTAGTTGCGCCTCCTTCCTCTGAGATACCAGGGACAAATAACTGCGCATGTACATCAGAACCTTCCCACTCTGCGAACCCAATCATGTCCCGCATGACAACATTAAATTTGAGGGTTGAAGAGGGCGCCTGCGCAGAGGATGGCTCGAGGGAGAGACGAACGATTCCGATGACACTCTGGGTATATGGCGAGGTTATCTCAACAGAAAAGTCTTGTACACGGGTTTCAAAAACAGCCGTTAAGGGGATATCGGCATCGCCGATGAGAGAATATTGGGGTGAGCAAGGTTCAGAGAATGGGTTGTCGAGTTTGAAGTGTTGGATGTAGTCGGGACGGTCAATGTATTGGTGCAATTGCCGCATAGCTTGGACGCGACGCTGGAGCTTTTCGATTGACCACAAGTGAATCACGCATTGCTTGAAGTCGATGACTCGAACACCGACACAAGGCTTCTTGGCCTCGTCAAGCAGGATGTCTTCATCGCCGGAAATTCCGTTCAGTACGAGATCATAAGACGATTCCATGTTGTGGCCATGGTCGACAATGGCAAACTGGAAAACCACATGCTTGTCCATGATATGGCTCATGATCTGTGCTTCTTTCAGAAGGGAGGCATGTTGCAAAATCTTCTCGGCCATTCGGACGTAATTTCGCTGCGACCAATGCCTGTACACTGAGCGCGCGACCTCGAGTTCACGTTCATCCAATTTCGGGAAGCCATTTTCGAAGATTTGAGGAACCGGCTGGCCCATATCTCGGATATGGGTTTCAAATGTCTCCTTTTGTTTGCGCAACTGCTCTTCGAATTCCTCCTTGGCTGTCCGCAGTGCGTACTCCATTCGCTCTTTCTCGGTGCGTAGCTCCGGTGAGTTTGGATCAGAAGCCTCCACGGTTTTGAGTTTTTCTTGGAACTCTTCCTTGCGGCGATCCAGCTGCCGCTGCATATCTTGACGAGCCTGGTTGAGTGATGCGACACCATTAACTTCATCATCGTCATTCTGTCGCGGCGTGCTTGGCATGGTTATAGCGGTGTCTAAAGAAAAGTTGTCGAGGGTCCCGTTGGACATGTACTTGTCCCGAATCGGGAAGGAGCTGATAGAGTCGGAATCTTCATCTTCCGGAAGTCCACGCCGTCCAGCTCGAACCTTCTGCACATCCTCCAACAGTGTGTCCAGTTCATCATCAGGTAAATTGGAGATCTGGTCAGTTCCAACCATAGCACTGACAGCTTCTCTGCGTGCTAAGAACCAGTCTGACTCACGACTACGCTGTGAAGGCATGGGTGAATCTGCCCTGGTTGAATCGCCATCGAAGTCAGATCCTGCCTTGCTCAGATTCCGATCATGGGTTTTGTTTGGCGCTGGCGACCCAAGCTGGCTTGTAGTGACTGAATGCCGTAGTAAGCTCTGCTCGACCCGTTCGGCTCTGGCCTCTTGGGGGTGGTTGAAACGGAAAATATGAAAATCGCCAAGGATAATTCGGAAACCACTCTTGAGGCGTGTGGGCTTGTCCACCCGCATGCCGTTCACCATGATGGCGGCACCTTCGGCGGGTACAATGGTCACAACATTATCCGCATTCTCAAAAGTGCAGTGCTTCTCAAGGATCTTAGATCCATTCAATCGGATCTCGACGGTTTGATTTTGATCCATATGACCAACCGTGGTGGTGCCAGGTTTGATGTTGTAGACCAAACATTCCGCAAGAAGGGGATCGTCGCTGAGGTTAACCAAATGGGGCATTTTCTTCGGTGTGCTCATCCCAATGAAGCCCTTTTCGATGTTGATTCCCAATTCCTCCAAAGCTGCTTCACGCTCCTTATGGATAAGCTCTGTATTCTGCAGCTTCTCTTCCCAAGTCTGGTTAAGGTCTTTGTAAAGCTTTTCACTCTGGTTGAGCTGTTCTACAATCTCCGCTTTGCTGACCTGAGTGACACTTCCATCCGGCTGTTGGATGGAGACCATCTGTTTCTCCAGCGGTGTATCCGGGGGATAGTACTCCTGGGGAACACCACCTATGGCACCAGGTACTCCTCCCGGTCCGACTCCGCCTCCAAGTTTTGATCGGAGCTGTGCCAGTTCCTCCTTGAGTTCACGAATCATGCGTGCATTTGGATCTTCGTTCACAACAGCGTGGTTCTTGATTCGTTTCGCTGAGTCGGCGTACCGCAGAGTACCAAGGGTTTCGTCAAAGTTAATATCTGCAGGAGAAATTGCTGCAATCATGGAGGTCATGGAATTTCCGCCCAGAGAATCCTTCAGCAACCATGTTAGAATTGAATCACGATATGGTACCATGGATGCATTCTTCTTCTTGCCGGCCAAGGTCTTGCCAGCAGAGACATCGGCGAGTGCAGCAATGACACGACCAAGCGTTGACAATGAGCGATTGATCTCCGCACCCTCCTTCAATCGCGCGCCGGTGGCTCCAGTCGAGTTGGCTCTTTCTGAACCAGCCAAATCAACCAAACTGATTTTCGACACCTTCTCGGTATCCATCGAAGTTTCTTTATCGTGTCTCTTTTGTGTCAGAGTCAAGGTGAAAACGGCATGTGATCGACTGGAGGTTTCGTTCATGTTAGTCGCGGCAACCGTTCGGGCTTTGTTGCCCTCGTCCATCAGGCTCTCGATTTCTTCGAAAGATCCGACGACAAGTTTCGCTAGATCCTCGACATAAGGACCCGTTGAAGGATGCTCACGAACTTTCAGGTTGCCTTTGTTTGACGGGTTGAGCAAATCGCGTACCCGCTCGTTGTAGATTTCGAGGTATGACACCTCAACGGTGCAATTGAGTAACTTGTCCGTTTGGATCGCAGTTATGCGCTCAAACATCGACTGGCAAATCCGCGGGATCACACCGTGTTCCTTGCCATAACCCATCATGGAGTATGATTTTCCCGAACCGGTCTGGCCATAAGCGAAGATACAATTGTTGTAACCCCCAAAGGCATTGTCCAGAAGCGGAGAACCCAGATCATCGAAGAGGTCATTTTGGTCGGCGAAGTTTGATGATTTCTTATCGAAGGACCAATATGATCGGTCAAAGGCAAACACCTTGTTCCCTTCAGTGGCACCCTTCCCACCCTTCCGTGATTTGTCCTCTGCGCCAGGTGGTGGAGTGAGTACGGTCTGGTTGCCTTTCATCGACACGATACATTTTGCACCTCGCTCGATCTCTGTATAAAGACAGCCTAGTTAGCCTAAGGTCCAAGGGAGAGCCCCTCCCTCGATATCAGCTCACCTCGACTATTGAAAGGCCGCACCCGCACCACCACCTTAATATTTCCACCGCCGCCTGGAGCCATCTTTGCTCTCTAACCCATGCACGGGGGATGTTCGTCAACAATGGACGTGTATGAAAACCGGAGTCCGGACGTGGGATGCAAGTGGTGACAGGGGTACACCGATGCGCGAACTCCGCAAGGAGCGCGGCTTGAAGGTCTGTCGCAGGGGAATGAGAGCGGAGTCAAGTGTGACTAAATGGCTTATGGTCGTCTGGGAGTGGTTCGTAGCGATATTCGAAACGGATGTCAACAAAGACGTCATGTATCGGTCCAATATTTGATGTTGCGCGTCTGGAATGTTTTTTTTGTGGGGGATGTTTGCCGATATGCGGGGAGTCTGGATCTTGCAGCGTTAAAAGTCTGCCACCAAGGAAAACCAGCCACAGATTCGGTTTTCTCGAGGCACAAAGGAAAACAAAATGCGATTTTGGTCGAGTCAACAATGCGGAAAAGCCACTTTGGTCCGGGGGGTGATGATGAGTAAGCGCTCCACCGCAACCCGTGGAGTGTAAGGGGCTCAAGAATAAACAATCCCAAGTGTCTCCATGTCTATTAGGGGATATACTGATAGTTATTGGGTAACTGTGTTATAACTATGGATGTGCTGAGTGCTATTGTGTTGGCTACACTTTGGCCCAACACATACTACCTCATACTTCTTTAGCTCAGTTTACATCGACGTAGGGGAGAATAGAGTTACCCAGGTCATATTTGGATGCCTTCTAAGTTTTCTTCTGTGATATGTAAATGTTCATGATGATCTCACTAAGATATATGCCCGTCCTTCCAGGTTCGTCTTGTCAGGTATTATCTGACATTCTGCGCCAACTTTTGAATTCCCACGTCGGTCCTTTCACTACAAGATGGGTGGTTCATTCTCCTCATATGAGGTTGATGGAATCAAGTATAGCCAAGACCAGCTACTCGAGAAGCTGTGGTCATGGTGCGAGGGATTGGACAATGAAATCAAAGCTATCAATACGAGGATAAACCAAGACAACCATTCACAAAACACAGGATCGAGCGCAGATGTCCAACCTCTTTCTAAAAAGATTGATGATGTTAGCGCAGAAAACGGTCGCTTGCGCGCCGATATTACTGCTCTTTCTACGAAAATCGATCAAAATATTGCAGATAGCATTCACTGGAAGTCAGACGTTGGGGCTCTACCTTCCAAGTTTCGTAACATCCTCGGCGCAGAGGTGGATACTATGAACGCGAAGTACAGGGCCCTTTCTACAAAGGTTGACAACGGTTTCAACAACACTCCACCAGCTATCAACCGGGGACTTGCTATTGGGCTTCCTCTTGGCCTCGGCATCCCTCTAACTATAGCTGTGGTTTTCTTGTGTGCCATGTGGATTCGTCGCAGGTATAGTTCACACGGACTCCCGCCTGATAGAAACGGCTAACACGCTATATTCCACTAGATATCCATATATACCGCAACACATGAGTAATGAGGAAGCTCAGAACTATATCAAAATACACAATGCGACACGGCGCAGTAAAAACTCCGCAAATTCATGTTATTTATGGTTATATTCTGACTAACGGACTTTTCATCAGAAACTCTCACTGAGAAGGTCTGCGATCTTTTCGAAGCCCTAGGTTTAAAAAAGAAACAGGCTGTTCCAGAGATCTATGTCATGAACAACACACCCACGAAATGACACCATCACCACACAAATTGGATGTTTGGCTCATAATGGAAGTTATCAGTGAGTGGTGGGTTATGAGAATACACGATAAAGCTTGGGGTGAGGGATTATTCGCTTGGTTACTTGGCTAAGTAGCTGCGTAGCTACGTCTATTAGATTCAGTCAGCTAATATTTAATTGCTCTCAATGTTCCCGCCTAAAAGGACAGTGTTTCCACCTTCAATATATCCCGTCTTCTAATTTTGCGCATTCTAATTTTCTATGAGAACAATGTAGCTAGATGAGCTTGGCTAGACTCCAGGGCTATATTGGCTATACCATAATCGCTCTAACCTAGACGTTCCGGGACACAAATCCCGATTCGGACGCGGCTTCGTCTTTCTATACTTTTTGAATGTGATATCATCGATTCTTCTTTTTTCTTCGCGGCATGATCTCGTATACTCTTCTTCTTCTTCTTCTTCTTCTTCTTCTCGATCATATTAAAGCTACTCTCATATCGCCCTAGCCCGAGTCAAATCAAAGTATTCAGAACACTACTTTCATCCCAAAATTGCAAACTTTCACAAATCTTAAAAATGACAGATAACGTGGGCCTAGCAGTTGGCCTTTCTATTGGGCTGGGGATCCCTCTCACGATCATGTTGATAATATTCGCTGTGCTCTATAACCGTCGCAGGTAGATATTTGAAGTGCACCTTTTCATTGCGCTCACTAACAATATCTGGCTATTTAGACATCCAAAACTGCCTAAATCTGGTTATTGCAATACTGAGAATACAGAAAACTGGCTCAAACTATACCACGCAACCCGACCACATATTAACCACCCTCCCAATCTGTTCATCATCTATTGTTATTGACAAAAGCCTCGCAGGTTCTTTTACGGAGAAGATCCTCGGTTTCTTGAGGGCCTTGAGGCTGATCAAAAAACCAGTAATCCAGAAGGTCTATGTGATGGAGAACGGGACCAAGGTGTCGAAGTGATACTATGGTCATAAAAGTTGGACACTTCACTGGATAATAGGATAAACAAGTACGGAGTACACGTATGTTGTAAGCGAACTTTGGCGGGGATGGCTTTTTGCTTTTGGATGTAGCCACTGTTGAATTATTGTTGTGATCGGCATCCCTGGTATATATCGTAAGCGCGTTGGTAGTCTATATTTATCGCGTGTCAGTAAGCCAACAGCTCCTACTCTTACTTTATGTTGGGCGCCCATCAGCTCTGTCTAGTATCTATACGAAACTGGCGTACATTATACCAAGTAATCCGGCCACTTAAGATAAGGTCAAAGTCTCAGAATGATACGACGCCACACTTGGGTGTACTTTCTCAAAACAAGGGACACTTTTTTATTTCCTGTGCCTAGTATTAGATTTAATGGGGAATAGCTGGCTTGTTATTGTATAATCTTTGCAAATTTGCGCGGCAATTATTATTTCAATCCTGGTTGTTGTATGTGACTACTATATATATTTCAGAGAATGCAGGTTGCTATGGCACCAATGTCTCGAATATCGCAATCAAACGAAATCCAGGGACCAAACGGAGGGTTATCAATAACACATGAACATTCTATTCTATATGTACATGAAAAATCTGTACAAATAGAAACTCGAAGTTGAAGGTCCGAAGTCAAGCGGTCAAGCTTCTCACACGTGGGGTGTTTCATCCGGAGATCGGACCCATCGGTCTCTGCGAATCGGGATTACCGCCTGCGCTGAATGGCCCATGGGAAGCTACTAAATTTGACTAGAATGCACGTGGGGATTAACCCGGGAGTATATAAATTATAGAAGTATAAGAGTATGGCATTTTTCTTTGCATTTTTCTTTTGAATTGTCTGGTGATTGAGCTTGGGAGGCAATTTATAGGAACATATATCCGAGACAATGCGAGGTGGGGATCTTTCGGAGATAAATCTACGGTGAGCAGAAATGTTTCGACCGCCAGTTTGGATGTTCAATAATAGTAACAGTCCAATATAACAACGGTCTCCGTATTTTGCACATGTATCGGTCAATTGGACTGCGTCATGAGCTGAAACAAACACTTCAATGCGCCAAGTGAGTACATGGGTCGACCTCGTGTTTTTCAGCAGACATCTACATAGTGATACTCAGACTTACCAGATGGAGGTCTTGTGTGCCAAGCTGTCACTCTCGTCTGGATTACAATATTGCCGCCCGGGGAGATGATTTCATCGCCACAGATCTCATCACACTGCCGTGAAGACCTGAGTGCCGTGAACAGTACTCCGTGGACCATACTGAAATAAACCCTTCTGTGGAGCTTTTGTTCTTTCCGGAGTTCATCGTGCATGAACTTCGAAGCCGGGGTTTATGAATATGGGATGGGACATTAGGTGGAGGAGACTTCCCTAAATAGGGCACACAGCCGAAGTACGCAGTGTCCACCGTGAGAAAAAAGCAAAGTAAAATAGAGCATATCCCTTTGGGTATCCGAAGTGATAATCATGAGCCAAAGTCAAGCTGACGAAATAGGGCCAAAAAAGAAATGAGGCGATTATTAAAATGAGGCGAGTGATAACGTGGGCAGACATGCAGCGGCGGCGTATTCAATGCTCGGGTTGGGTTTCAAGGGTCTAAGATCTGAAGGGGATTGAGGATATTAGTAGATCTATAACAAAATGAAGTTAAAGAAATAGAAGGAATGAATATGAAGTTGAATATGAAGTTGAACTATTAAAGGAAAAGGGTGCGTCATAAGTCTCGGGTCACACACAAGAGCTCGGGACGACCGGATTTGTTTTATTACAGTATTGTCATATAGATACGATTGGGGGCCAGTTGGGCGGCTATGAGGGCCAATGAACCAGTAATAATGGATACTTACCTGTAATTTGTTGTAATATCGCAGAAAAGGCGGCCTCACCAGCGGGGAGTAAGGCGGTCTCTCTGTCGGCAGCCAGTCAATCTCCTACAAAACTGCCCCATCCGCCCTTTTTCCTCGCCTTTCTTCCCTCTGCCTCTTCTCGTTGGTTGCCCGCACTCTCCAGTTCATCCTCCAATTACTTTACATTATTGGTGAAACCCTGCCTTGCATAAGGTCATTCCTCTGCTATTGGTGATATTCAAACTGGGGTAAGTTATACATTCGAATTTGAATACATTTTGTATGCTTTTTTTGCTTGATCTTTTCTACTTTTCTTTGTTGACTTTCATCTTGACATTTTGCTGGGGTAAATACATGTTCCGTTTAACTGTTTGATTCCCTTTTATTCCCGTTTTTTAACCCATTTTCTACCCATTTTCTACAACTGTATCCTTATATACCTGTACTGTGTCTGTACTGTGTACTGCCGGTTCTATACGGAACTGCCCGGCTTGACATCAGTGGCTCCCACAGAATCACCGCCCTCTCGTTGGCACGATTCCCTTTCCCCCCCCTCTCTCTCTCTGGTCAAATCATCTTCTACCCTGGGATCCCTTGATTGCTTGGGATTGGAAAGTCCGGAGATTATCATCCTGATTAAGGTACTAAGCTCTCCCACGTTGCGCGCGCTCTGCTCATCTCGTGGCAAAACAACGCGTGCTAAACCAAAACACACCCAACTTACATATCCTTGCTATTCCCTTATTGGTTCTTTCTACTTCACCTATGCGTTTCATATTTTTTTTCATCCAATCTGCACGCGTTTAGCATTTACATCTTCCCTGGGTATCCAGTTGCATCTAACATATGACATATAGTTGCGAGTGATTTCTTAGCTTGGGCTTTAAAACTATCGCAAATCTTCACTTTTTCTGCTCTGCAGAAGTCGATCGACAAGGTAGGTTCCCTGCAACTCCCTTGCCAACGCATACATTTTCTTCCCTCTGACCGGTCTAACCCGCCCCGGATTCCAAACCCTCCCCCTCCACTTCAACCTTCTGTATTGACAGCGCATTGGTCGTTGATTCATCGCAATGATTGGCTAGATAAATGCTAATACTGGCCCCATAGTGTCGGTGCGTGGAGACTTGAGGGCGCATTCTGACATCAACGCCCAGGCGTTATCTGTCGCAAGTCGAAGGTTGTCAGCACTGCCTGGATTCTACGCTGGACGTGGCAGAGCAAGTCCCAGAATTGCCTGAGGTAGCCTGCCGACCGTGCTTGATTTATACTGCGTAGCCTCCACACCTGCTATCATCAGGTCTGTTTTGACAGCGCATCAAGCCGACATCTAGTTGAGGTACCCCCCCCGGCGCTGCATCACAGCCCAACCACGTTACACCCGACAGTGGGCGTAAAGAAATTTGCACAAAAGAGCCAAAACCCTCCGCAAGCCATTCAAGATTATTCTCAGAGGTTGAGAGTTTCTGACGAAACACAATATTGGCTCACACGCGCCAACGATTTAAGGTACGTGCCTGGTCCCTGTTGTGTTATTTTGGTTCCCCATACCCCCACCCGCCAATCCAGTGACCGCTCGGCGATGCGCTTTGCTGACGCGAATCCCCGAGCCTGCAGACTATCCATCGAATCATCGGTCGCCTACCCCAGTACTTGTGGTGACTCTGTCCCTCATTCCGCGCGCTTTGCGATATCGCTTTACATCTACCAAACAGACGTCGCCGTCAACTTTGACACATTTCGACCTACCATCCCAAATCCTTTTGGTCTGATTGGTGATCTACATCTCAAGTCTCTTCAGATCGATCCACTGAATCGGCGCACCCTATAGTGTGACAAGATCCACTATCACAACTCGCCAGTATGGAGTACCCTCCTCAATATCAACAAGCCCACGGGCAACATCCACATGCTCCATCTCACATCCCCGGTCCTTATCAAACCGGGCCACCAAACGCCGGTGCACCTGTTGGGTCGATGGCATCGCCCACCAATGCCCAGGCACCGATCCAACCTCACTCAACCCACCAAAGCTCCCCTATCGTTCCGTCGCAACCTCATTATCAACAAGCACAGAATGGACCCGGAGGTGTTCACCAGCAAATGAACTTCCCCCAAGGCTACGGTGTCCCCGCGCCCATGGCTCAGGGCT